TTTACATCAAAGTCAGTTGCAAGTAAATGAAGATTTTACATAATACCTGTACTAAGAAAATGTAATGAGAACTATTAATGAAAAAAAATACAACAAAAAAACAATCAACTTTATCATTTTTAAAATCATCTAAATGTTAAGTTTGTCAACATTCCTCTCAATCATTAAAATGACCTGATGCTTGCAACACAAATTGCAACACAAATTTGACAATAAATTTTCCAAGTGTATAGCCGTTGCAAGTGGTTTTATTCAAGTGAAAATACTCATAACTGTAAAATACCTGCATTTAATGACCTGAGGTTGAAATTTTGCGGCTGATTGTGTTGTGGTGGACAGACGAATAGTTAAAGCACACAGCTGTTCTAGAGGGGGTGGGGTAGCAAATAATATCAGTGGTTTGGTATTACCATCATACATTGTGTGAAATTTATGATACAGCCCTCTTCATTGTGAAAATTCTGAAATAGCCATAAATAAATTGTTAAAATTGTTAATTACAAATGTCATAATATTATAATGTTCATATCTTGTACCCTTCGGGAGGGGGGGGGGGGGGGAACACGAGTCTTTCAATTTCAATGCACTTGACAGTAATTCCAGCCCTTTTGAATAGACTTCTAATCAGAGGAAATGCATTGGGGGAGGGGAGGGGGCGTAATATCTTGAAATGTTTTGTTGTAAAACATTTTAATCATTCTTTTCTTACATCAGATCTAAGTTTTAGAATTCAAAATTAATTCTTGCCTACAATTTCATGTATGAAATATTTTGAATACAGTTAAACGCACATAATAGGAACAGCCACACAAATTAACATGTAGGGTTAATATTGAATTCATTTGGGTCAAACGATGAGTCAATATGGCAGAAAAGTGATGAATTTAAGACACGTTAGAACGTCATGCTTGTTTTTCATGACATGTCTCGGTCTAACCATTTCATTCTAGCTAAGATGAATATCCATATATTTGCCTGGTGTTAAGTTATAAGATTAAAAAGGTTTCTAGTCACTAGTAATTTACGATCACTTCAGTGATTTTTTTACAAACTCGTCATTGTGGGTCCTAGGACTCGCTGGGCTATGAATCTATGAGTCCCAAAATTTAGCCGACAAATCCTAGTTACAAGCTTAATATTGCTTTAGTGATATAAAAGGTATATTAACAATGGAATGAAGAAAAAATGAATTTTATTTCTACATTAATTACAATGCTTCTGATACTGAAATTATTTAAAACTGTCAAATAAATTTAATAAGTTTATTTCCATTTATTTATTTTGAGATTAATCAAAACTTCATTTTCCGTAACATTTTATGCTTATCTATAGTATAGCACATTATTATTTTTTATCTGTAGAAGATTTGCAGACATAACTTGAACACAATTTGGTATTTATTAACAAATTCCTGTCAGACAGGACTCCCTACTCAGAAAAAGTATGCATCCAAAAGATGCACATTATTTGAAACTTTGCATCCACAGCAAATTCAATGAGTCCTGGACTCAGGATGCAGAGGTAAAAAAATCACTGTCACTTATGATTTCTGAACTGAAAAACAAAAAACTTCCACTCACCGCACAAATTGTTTTATTTTCGTCTGCGCGTGCAAATGGCGTTTTTCATTTAAAGGGACGTAACCCCTGTTCGACGATATGCCCATAATGCGATACAGAGTGACTCTGACATGACTTGACATTCTTGATATCGATTAATATATTAAGAACAAGAAGGTTAGGAATCAATATATGCAAAACTATGCTTTAAATGATGTTATAGTGATCCTGACAGCATAATGTAAAATCGCCGTAAACTCCTTTATTTCAAGTTGAAGTTGGCATACAGCCGTTCTGGAAATAAAATCAGACTTATAGACTTTTTAGCACTGCAATCCGGATAGAGACCCTTGGAAGTTTGAAACCAAAAACATCCCTGTGTGGGGGAGTTGTATTTGGGTGAAAATTCTCCATCAAAAGTAAAATCTTTACATTGAATGATGGATTCTTGTGCATCTTTAACACATGCATAAGGCTTACATTTATCTACTTTTTTGTATTTTCTTCAATAAGATTGATAAAAATGCATAGACTTAAAAAAAATAAAACGTAGCTTTTCAGATTTCAACAAAATTGTTTATTCCGTATGATTTTTCATCGCGAGAACGTACGTAATCAGAGATTTTTTTTCCATATAAATGATGAACGCATCAAGATTATTATAACTTAATATAACTTTAAAATTTTATATACTGTCTATATTATATGAACGTATATTTGTATGGATTTAATCTTATTCATATATTTTGAATAAGAACGTATATCAATCAATTACCATATTCATCAGTGTGTCTATAGAAAGGTCAAGCAGCACTTGTTACCTTGATAATCCACCTTTTCACATTTATTGCCGAAGTTTTTTTCAACCCATTGCTCGTATCGTGTTTGCTTAATTAGCATAAGCAATCGTTAGTTCTTAGATTAACGAAATCGTATCAAGTTGAACGAACTTTTGACAGCGGGTGTATGTTTTTTTCAAGTTTTGTAAAGTACTTTTTTTCTCCTAATTTACATAAATCATAAGAAAGGGCTTTCGTTAAGAATTTGAACCTTTGACATTTTTATGCATGCATGACAGAGAGTATATATGTGATAAACAAGAAATGCGAAAAATCACGTGTCGTCACAAACCCACATTTAGAATACATGTCATAGATAGGTTTAATTGTCTTTACAGAAATAAATAATTACCCATGGAGACGAGCACATATAAATCTTACACCCAACCTTTAAAATTAGATGCAGATAACACATTTTCTATCTTAGGGAATGACTATATGTTCCGGTACTTATATGTTACAGGCCTCTACATTGGAACTGAGAAAAAGATTTAATCATACAAGGAACTGATCTACATCATGTTTCACTCAAAGAGGGAAATAAGGTGTGATTAAAGCGGCTTGCTTTCAGATGACTATTATAAGTCTTTAATTTTCATGAAAAACATAGTGATACTATGAATATATAAATACTCACAATGAATGTGAACATTTAATTGATTTAAAGCTGCATGCCCCCAGATGAGTAAAAATATTTCAAGAAAACTAAACTAGAGTTATTTTTTATTTCAATTTTGTTATTGGTATAACTTAGCGGACTAAAATGTATAGTATATAAATGCTGTTGTATATTAATGAAAAAACGATTATTCACTTACGTGCATTTTCTATATGCGAAAAAGGGATCGCCTGAATATTGCGATTGAATAAATAACTCATTACATTTCATTTTTATTTATTTTTTCATGCATGTTTAGTTTTTTTATGAGTATCAACGGGGGGCTTATCAAAGAAACCATTTAATCCGTAGATCTCCTGTTAAACGTGTTTACTTTTTTCCTTTTCATTAGTTTCGATTCCTTTTCGGTCTACTTTGACACGATTGGGTTCATTTACCGTTTCAAAAATTACATATTCATAAACTGATGACGCCAATTTAAAAACTCAATCATTAAAATGCTCCAATAGTGAATCGAACACTTTCAAAATATTTTTTGAACTGAAATATTTGTGGAAATACGTTACCGCAGCCATGTTCATGTTTATTTGAAAATTGTTGTTTATCTATGTTTTAAAAAAGAATAAGGGGAAAACTTTGATAGTGTAACTACAAATAAATTTAGAAATTTAGTTAAGTAAAAACGGTCTTAATAAAGTGTGCTGTGATTTTTTTTCTTATAAAAAGAAACAAACATTAAAAAAAAACAACATAAAGGATATTATTGTTCAATCGAAAAGGAATAAGTTGATAAGGGGTAAAGTGGCAAAAAGTAGGCCCACCGCGGATGGATACACAAGTGTTGTTAGTATGGATGATAAAGATGCTGACCACTTTACAAGGAGGCTGGAGAGTTCTCGGTATGTTAAACAGTCTCGAACATTTTTATTTTTATTGAAAAAGTGATAAATCAGGCTAAAAATAAAATGATGCACTACTTTTGATTATCACAAACTTAAAAAGCTTCTGGGATACTGAGGTGAGGGGGCTTGATTTTTTTTAGATTTCCATACCATTCAATGAATTTCTATATCAACAACTTATGTGCTAAGTTTCAGATATCATTCGCTCCGTTTTCCAGAATAATCATTAATAAAGTGAAAATAACAAAAAATGTAAAGCGTTTAAACTCAAATCGGGATGCAAATTACAGGGACTACAGATTTTTTTTTATATAATTCTGGATGAACTTCTCTATTGTTTTTTTTTTTTCATGTTTTTTTCTTTTATAAGTGATCCATTTGATATTATGTAAGGTTTTCAAATTTTATGTTTTTAAAACTTTTTATGTTTTAGGTTATCTAAATACATTGTATACATGTAAAATACTATTGTGTTCATCTTTAAAACGATATTATTTAAACAATAAAGCAATTATTTGTTGAAAAATTATTTTTTGAAATAACCACGCAAGTATATGCACACGTTGTCGTTGCGACAAAACGCAAACAAATACCCTGTATAGGCTCTATCTCGTTCTTTCATCAAGCCGCACCTAGAATCTAAATAAGTTATTTAATCAATTCATTTGCATTTAAGTATATAAATAAACAGTATTTTATATATAAATATTTATTTACATGATAACTACCACAAAAACGTCCACAACATAACTACCACAAAAACGTCTACCACATAACTACCACAAAAACGTCCACAGCAACAAATCTCCCAGTAATATTGGTTTATTGCACGTTCCAATATGTCTAATATATATACATGTAAAAGTGATACAAATAAAAAGAGCATTCTTTTTACTGCAGCTGTCCAGTCAGATATATGTTGGGATGGGATAAATGCCGCGGACTATAACGGAACCATTGCCACAACGACAAGTGGTGTGACGTGTCAGGCGTGGGCAGACGACACTCCACACTCGCACGTTTTCCACGGGAGCTCGTACTTTCCGTACGACGGAGATGACGTAGCGGCTTCAAATTTTTGCCGTGACCCAGACGGAATGTCCGGAACTCTTGGCCCTTACTGCCTAACGATGAACCCTAGCGTCAGATATGAATTTTGCACTATACCAATATGTTATAGTAAGTGAGGCATTTAAATATATGAATCATTTTGTAGAACACTATAAACATACGACGACCGAACTTCTCCCCAGTAGCGGATTAAACGAAAGACCGGTGGTGACTTTTCAATTTCTTGAGTTTTTGTGTTCATCTTCATGAATTCACAATTTCATCTTTATGAATTCACAATTTCAACATACATAATTATTGAAGTTAAAATTTCAACTTCATGATTTCAAGATTTAAACTTCAACATGAATTCATGAAGTTGAATCTATAAAGTTGAAATCGTGAATTCACGAAGCTGAAATCGTGAATTCCAAAACATGAATTCGCAAAGTTGAAATCGTGAATTCGTTAAGTTTAAATCCTGAATTCAAGAAGTTGAAATCTTGAATTCGTGAATTCCGTATGCTGAAAACGTGAATTCACGAAGTTAAAATTGTGAATTCACGAAGATGAAATCGGGAATTGTTTTGTAGTATTTAATTTTGCAGAGCTATTCGATTCTCGACAGCAGAGCGTTTGAAATGAAAACATAAAAACGATCATCTTTAAATGCAATGTTCGCATGAAATCTTGGTATTTTCTTTTAAAGATTTGCCGTGTTCTGGTGGTGACGTAATTGGACAAAATGATCCTTCCAGCTTCACTGCTAATATAGACGCATTTTCAGGTAATAAGTATGATTTTTTTCTCTCAAGAATACCTTTTAATTTGATCATTTGATAAATAAAGTAAATTGAAATGCTATGACTGGTGACTATAGTTGGAGCAAATAAAACCATTGAAATAATGCATAACACAGTTTTGTCTTAGTTTATAACCCACTCTACTCTGATTAAAACCACTTTTAGTACAGATTTTTAAAATTTTATAGAATGTATGCACAAGGTAACATATTATTGAATCACTTTAAAATACACTACGAAAAGAAATATCAAATATGCCGTTTATTTACAGCCTTCATGGAGCAATTCTTGCATTGTCTGGGTTTAACGCCGGTTTTAACACATTTTTGTCAAATGCCATTAGAATCAATTTCCGAGATCAATTTTTGTTACGGAGAACGTTTGAATCGCCCGTGGATCGAACCAGCGACTACCGGACTACTTATCCGGTGCTCATCCTAAAGAGCTAAGAGCAATCGCAACTTTTCGGCTCTTTCCGTCAGTCTTCGGATAAGGATTATAAATAATAGCCGAGGAGCTAAGAGTTCGGACAAATCATACTTATATTTCTGTTTGTGTTCAGCTTCTGAGTTACGCCGACAGATCTATATTCTTTTTTATTTTGGCATTATATTCCTTTCTGTTTGCAGACGTCAATTATTTACTCAAAGACGCTTCTTCAGCATATGCGTTTTCTTGTTGTGGAACCGTTCAGCAATGGCGATTTTATATTAAAAACCCGGGAACCATTCGTTTCCAAGTATGGCGGCTGGATAGTGGGACCGGAAATTATATTTTGAAGGGAGAAAACGTTCACACGTATGGAGCGGGTAAAAACTATTTATGCCTTCAAGAAAAATCTTAACATTCGATTTTCTGTAATAAATTAATTTAAAACTTTATTTTTGAAACTGGTCTTTGCTTCAAAACTGAGCAGACGACAAACTGCCTGAGTATACACAATATATTCCCGCTGTAAAAACCTTATTGTGTCATTACGATGTTTACCCGGTACTCAGACGGTTAAAAATCATCACATAATGTTAAGCAGGAGAAATAATTTTGCCAAAAAAATCACTGTTCTTTTCGTTCTATAATGAAATCTATAGATTCTATGTTACTGTTATTGACATCTTGGTCAACTTGATATCTTAGACTGTTAGTTGCCATATAAGTTAATTCCTTTTCAGAGGAACTCCTTTTAGGTCTAAAAGCCTAAAATACATAACATTTGAAGTTCTTATATAGATTACCTGGGCATATAAATAGAAAGATATGCAAATAACAAGTATGAAATTTACTCAAAAATAAGTTACAAATCCTATATCTGTGCTATTCTTGGCTCGAGTTTAGTTTAAAAAACAACCTGTCTTTGCAACGCTTTTCAATTTCATTTTTTTTCATTTTTCAAAATTATGATAATTATTCTCGAATTCTGAAAAACGGAATGAGCGAATGATCTGAAATTTCGCACGCAAGTTATTGGTCTAGACCGACATCAAATGGAATATTAATGTTGAAAAATCATTTCCAGTCCCGTAGTGCCATGAGTCCCTTTATTCGTTTTTTTTCTTTTCACTCTGGATAATTTCAGCTGAAAGTCCTGGAGAACATAGCAAGACTGTACCACAGAATGAAAGAATATCGGTCCAGGAAGGAGATTTGATTGGCTGGTAGGTATTTGTCACGTGATGAAAAATAATACCGGTATATAATTGCAATCTTTAAATCAGATCTAGCAAATAAGCAAATGGATAGAATTTAATACAATGGAATATTATCAACTGTAATACTGCACCAAAATGATAAGATTTTGCCACCAGTATAGAGCCAGGCCAGCCTTCACTGACAAAGCTTTATATTGCAGGATGATTAACTTTATTTCTAGTACCATTTCAATATGATGTCTATATAATTGATAATGAGCAGTGCCAAAGGGAAAACGTGTTTGTATTTGAGTTTATTTATACTCGCCACCGGTTGTCCATATGGGCGAATTTTTCAGAAGAGTATTAGTCATAATAGTTTTTTGGAGGATAGTGCAAGATACAGATACAGAAGGATGCCCCAATTCCAGAACCTTCTCTTGGTTCTTAAGCGTGCCAAGTATTTAAGCACTCATATACTGGAGCTCGATTTAAAGTCTCATCCGAAAGACTGATTAGCAATTAGGGAATCGAACCCACAATATGTGCTATGCAGACAGGTCAAAGAGAAATCTGGTCACGATATACGTCTGTACATGAAACAAGTAGTGACTTGATTGCTAGTCTAACTTATTGCAATTGCTCAAATCAAATAATTGTGTCATAAATAGCCTATTTAATGCTGCAGCTCATATCCATGGAGTTATATAACTTTCGAAATTAAATACAAATTGTGTATTTAGTTTTTACTTATAGGTTTCTTTGAATTTAAAATAATTCAGGTACAACTCCGGGGTGGGCATGGTATCGTTCAGCATTGGATCGACACTACAAGTAGCGCTCAAGTCCGGCACATCATCTGTTGGCGACTCCGTGGACTGGTCGGGGGCTTTCGTACTTTCAAACCGCGACTACGCTATTGCTGCGGATCTGGCACCAAGTAGGTTCCGGCGAAACATAAATAAAATGTATAATTTAATAACCGAAAAACTAAAACAATATTCACCCGTGTTTAATATAAGAATTACTATCTTTCATTTCTTTTTAATATAAACGTCCCAATTATCCAATGAAAATCGAGTTTCAAAGGTGCAGTATAATTATGATATAAAGATATATATGATTGATATTAGATACAGAAAAAAAAACCCTATGACCATTTGTGAACGCACTAATGATTCAAACAGATATAATTGCGAATGAAAATGCGCAGACCAAATTGATTACTTTATGCTATATGACTTTCTTTGGTTTATACAGAATTTATTTAAGTTGGATTGTATAGGATGTTATGAGCTTATAGACACACTTTCGAATCCGTCCCTGGAACCAACCAGGACTGAGTAATGAGAGTGCTTAAGGAAACAACGACTTGTCCCTGACAGAGTTTGAACCCATGCGGATAGCTGTCATTAGATTACTAGTCCGACTCGTTAACCATTCGGCCATACCGCCCTCATATTACTTCTTTTTGCAGGTGTCGCACCATACTTTGATGCTACCGTGACGTCAGTCTCCGTGTCGGTATCAGAAGGCGTCGGCAACACTGTACATACCCTAACGGTTACCGACGACGACGTTGACGACAGAAGTTCATTATCAGCCTTGCTTGTTACAAATACATATTTTGATCTCATCGGTTTAGGTATAATAATTAACATTTGATACGATGACGTCATTTTTATATATAATTTTACGATCTGAAACCTAAATAAATTTAATAAACATTATTGAAAACTCTTGTTTTTGTTTTCGTGAGCCAAAAAGGAAAGATTTGTAAATATTGCTTGCCGGATCGTTTTTTTTTTAAAAATCCTGTAAAATAGACATTATGAAATGGACACTTACTCGTTTTAAAATTTTAAATTATCTACACTATTTTGTGTTTGATCCTATTCATATTTGATTCCTATAGAAATAAACGAATTTTGCGTTGCGTTATATATTTATATATAAATTGCTTTCGATAGATATCGTCGTGAAAGCCAGTTTGGTCATAGGGACAGAAATATTAGAACTTAAAGTCACAGACCAGTGCTCACAGTACAGCCGATTTAATCTAACAGTTATTATCACCCCGCTGGTAAGCCTTTATGATGATATGATAATAACATTTATTTTATCTAACCCGATACTAACATTATTTTTGGCAGGATACTTATTTCAACTGGACCAAAACTCATATTTGTTTGGCAAGATACTCATTCCATTGGCCCTTAACTCATAGCAAATTGCCAAGAACACATTTCATATGGCTCTATGCCCATTTCATCTGATCTGACACTAAGCAGTGTATTATCACCGTGGTATTATAATAATAATTATATCATAATACTTATTTCGCGCGGCACGAAATTTACTTCATAAAACCCAAGACTTATTTTACTTTGCACGATACACATTTCATTGGCCCGATTTTAATTTGGCCTGCTACTTATTTCGCGATTTACTGCCATTTCATTTGGCCCGTTTCACATTCCATTTGGACTGGTCTTTATTTTGTTTTTGCCCGATACTTGTTTCATTTGGCCTGATTCTATTATCATTTTGATCGGATCTCGTTTCATTGGCCTAGCTGACCGCTTGCTTAAATTAGAAATCTTTAATACAACGGACTTCGCATTTGCAAACTCAAGTCCTGGACGAACAATTAAAGAAAGTACACAATATATTTGAAAAATGCTACTTTTACCGATAACCTTAGAAAAATTGGAAAAATTAAGGAAAAAATAGAGATAAAAATCTGTACTCATTTTTTACCATGCAGAAAATGGCTCAGAAACTGTTTAAAAACTTGCACCTAACCAAACAAAAACTACTTTTGTTTCATACTTACACATTCGTTAATAATGTCTAAACTTTGGAATCAAACGTTTGTAATCCTCTATAAAACAAAGTTGTTTTTTTTGTGTATCAGGAATAGAAAAACATTAAAATTTGCTTTTTCAGCCGATCGTCATTTCAAGCTTGCCTGTGACAGAAAGTGTTTCCGAATCTTCAGTTAACGAGACTTTAGTGCATACTTTGACCTTTAACCCTGTTGGCACGTATTTATGTTCACTGGATGCGTACGATCCAATTCGAGCAGAGGGCAACCCTTTCCTTGTACAGAACACTCCGTCTTCAGGTAAGCATACTATATATATGTATACCATATAACTGCCTTATTTTGAGCTCCTTTTTAACATATTGAATTATTTTTTATTGTAATCAAGCTAAAATAAAACGGCAAAAAAAAAATGTTATTTTTTTATTTCACAAAAGTTTCTTTTTATTTTTTATGTATTTTGTACTTTCCAAAATATAACTCATTGGCCATGTGCCTGAAATATCTTTTTTCTTCTGTTGCTTTGGCGTTATAGTGATTAAGAATTTTGTATTGAAGTCAAAATACTACTTTTTTACCTGTTGCTATACTGTTGTGACTTTGTGCTACTTTCTTCTAGTAACAAGCATCTAACATGTAACATGTTCTTAAACCATTATTTATACGTAATAAACTCATGTTTGCCCTTTCTAAAGAAGTAAAAATTCATTCGTTTCTGAGGCATAATGTGGTTTTAATGTAACCACTACTGGTGTCCTAGATAGAGAAAACAAGCTGTAGTTGAAGCTACAGTCCCGAGGTTTGGAGGCTCATACATAAACTATTTGGGTCCCCTCACAAACTTGCGCGTGCCATATTTTAGTCGAATGACATATTCGATAATAATAATAATAATAATTATAATGATAATAATAATAATAATATTAATGATAATAACAATAAATTAATAATAAAAATAAAGCTTTTGAAGGAAAAGAATAACCGTCTTTTTCTTACATAATGTACCTACATTATAAAATGTAAACTACATTTTCCACAATAAAAAGTATGAACTCAAACAATAACAGATTCATTTTTCAATTCAGATATTGGCGTGTACCTCAAAGCTGCGTCTAATATTAGCTACAACGTTGCCACGAGCTACAACGTAACAGTCACGTGCTCTAACGCTGAAGGAGCCAGCGACACCAACTACATTATCATCGACATCGACCCAAACAGTCAGCCAGTGTTTACAAGCTTCCAGAGTAAGTATAAAATAACATGTACATAGGAGTTTGAACGATTTGTATTGTGTTATCTAGTATTGCCATTTTATTCTATGATTTTGCAATTCATTAAACAAATTTAAAGAATCTGCATTATTCGATTCTAAATATAGCAATACGAAATCGAAACCCTATCGAAAAGAAGCAACTAACTTTTTTCCATTATTCCATCTGATTTCAACCACGTATAAAACACAAATCCGTTGACATGTAAACATTGTTGTTTTTATGCTGGAAAATGGCAATGGTGCAGAAATATACTGCCATTTAATTCCCAGTATTGAGAAATAAGTCCGCTTGCATTTAGTGTTAATTTAAGTATTTAATCAATACGATTCAATTCCATAATTATCCTTTATTTTTCAATTAAGTCATCCGGTAAAAACTTGTAGTCATACTTAGGGTATTTATATAGATGATCAATTTTTAAAAGGACCAGCAAAGTATCGAAAGGTCTGTTGTCCTCTGTTGTCCTGCCATAGTTTCCGCGAATGTCAAAGACATAACATTCACTATAGGACCGCTTAAAATTTTCATGTACTTGTAGAGGTGAAGAGACCCAAATAACTCTATTGTTTTGTTGTGACCTTAAATACAAAAGCAAGATGAAATGTGAATTGTTAAATTAAAGCACTAGTGTGAATACTAGTATATAATCCACCCCCAACTGCAAACATAGCATGGCTGGCGGGTCAAGTGAGGCATTTTCGTCCGAGGCATGGCTGTCGGGTAAAATTTGTGGTGGTTTGCGTTTGCTGAACATTTTGAATAGAAGAGGATTGTTCTGATTCACAGCTTGGATTTTACCATCTAGCTGCCTGTGTACCTTTGCCGAGGAATTGATAATCCAAAACTTATAGCACCCGCTATTCACCGGGTTGGTGCAGCCATTGTTACAATTCACAGGGACATTATTATACTGAGTTAGCTTAATTTGCATACCGCCATTTTGTTTTTCAGCGTCTCTGGCAATAGATTCGGTTACAACAAACATCAACGATATAGTGTATACGGCCACAGTAACAGACGCCGAAGGTGACCCTATAACAATGTCCTTACTTTGTGACCCTACAGGCTGTCCATTTACCATCAATAACAGTGAGTGTTTTGTTAGGCCTTCAGTTTTAATACAATTTAATTTGAGGACAGACAAGCATTTTCTTTCATATACAGTACTTAATGTGTATATACCTATACTCGTTTTACTTCTTGCAGTTCGAAAAGATAAGTTTCTTCAGTTTTAATACAATTTAATTTAAGACAAAATGTATGCTTTTTTATATACAGTACTTACTCGTCTAACAAAATTTCCCGTTGTGTTTTCTTCAGTTCTAAAAGATAAGTTTCGTTTTGGACGAGGTAAAAGATTTTCAAATCAATTCAATGAAAATATTAATTACAGAAAGCATCCAATCATTTTGGAAATAACGACACCAACAGGCATAGATCTGACAACAATTCTTTAATTTATTTAATTTTTAGATTTTAAGCAAAACAATCATTATTGTGACATGTCATCGAGACTTTTATGATACATCTTTAAACTTCTCGTTTTTATTTTTCAGATGGTGAAATTAGGATAACAAGTGATCCTAGCCTTGCCACACAAAACACGTATACATTCATTTTATCAGCAGACGACACTTTCAATACGGTGACGTCATCAAATGTTTCCGTCACGATTACAAGTAGGATTTTAAATATTTCAAATATATGTAATCAAAATTTCTATTCATTTCTTTGCAAAGAGGCATTGAATATTGAAAAAAAGCTCAGATTTTATAACTCACGCGTTACAGTAAGCAAATAAATAAATAAAAAACATTGAAAAACTTTAGCACCATATTGAACAAGTTATATATACAATGTACATGTATTAAAGAATAAATGACTAAAACTCGCTAACAAAGTCCTTTTTTCATTAAAAGGGTAAACATGATTTTCAGATATAAATGTGAAGCCCGTTATTACAAATTTGCCGGCTCCGATGCAGACAATAGCAGAGAACCAGGTTGCAGGGACGCTTGTTTTTCAAGTGTCACAGTCTGATGCCAATGGTGACACGCCCACATTTCTTGCGGCATTCAACAGTACGGCATGCGCCAGCATGTATGACATTAATGCTACCGGTAAGTTAAATAATCGACTCAACGAATAGAAAAGATTCCCAGAAATCTGAATTCGCAGTAAAAATATTTTGCACAATTATATTTTGTAGGAAAACATTTCAAGTGAATAGGTTCATTTGTTTATTACTTTACATGTTGTCGGATACTGTAAGCGGTGCGTGTATTTAATTAAAACTTATTTTCAACCGCCCGAAGACGTGTTATGACGTATTATGGGATGACGTTGTCCGTCCGTCCGTCTGTTTGTACGTCTACCCGTAGACAATTGATTTCCGCATCATAATTTTCCTTTTTAAGGATTTCGGTGATTGTGCTTATATTTCAAAACTCATATCTTGGCGGCCATCTTGGATTCCCGGTGATTGTAAAAGAGAGGATTTTTTTGCTTTCAAATGAGACTATTTATTCTTTTGGAAACGAATATTTGAAATAAATGGCCCCTATCTCTGGTACTATCATCACTACAATAAACTCATGATTAATAGAGTTATGTCCCTTTTTAAGCAATTGTTAAAAAAGAAATTATTGGTTTCGCCAGAATTCTTTTTAATGGACTTTAATAATTCTGTTTATATTTGGCATGCAAGTACATGTATTTTATATGATATCACAACGCAAGTAATGTTCGTTTATTCAATGCAATCAACTCATTTTTTTGGAAAATAATGCCCCCTTGTCAGTAAATTTTCTGTGAAATTATGCCCCTTTTTCAGTTAATTTTCTGTGAAATTATAGGTGTTTATAGAATAACTTAAAGGGGACTCCATAAGATGTGTTTATATTTGGCATGCAAATATTCGTATGTAATATCAAAACATAGATCAAGCAATCAACTAATTGCAACCTTGATTTAATTGATTGCTTTTAATCAAAATGAAATCAAGTATTATATTCTATTATCTTCTATTACAGTACAAATATAACAACTTGTTACCTATAGAAAAAACTACATTTTTCTTTAATATAACTTTTGATGGAAACAGTCAAAATCTGAGCCATTTACAACAATAAATTTGTAATCTTTCTTTAAGGCACATTTTTGTCCATGATTCCTTCTTGTAAAACTGCTATCGGGCGTATATTGCCTCGCCTCAGCGGAGCTCTTGAAATGGAAATATTCTTGTACATTTGTTTCGATAATCTCATAATTTTAGCTTTATTTACAGACTTTTTCTTAATCTTCAGACGGCAGAATAACAACGCTAGCGTCATTTGATTACGAGTCCGCTAGTGCTACGTCATGTTTGCTTACCGTTACAGTGTCTGATGGTGCAGCCACGTCGGACCCTGAAACGCTCATTATTGACGTAGAGAATGTGGATGAACCGCCAGTCTTTTCAAGTAATGCTTACGTCATCAATACAGAGGAAGTTGCGGTATGTTGAATCAATTTGTTACTTTTGTAATTTAAAACATATTATTCCCTATATTTCAGAATAACTACAATATTCAAGCCATTTTCTCAACAAATTTCTTCGCAAATGTTAACAGTACTTGCTTTTATTAGGCATTTCTTGTCACGAACATGTGAATTTGTTTTAACTTTATAGCCTCAAATAGTAGCTATGGCAACAGATCAAAGAATGAAACAATAGTTTCAAGTGTTGAACTAAGTCTAACTTGATGTTGTGGAGAATAAAAATTCCAGTTAATTTCTACTTATTTCATGAACGTCTTTTATTATATTAGAACTATATAGATGATATTAAATGAGTGTAAGTTCAGTAGTGAATTAATTGCACGAGTTGAATAAAATTATGTTTTGCGATCCTCAGGCGAGCATAATGTTATTTTAACCAGCGAGTTCAATAAATTCAGTAATGAACTAACACGAATTTAATATTCTATTTATCACATACCCAAAATAAAGACCGTGAGTCATTTTTCATTGACGCGCTTACATTTAGCTCGTCTTTACACTATGTTTGTATAACGCTAGTGGCGTCACGTCAAAATATATGCACGTCCATGCAATACCTTTTCTACGGAGTCGCAACGGGTGTGTCCTAAAAATACATTAACGTTTTTATCACATTCAGGATGGGACGCCACTGCCAGACGTCGGGATATCTGCTATTGACCCGGAAGGAACTGCAGTTTCTTTATCTCTAAATTGCTCTTACGTTGACATTGACAGCGCTTCCGGTATTGTAACTATGACAACGAACTATGACATAGATACATCAGCAACGAATCCCTACACGATTGCATGTATGATAACGGCCACAGACGCTACGAGTCAAACTTCAACGGCGACGCTTGACGTCATAGTTAGTGACGGCAACGATAACGCACCAGTGTTTAGTCAGAATATTTATACTTCATATATCATTCAAGGTAAAATAATAGACAAAAAATTATTGCACAATTTTATTTATTACTCAAAGACCAATAAAAAGCAGAGAAAAGAGAAACAAACGAATGCAAAAGCATAAAATTAATCAAATTGAATATTTTTGGTCCCACAACAGGTTAATAAGATAGTTATTAACTTAAAGTATTTTTTAATAAATGCACTTTAATAGTGATCTGCATATCAGCAGATTTGTAAAAAAAGTATCCAATAATAGAAAATGATTTTATCCTGTACCACATGCTAATAAGGAAGGACAGTTTGTAGGTGTCTGAAAAGTTTACACGGTATGGTTATAAAAAGACTCAATGCTACTTAATTAGACTTATATAGTTTAAACTTATTCAACTTATTTAAATAGTTTTAAAATCTTCATGTTTGCACTTAGATTAAATTTTGATACTTTAAAAACATCAGGTGTGTTCTTTACCAGGTCATGCGGGGTACAGTATCATTGAAACTGTCACAGCAACTGATGCTGACAAGACGTCACCTAACAACGTCATAACGTATTCAATGACGCCGGCTACAAGTTTTAGTATCGGTGGTTCAGGGGATATTCAGAACATAGTGAGTAAAGCTGTACATGTTTTCTAGAGGCATCAAACATGTAATGAAGACAACTTTGTATCCTGATATGGGACAAGTTTTGGTCCATTGAAAAACTTAAAATGTAAATGACGTCGTCTGACGTCAGATTTATTAAATGACGACAGTAAATGACGTCAGTTGTTCCAATTGAAGATTTAGGCAATCATCAAAGGTGCTAGTCGCATTGATTTGATATAAAATATGTTAGTCTATAACAATATAACAAAAATCTTTTTTTTTTCTCACTTTTTTACGTTTTTTTTATAAATTGATATTGTATTACATGAATAACAACATTAAACATATTTTAGGTCAAATCAATGCGCCAAGCTCTTTTGGGTAATAATTGGTAATGCAGTCAGATAATTAATTTTTGTAATTGTAATATTTGTAAAATTCTTAAAAAGAATAATTCTTGCATAATTGTCTTCATTTCTCTTAAAGGTTGATCTATCAGGTGTTCCCGCAGGGACGACATATCCTTTAACGGTAACAGCCACGGACGGCGGAACTCCTCCCCAGTCAAGTACCTCTGTAGTTGTTATTTCTGTCCTATCGACTGCTCTGACAACAACAACTGCCACAACAACGGCAACCGGGTCTTCCGGTAGCAACGGATTCTTCTCGGATACCGGAAATATAGTGTTTCTCGCACTGGCTATATTCACGGCACTGCTGATGTCAGTTCTTGTTACTTTGCTTCTTTGGCGATATTGCTGCTCGCAATGGTACTCTGGTAAAAGGTGTGTTCTTTGTTTAATTTACTTTTTGTTTTGATTTTTTGTTTTGAGAAAAAAAACAACAACAAACAAACCAGAAGGTTGTCCTAATTTTAAAAAAGAAACTTCACTCCGACTAAGATTTTGCTGTTTTGAATAAAGTCTACATGGTTCAAGTAATCTCAAAGCTTTGTCTGTTTTGTATGCTAATGGAGAAACATTGGTTAAATTTTGAAAAAATGGTGTTAATACATATATTTTTATAGACATTTGTAATTTAAATTGTGCCCCTAAACTGTATCTAAACCAGATCTAAACTGCACCAGAAGCCCCTATTTTACATGCAGATTTCATTTCTCTTCGTTGGGGAGGACCCACAGACCCCGAAAATCACAGATGTTCTGTAAGCTAGCAAGATAGCTTCTTTACATAAAATAATTTATAAGTCTGTGCCAGGATTCGACCCAACAGCGGTGAGGAATGTAATGATTAGCAAAGAGTACCATAACGGTTTGATAATGACTGGTAAACTTAAGTTTATGTGAAAAGAGTTTATCTACGACCGAGAAAATTTAAATCGGTGTTTTCTGTTAAATATCCCTGAAATATAAACTATTAACTATATATATACAAAGATAGGTGACTAAGCAAAAAAAGGGAAGGAATTCGAAGCTGAAGTTTCTTTTTGAAAATGCATGTACAGTATGTCATTTACAATGTATTATGAAATTTATTTTCCAGATCTCGCGCCTCAAAAATCGGTCCAAAAGAAAATCACCAGCGAGGTACATCTTTATTCATTAATTCTAAATAATACTAGTACTTTTTTATTTTGACATCTTGCACACATAGATGTATTTTTTCACATTTTACACCTTTCTGTACAGTTCTTACATGGGATTTCCCCCGATTTGTTTGAGCAAGTTTTATGACAGCACACGATTTACCCCTTTACATGGGGTAAAGTAGATTTTTATTCTCTTTACAATTTCTTTCTCATGTTTTACCAGTAGAAATCTTTTAGAATCTAAAGAATGCACAGTTTTCTTTTTTATTTTTTTTTACCATTAATATTAGTTTGATTTCACAATAGCATAAAACTTACAATTAATTAACACGTGTTCTTTTTAAAGGTACATCAGAGAGTAGCGGCTATGATAAAACACCTATAAATGAAATATCGGATAATAGGAATAACAACAATTTACCGGTGGATTATCCGAGATACAAGGGAGACAATTATGTTATGACGCCAAGATGGCTTAAAAATCAAATGACAGTGTAATCAAATGATTGCGGCAGCAATTACCACTTACAAATACGGGTGAACTTATTTTTTTAAAATTTAAGCTATTTATAAATATATACGTGCCGATATATAAACATGTGATAAAATTTACTAAATTCAAGATGGCGTTCAAGATGGCGGCTGGAAAGGCGGGTCCGTCTTTCTAGATTGCGGAGGACTAGTAGCATTGTTAACTTGAATTGTACACTTTCAGTTTTGTCAAGGAATACATGTATTTATTATGTAAATTTTGTTTCATATTGAAATGTTATAACTGCACTAGTCTTTTTTAAACATTTTCTTTCTCAGTGGAATAATTATATCTATATTGTTCACCTTATTTTACAACAGTACTTCCTTTCACATTCACTTTTTGCACTTCAATCTTCAATAGAATGTACACCATTTTCTTTCATTATTTGTTATTAATTTTTAATTTACTTAAACAATTTTCTATGTTTGTACAAAATTTAGTAAAAGTGTTAAAAATAATTTACTTAATATTATAATTAAGTGATTTATCATATGTGTTTCTTAACCCGCCGAAAGTGATATACCTATTCTACCGATGTAAAGCCAGGTCAGCCCGCACGCCGTACAGACTGACCAGGCTCTACGTACGCTGTTGTTCCAATTTCATCTTTATCACCACTAAATTAAATATTAGAGACTTAAATTAAATTATAGCTCTGTATTAATAATGGACAATTTAAAAAAGGAAGTCGGACAAGTACATTTAAGAAAGTCAGCAGACTAAGGGTGAACTGTTGTGTGTAATTTATGAATATTGTTATGTTGTAAAGCTATTACCGGTGAAATATACTGTTTAACTTGTATCTAAATATTTTAATACTTGTAGAATCACATTTTGTTCATATTGTTGTTGTCATATCTGAAGTGCCTTAGCCCATTATTTCGCTGTAAAACGCTCTCTAAGAAATTATTGATGTGCTTTTTATAAAGTTGAGCGATGCATTTCTTCTTCTTTTTCTTCTTTTATTTTTAATTCAGTATTTTGGTAGATCTATGATTCTTTTGAATAAGATACAAACAAATATTAGACCGATTACAGACAGTTGGGTATAACTTAAATTGATGACAAATCGTTATTTTTGTTAATGTTCAATCATTTATTTACAACTTTGTTCTGAACGATTGATTTTATCAACCAACTCTTAAAACGACTGTTCAACCTATACTCTGGACACAATTTTACAGATTTTCAACGAAAACATAACGATGCCGGTACAAATGGCTCCTTCCGACCATTAAAAGAAGGCATAGTGAATCCAGTCGTACAACGGGAAGTGACGTCAAATCACGCGGCACCTGAAAGACTTTCTCCGATTGGTTGTGAAAGTAAGAATTCCGTTAAAAAGGCACCATCAATACCAAATCGAGAATCTGCTGTTCAGTCGATCAAACGGACAGCCTATCTGTCCGACTCGATTAATTCGCCAAGGTCTGTTAAAAAGGCAATTTCCGGTGACGATTTGGAAAATATTATATCAGAACGTAATAACCAGTTATCTGCAGTGCAGTCAATCAAGAGGACCAGTAACCTTTCGGAGACCTTTGACTCGCCAAGATCTGTTCCTTTTCAGAAAAACAACAACAGCAACGAAGACAACACCAATAACAACGTGACAACACAGCAACAATCTGCATTGGAATCAATTAAAAGGACAACTTTTATTTCCGATTCCGTGGACTCACCGAGATCTGTATCAAAACTTTCTTTTCATATGTAAAACCAGGCACATAATTTTATATGAAACACACAGTTATTTTCAAATTAAAATTGTGGCTTACTGCATACTTTTATCAGACGTGCATAATGTATATATTGTACTATACATAAGTAAAAAAGAAAGATTGAAGTATTTAATATACATACTGTACGTACTATACAAATGTTAATTAAAGACGAGTGAACGGGAGGGAGGGGGTATCGTCTATATTCTCGGTAAACAAAGGATTGAATGCGTTTGGAACACTTTTGACGAGTGTTGTAGTGTTTTCAAATGAAACGCGCAAAATTTTTAATCATTTCTATGAAATGGCACTTAGGAAATTGATTCATTATATATATATATTTCTGATTATTGTGATTTATTGATATGGCATCGAACAGCATCATAGTTTAGCATTGTATTGACGTCAAATTTTTAATTTTGTAAATAATCGGATGTGTTTCTCACATTCGCAAGTTCTTTAATAAAACATTATAATAATGCAGGCATCATTCATAACAAGGAAAATCATTTTCAAATTGATTTTAATCAATAATCTTTCTTTATATTATTTCAGGATACTGTAACATTTGTGTTTAATCAAATATATAGCAGCATATTTATATATGTCTGTGTCATTTTACGTTGCTTAATTTAAATCAACTTGTAGACCATCAAAAACAATATACATATATTTCAATGAAATTGAAGGGAATCTCAAATCAGAAGATTTGCTTTTAGACAGGGCGACTGGGAAGACACCCAGAAATGTACCAAAAAATCAAGTATCCAACGGCAAAACCGCAATTTTGCAACTTTTTATTTTTCACCTCTCAGCTGTTTACACCTAATCAAAGTTCTGATATTTTTCTTTCAATTAAATGTAAAACATCGTGTAATGTGTAGACAATATATTTTAGCAATGTTTTTATTTCAAATATGCCAATAATTTGCTGTAAAAATGTATACAAAATTTCCTTGAAACCAAGTGCACACTTTCTTTTGCAATTGAGTATATATCATTAATAAATCATCAAAATTAGCATAAAGTTTGTGATGACTGAAAAAAATTTCATACCATCAAACTAGAGATGGGGTAAAAAACAGAACAGCGAATCCAAACGCTATGTAAGAAATACATAGAGGATATTGAATGAGTGTAATTTAATACTAACTTTATTGAACGAGTTGAATAAAATCATATTATGCGAGCCTCTGGCGAGCATAATATTGTTTTATTCAACTCGTTCAATAAATTTAGTATTGAATCTACACGAATATAATATTCTTTTTATCACATATATAAAATAAAAACAGTGAACTGTTAAAATTAGTAAGTTTTAAATGACGCGCCCATAGTGTAACGCTAACATAGCGCGCTTTAACGCTATGTTTCTATATAGCGCAAATGACGTCACGTCAGTGTTATTACACTAGTGTAATATCGTTTTTATTAAATAACTTTATTACACTCATGCGCCGCGGTTTATGTAATAAATCGTATTTCCGGCCTATGTGTGATTATGATATAAGCTAGGTCTTTCAAAGAACGCTATCATGTCGATGTTTTCAACAAACAATGCTGACGTCAGCATTTTACGTTACGGAATTAACGTAAAATTTAAGACGTAAATTGCTTATGTGAATCTGAATGTAAAATATCTGTGTGCTAACATGAAGATGGCATAAAATATTCTGACATGCCTCTAAGATTTTGTAAATGATTTCATTAAAATAAACGTTTGACGTCACCTGAAATTTCATAGCCTGATTGTTGTTCACTCAAACCACGCACGCTTCTTTATTTGACAAATACCGCTTACTGTTAGGCAGAGTCCATCCGGTTAACGTTGGGACTGTGAATCAGGCGACTCGGGTTCGATTCCTGAACGGTACATGTCACTTTTGTTGTAACTGATCATAAAATCCTTTCTATGGTCATTCGCACTGTACCTCTGCTGAAGATACCAATTCCTTGCTAAAGTGAATGTAACTAGTACTGTTAATCTGCTTGACAGCCTGCCCAGGAACGATGCTGTGGCTGAACATGAACTTTACAATGGGCATAAAAACAAGAAAACATCTATAATTCTGTATTTCCTATATATTTGTCATTAGATCTTTGTTCAAAATACATTAATAATGTTCTAGATCACAAAACGTGATAAGACTATGTAAAAAAAATTAATATACATTAACATGTAAACTTGTTTAAACAAAACATTCACAATACAGGTACATTTGAGGTTCTATTAACTTATTACACAAAAATATGAGCTATGGAAAATTTATTAATGGAGTTTTATACATATTAATGTAACACTGGCTCAAAAAGAAATGGTATGATTAAATGATATGTGAAAAATGGGGATGTTTTTTACATGGACAATGAAGCTTTGATAGATATTCTAATAATTGTGGAATTTACAATGGAGTGAAATTTACAATGGTGCATTGATATACAAGTAATACATGGAGAATGAAGGCTTGAATGTAATATTTACAATGCTGTCCTTGAAATAATATTCATATCTAACATGTATATGAAACTGTAAATAAATAATGATATCAAATAAATATGCACCATTAGAAAATGATTGTAAAATATGTATATTTTATATTTACAAGTACATATATAAAACAATAAAGCTGACAAATATCTGTTTAAACACTGTTTTAAAGCAATCACAACACTGTGACACAACACAACTTAACACAACACAGTTACATGTTAATTGATTTGTCTACCTTTCATTTACTTTAGTTTCCCTCATAGTTAATGAACCACTATGACCTTTATCTAGAACTGCAAAATACAGTGTCAATTTATAGTTCGATTTCTCCCTCAGTCATGCACTCTTAAAGTTTTTAACAAGTGAAAGAACTATTCAGAATCAAATTCTTGTTGGTGTCTTTGATGTAAATAATGAAACTTTATGCTTCATATAGGTTAAAAACAAATCTTAACGTTAAAGCTGTTTAACATGAAGTATACATGTAGTTACAAATGTACAACTGTTTGTCTGAGGCTTTGGCTATCAAGGTCATGTGATCAAGGTTATGTGGATGGTCATGTGATCATGCAATTGCAATGATAGTATCTTTCATCACTGGTAATAAGATATTATATTTGTTCCAATTAAAGAGATTCGTAGAGTCTTTTATGATCATGTGACTTTAAATCTCCACTGCAGGTTTAAATCCTGCTTAGAAATCAGAAAAATCCTTCCATATGTGGGGGCTATCCAGCTAGCTTGCTGATGGTTGACAATTGACCTTGAGTAACAACTCACACCTAAAATAACACATGAGCGATATCTGGGGTCTCACCCAATTTGTAAAACACATGACCTTTAACAGTGACCCAACCTCCATAATAAAGAATTTGGGGAAAAGATGTACTAATTTGCAGAACTTGATGACACTCAGAATACAAACTAGATATTCTTGTAAACTCACCTCTTTTCAGTCTAAATAGGGTAATATTATAAAAAACTTTTATTCAAATTTTTTAACAATCTATATCATCATAGACTGACATAGAAATAAATATACATTAAATAATAAGATGTTAACATATTTCTTATTTTCCTCTGAAATGCAATAAATCTTTCAAATAAGGAATGAACCAAAATCATGTTTTAATATGGTACTAAAGTATTGCAAAAGTTTTATATTGCTAAAGTTGTTTCAACTTAAAAATTTAAAGAACATCCATATAATTATGCTGGATTTAAAAAAAAATATAAATCAATATAAAAGCAACACACAACAGTTTCCAAAATGGAATCAGTAATCTTTGACAAAAGGTCTAAAAGGGATTAAAATCCAATCTTGATTTATGAAAACTTGCATTGCAAATGATTTAATATCATAGAAAAATGTACATGTATCTAAAACCCTATTATTGCATCTTGTTCTATTAACACACACTGATTTCTTCAAAATAAAACAACAGTAACTAAAGTCAAGGAAAATAATTATGAAACCGCTATATTACAGAATATTTGAAATTTTCCAAATTAAATTACAAGGGAGACAATTCAATAATGCCATTAAAAACTATGTACCTCATGTGCTAGTTTATGAGGCTAGAATTTCACTCATAAAGCTCTCACAATGATGCTGTGTGAGATTTGAATTTCACTCACAAGGAGGTATGTTTATGAAGGTTTGATTATCAGTCATAAGGCTTTCAAATCAGGTTTGAATTTCATTCATGTGGCAATTAGAATGAAATCTATCACATTTGAGCTTCACTCATAACTTTATAAGGGTCTTAGAATAATATTTATCAGATTTGAACTTAACTCATGTGGCTCTTAGGATTTTTGTGAGGTTTAAACCTCAATCATGAGAATTGAAAAGTGATGCTTATTAGCCTTGAACTTAACTCATGAGAATCTCCGAATGACGTTTATTAGGTGGTCTGAACTTAACTCATATGAATATCTCAGAATGATGTTTATTAGGTTTGAACTTCAATCATAAGAATAATTTCTATGAGGTTATGAGAATCTCAGAATGTTGTTTATGATGTTTAAACTTCAATCATAAGCATCTTATAATGATGTTTATTAGGTTTATTCTTAAGTCATGAGAATCTCAGAACGATTCTTTTTATAGGTTTGGGTCTCATGCATTTGAATCTTACAATGGTGTTTATGAGACTTCTTGATTATGTAAGATTCTAAATATCTTTTTTCTTTTACTTACTACATGTGGTAATCATTGCCTCAAATAAAACAGATGTAAAAGTTTAAATATGCTTGTAAAACATTGCACAATAAATACCGCTGCACAAGTGAAATATAAGTACGTGCATGACGTAACTCGCCAAATATTCAGATAACAGAACAAAATCAAACAGACTGTACATTCATCATGGTCCGTCACTAAATTCATCATCAGTATCATCGTCTATTTCAAGCGCCTGAAGATCCGGACTATATGATCTGTGACCCGTGTGTGATCCCGAACTTGGCTGGGAACTTCTACGCAATCTATAATGGATAAAATAATATATAAGTATTAATTTTACTTAAAACTCATTTCACTTAAAGCCTAATTCTTTTATCTTGGGGAAATGATTGGTTGAAAAAGGTTTTATCGTAAGTGTATTAGATAATGTTGAAAAGAATTAACATTTGTTTCAATAATTTGGCAGTCTTATCTGATTTATTGATAATGTAAATGTATGAAACGGATGAAACCAACCTGCACAATGACTTATTCAAAGCAGGTATTACTGTATTATGCAGTGGCAACTGATAGAACTAAAAATTCAGATTATCAATATTATGATGTTATAAGTATACATTCTTGCAAGATACCCTTTGAGTTACATTTGTGTTAGTACTAAGTCAAATAATTTACAATATATTTTCATATTTATGAAGTATATTATTTTCACATAAAATAACTATGAGTATTCGATTGGTCTAATGTACAAGAGGTCAAAGTGGGCCATATATATCAATTAAGCAAATGGAAAATAAATTTACAAAGGGCAGCAGATAATACTACTAACTACAATGTATATCTAATTATGGGTGTTTTTTGGTCATAATTATTTTTTTTTTCCAAAAGGTATTACATGTACTTTTAGAGTTTCAGTCGCAGTAAAGTGAACTAATCATATGAAAGAAAGAGGCATGAATCAGAGCTTCCATTAAGTTCTAAAACTTGGAAGTCAAAGGCTGCAAAATTTTTAACATTGAAAGTCACAATTTATATGTAAAGAAGAAAAAGCAATATATTTTGGAAGTCATCAGCCAAAATCAAGCAGTAAATGATTCTCAAACTTCTCCTTACAAAAGCATTGACCAAATTTTGCAAAATAATTATAATTCTATTTTGTAACATGAACTTTCATAACTTGTAAGTAAAGACAAATGTAATAATATACCTGCTCTGTAGATGTTCAAGTTGTACCTGTAGATTCTCGGCTTGTTCCTGTAACTCATCATTAGTTCTCTGTACCTTCCGTACATTGTTTGCTTGTGTATCAACCTATAAAATATATTTATAAATATATCTCGCTTAAAGGCTTATTGAGTCAGTTGAAAACAATTCAACCAGAGGAAAATATGTCAAAATATCAAGACCTGTCAGTACAACAGCTTGCTTGACTCTTCTTGTTGCTTGATAGAGAAACAAGAACCTGGATAATACAAAAATTTTCTAAGTTAAAAAAAGGCCATAATTCTGTCAAAATCCATATAAGACTTAAGGAACTTTGACAGTGATCTCCTATTATTATGTGTAGTTTCAACTTATTCCTTTTAGTAGTTTTGGAGATACCAATTTGTACGCAAAAACTTAAAGTGTGGCGATGATGCTGAGACCTTGTTGAATACAATAGCTATCTTTAGTCTTTGAGTAGTTTGGCTAAAAATCGATATGAAATCTATTTTAAATAGGATTTTTCATGAAGTTTTGTCAAATACATCTGCAAGACTAGAATATCAAAACAACAACAACAATAAATACTTTTTTTGTGCCAATTAACTAGAATTCCAATCAAATGAAAGTTTCCAAAAGCTTTAATTATCAAGAATGACTTCAAAGCCTTTCAGAGCAGTACAAACATAGCAAAAGTCTGGTGAAGCAGGATATCCTATGTGCACTATTTTGGAGGCAATTATACACCTATATAGAACTTGGCACCTCCTGTATGATAATGAGCTAATGACATAAATTCTAAGCATCAAAGCAAAGTGTACCATGGGGCACTAGAAATTTTAATCCCAAAGATTATTTTAATAATACTTTATGTGCCAATAAAAAACCCAATCAGTCTAGCAATGATACCAAAATAGTAGAAGGTTGTGCAGTATGTGTTGTGATAATAATTTACCTCGTCTTCAGCTGTGGCAAGTTCACGTTTCAGCTCCTCTACTCTGGACCTTAGTTTTTTCACCTCCACTTCGAACTGGTCACAGCGACGCTTGCTATGCTCGAGGTCAGTCACACGCTCTTGTAACGTCTTCTTTAGTTTAGTGTGACCATGCTTCAAGTCAGCTAATTCCTAGTTTTTATAAAAAAATAATCCAAGTAAACACTCAGTGTTTGAAATAAAACATTTACTCCGTGCTACTGAATACTAATGTTCAGTTCAACAGAAATACAATTGAGAATAGTTATACAAGACTTTTATACAAAAACTTCAAAATGCTTAACAAAAAAATAAACTTGAATTTCTTTTGTCCACTTTAAGATAAAAATAAAAATCAGCAAAATCAGAAGCTTGTAACTAAACATTAATACTTTTGATGAATTTCATTTTTTTTTTTAATTTCTGTAATATACATCAGGGAGTCATTTACTCCTTAAATTTGGCTTGTGACTTCCAAAATGTCATTCTTATTTTTCTTTATCTATATAGTATGACTTCCAAATTTAGAGATTTTGTTGTCTCTGACTTCCAAATTTTGGAACTTAGCGGAAGCCCTGATACATGAGTAGTAATAATTGAAATATATTTTGAGGTGTAAAAATTGTATGATATTAGATGGAAACTTAAACTGCAAAGTCTTTGCCATCAGTATACAGCCAAATCAGCCTCCACATTACCTGTAAAGTCTTGATATACTCTGGTGGCTGATCAATAACAATACTTTCATTTTGTGATCCCTAAAACTACTAATGAACTGTTCATAATTCATAGCAAGGCAAATCCATTAGCTAAATGTAAATTTAGCAGTCTAAGGAGAAAAATAGAGTTTTGCAATATTATAATTATGTCTTAGTCATATACTTGGTACAAGATGAAGTATAATTGTATAATTTACTATAAACTCACTTTATTTTTCTCTGACACTTCCATCTGTAATGTTTTAATATCTTTATTAGTGACTGTGGAAGCATGAGTGCTTTTTCTCTCCAATTGTTCCTCAAGGTCGGATATCTGTGTATGTAATTTCTTATTGTCACGTTCTAGGGCCAGTTTCTCTGTCTCTAGTCGTTCTCTTTTACCCCATTCATCAGCGTTCTCTTTCTGAAGCCTCTCAAGCTGAATGGAAAATAATAACATCATGTTTTATAGCAACCATCGGATAATAATATCATGTTTAACAACAACCACCATATAATAATATCATGTTTTATAGCAACCACAAGAAAATAATATCATGTTTTATAGCAACCACCAGAAAATAATATCATGTTTTATACCACCCAACAGATAATAATATTATGTTTTATATATATCATGTTTTATAGCACCCAACGGATAATAATATCATGTTTTATAGCACCCATCAGCAAATAATATGTTTTATAGCAACCACCGTAAAATAATTTCATGTTTTACAGTTACCACTGGATAATAATGTTTCATAGCAACCACCAGAAAATAATATCATGTTTTATAGCAACCACCAGAAAATAATATCATGTTTTATAGCACCCACCAGAAAATAATATCATGTTTTATAGCAACCACCGGATAATAATATCATGTTTTATAGCACCCACCAGATAATATTATCATGTTTTATAGCAACCACCGGAAAATAATATCATGTTTTATAGCAACCACTGGATAATAATATCATGTTTTATAGCAACCACCAGATAATATTTTTATAGCACCCACCAGATAATATTATCATTTTTTTATAGCAACCACTGTAAAATAATCTCATGTTTTACAGTATCCACTGGATAATAATATGTTTTACAGCATCCACTGGAAAATAATATCATCATATTTTATAGCAACCACTGGAAAAATAATATTTTTTTTTTTTAATAGACCCACCGGGTTAAATAAATTGAATAGAAATTGAATTTTTTTTAATTTGGCAAGCTTCCCCCAAAAGAAAAAAATCTGTTTACGTTTTTCTATAAAACATGGGGCACATGAAAATTTCAACCACACTTTGTTCTTACCCCAAACCAACTGCCCTTCTTGTGCTTTTTTGCTATGTTTTTTCAAAAATTTCCCCCTAAAAAATCTTTTTTTCCAATTTAAAGCCTTAAAAAAAAAGTTTAAAATTAAATTTGAAGTTTTTTATTTTAAATTTCCAAAATTTTTTAAAATTTTCATATTGTTTTTTTAAATTTTTTCTGCAATTTTATGTTATCTTGTGCTAAAATTTGCCCTTATGCAGTTTCCTACTACATGTGTAATTCAGAAATCCCCCCATGAAAATTAATCTTCCATGTTGACCTTAAAGGCACATAAAGCCTAAGAAATGAATATGATTTTCCTATGAAGAGAGGTGGTGTTTGTACTTAACTCTCTGGATCATGGTAGTAAGCTATATTGAATTTACCAGAGCACAGTTGAGCCACTGCAATGTTCCTTGGCAAGCTGTCAAGCAGTTTACCAGTACTAGTTGTCTTCAATTAAAGGAAGGAACTGATAACTTCTGTACATGCCAGAGCAGAGGTACAGTGCCAATGACCGTAGAATTTAGGATTCTATGATCAATCAGGCGGTTGTGGAATATCAAAAATAATTAAGAGTCTTTCATTTCAGGCAAAAGCTGGCATTGTTGTGAGGACTTTGTGTCCTTTGGGGAACTCAAACCACCAATAGTGGGAATGCAAAAAAGAAAGGTTTTATACAAGTCATTAAAAGTGAATAAGTCTAAGAATAAGTTCTTGGGCCAAGAAGGCATAATTGAGATAACTAGAACTATCACTAAATGTGATTAATACCCCCAAAGACTGCTTTGGAAATAAGAAGTTAGTAGTAACAGAATACCTTGTAAAAGAATTGAAATAGAGTTATGGTTGTGGGCAAATAAAGAAAGTTGTGGTTCTTGTATACATGTTGCATTTCCTTTCAATGTGGTTGAAATTTTATTAAATTACTCTGTAATAAGTCCAGAAAGAGTTAAGCTTCTTGAGCACTGTACTTCCTCTCATTGCGCTTGACCATTGTATGAAGTTGCATTGAATTCTAAACATTAGTTTTCAAGTTATGCACTGGGCAAAAAAAAGTAACAAAGGGCAATAACTGTAATTAGTACAAACTGAGGTATGGTTCTTGTGCACTGCACTTCATCTCACTGCCCTTGACCATTGTATGAAGTTTCATTGAATTCCAACCATTAATTTTCAAGTTATGTACTGGACAATAAAAAGGAACAAAGGGCAAAAACTCTTAAATGAGTCAAGAAAGAGTTACGGTTTATGTGCACTGTGCTTCCTCTCAATTTACTTGACCATTGTATTTAATTGTATTGAATTCCAAGTAGTAGTTTTCAAGTTATGTCCAGACAAAAAAAAGCAATGGAAAAGTAACAAAGGGAAATAACTCTGTAATTACTTTAGATAGAGTTATGGTTCTTAAACAATGCACTTCCTCTTTTGTGCTTGAACACTGTATGAATTTGTTTTGAACTCCAACCAGTAGTTTTTAAGTTTTGCTCCGGACAAGGAAAAGTAACAAAGGGCAATAACTCTTTAATAAGTGAAGATAGAGTTATGGTTCTTGTGCATTGCACTTCCTCTCAATGTGCTTTATCATTGTATGAAGTTGTATTGAATTCCAACCATTAGTCTTCAAGTAATGCTCCGGACAAGGAAAATACAATGGACCGCTGGACCGACTGACCAGCGGGTGACTCCTATATACCCCCCAAACTTTGTTTCGGGGGTATAATGATCATTAATACTATGTTTGTAACACAAACCTCAAGTCTAAGTTCAGCTAGCCGCTTATCTACAGAACTCTTAGATGACTGTTCATCCTGAAGGTCATTAGACAGTCGACCTAACTCCTCCTCATGTAGGTCCTTCAACTTCCTCACCTGTAAAAACATTTTACTGTTATTTTAACCCTTACCATGCTAATCTCTAAAATGGACTTGCCCATCTTTCTATCTAGACAAAACTACTCATGGTTTTAGGAAATAAATTTTTCAATTAAGTACACTTTATTATAGTGAACAGTACAGACAAGATCAAATGGCACAGATCGTGATGTACTGGATAGTCTTGGTCTGCACTGTTCGCATGTGGAGAATCAGTTGCAATAAGCATGCTTAGAGTTAAACTTTAAAGTTTATTTGTAACAATAAATGCTTTTAAGCACTTTTAAAAGAATTTCAACATATTACAATATAGAGGAAATTGAATGAGTGTAGGTTTTATACTAAATTTATTGAACGAGTTGAATAAAATCATATTTTGCAAGCCTCTGGCGAGCATGATATTGTTTTATTCAGAGTTCAGGGCTCTCAGTAGGGTCAGAATTTCACGAGTCAAAGACTCTTTGGCCAAAATTTTCACGAGTCAAATCATTTTTTTCTAGTGTCATTTGACTACATGAATCATTTTTAAGTTACAAAAATTACTGTTATTGGAGTTATAAATGTCTATATATCACCCCCCCCCCCCCCCAAAAAAAAAAAAAACAACAACAAACTAGAACTGCCACTATCATGGCGTGAATACCCCCGCATACCACTTTGTCAGAATCAACAGTGGCCATTTAGAGCTCAAGGACAACCTCCCTGCCAAATCTGAGGTTACTAAGCCAGTGCATTGCTAAGTTATGTATTCTACATGCTTCAAATGTGAAAATGTCAAAATCAATACATTGCGGACAGGACATACTTTAGCAATTGAGAAAAAAAGCTTTTTTTGTCAAGATCCCTGTGACCTTGACCTTTGACCCAGTGACCTCAAAATCAATAGGGGTCACCTTATAGTCATGACTAACATCCATGCCAAATATGAAGACTGTCAGTCAAAGGAATCTAAAGTTATTGGGCAGACAAACTTTTTGAAGTCAAAGTCCCTGTGACCTTGACCTTTGACCTGGTGACCTCAAAATAAATAGGGGTCATCTACTAATCATGACTAACCTCAATGCCAAATATGAAGACTGTGGGTCAAAGGAATCTTAAGTTATTGGGCGGACAAGCTTTTTGAAGTCAAGGCCCCTGTGACCTTGACCTTTGACCTAGTGACCTCAAAATCAATAGGGGTCATCTACTAATCATGACTAACCTCCATGCCAAATATGAAGACTAAGGGTCAAAGGAATATTAAGTTATTGGGCGGACAAGCTTTTTGAAGTCAAGGCCCCTGTGACCTTGACCTTTGACCTAGTAACCTCAAAATCAATAGGGGTCATCTACTAATCATGACTAACCTCCATGCCAAATATGAAGACTGTGGGTCAAAGGAATCTTAAGTTATCGGGTGGACAAGCTTTTAGAAGTCAAGGCCCCTGTGACCTTGACCTTTGACCTAGTGACCTCAAAATCAATAGGGGTCATCTTCTAATCATGACTAACCTCCATGCCAAATATGAAGACTAAGGGTCAAAGGAATCTTAAGTTATTGGGCGGACAAGAAAAAACCGACGGACAGCCGGACGGACGGACGGCCGGACAAGCTGATTCCAGTATACCCCCCTTACAACTTTGTTGTGCGGGAGTATAAAAACAAACAAACAAATAAACAAAACAAAAATGACTTGCATCTTTACTGTGAAAGAATAAAAAAGCAGCAGCTTTTCTGATTAAATGTATAAAATATAAAAAAAATATTTTTACTGGTATGCTATATCATACTATATCATATTAATTTTAAATAACACAAGAGCTGTCTGTATGACAGCACGCTCGACTATTCTAAGTGCTTGATAGTAAAAGAGCATTGGTAATGTTAAATTTTTTAAGTTCACAAAAGGGCTAATTTTTTTTTATAAATTCATGTTATAGGCCTTAGAGAGAGTCTAATTATACAGTATTGGCTTGATTATTCGGAAGGTAATGTCACAAGGGTGTTTTATTGAGTATAATAATACTAATTAACTATGAATACATAAATTTGACAGAAAAAGGTACAAAGGCTTGTTATTAAGATGTTTTATCAAGTAAATCACTGCTTTATTATTATGAATGCATAAAATTGTCCCAAAAAAGGCACAAACCCTTCAGTAGTTATTGAGATAACAGCTTACAAGCAAAACTTTACCATGAATTTCTAAGTTGAAAAAGTGGAGAAAAAGCAGCCTAAATGCAAGATAGAATTATGGATCTTTGTTAGTGACCTACAATTATGACCCTTAATGCATATGTGAAGTTTTAAATAAATATCTTTAATAGTTATTGAGAAATGTAAAACTTGCATGTAAACATTAACCAAGAGACTAAGTAGAAAAGGGGATATGAATCAGCCTTAATGCAAGATAGAGTTATGGAACTTGGTCAGTGACATACAATTATGACCCTCCAATTATGACCCGAAGTGCATAAGTAAATATCTTTGAAGACCTTCAACCTTTAACCTTTAACCAAAATTTCTAAGTTTCAAAGGGGCAAATAATTCTGCAAATATTGCAGGCAGAGTTATGCAATTTTGCAAACTGATGTACATTGTTACTATAAAAAAGTATTTTAAATTTCAATTGAATATCTCAAACAGTAATTGAGATATTTGACTTTACAAAAAAACTTTAACCAAAATTTTTAAGTTCCAAAGGGGCATTATTCTGTCAATATTGTAGGCAGAGTTATCCAACTTGTCAATCTGATGAACCTCGTTATTATAAATAAGTATTGTAAATTTCAATTGAATATCTCAAGCAATAAGTGAGATATTTGACTTTACAAAAAACTTTAACCAAAATTTCTAAGTTAAAAAGGGGCATAATTCTGTCATTATTGTAGGCAGAGTTATGAAACTTGTCAATCTGATGTACCTTGTTACTATAAATAAGTATTATAAGTTTCAATTGAATATCTCAAGCAATAAGTGAGATATTTGACTTTACAAAAAACTTTAACCAAAATTTCTAAGTTAAAAAGGGGCATAATTCTGTCATTATTGTAGGCAGAGTTATCCAACTTGTCAATCTGATGTACCTTGTTACTATAAATAAGTATTGTAAGTTTCAATTGAATATCTCAAGTAATAAATGAGATATTTGACTTTACAAAAAACTTTAACCAACGCAGACGCCGACGCGGACGCCGACGCCGGGGCGACTACAATTGCTCTCATATTCTTCGAATAGTCGAGCTAAAAATGTACTAGGAATATTTAATGGAAAAAGAAATAAAAAATGTACAGGTACTCCAAGTAAATCAAAGACATATTATAAACCTTTAAAAGCAATCAATAATTGACACCTCAAGTTGTTGTGTGGAGCTATTTTTAGCGCTGTCAAATTGCAGCCACTGATTTCGCACTTCAGTGCACATGCTGTGTGTATAGCACTTTATACACGACTTATACAGCCTATTGACATTTTACTGAGTGTGATTTGAAGAGCTGTAGGATTTGATAGGTAATTAGAGGTGGATTTAAGGTAATTATTATTGCATAGCTTAAAATCCCATGTGGCAAATTGACTCTTGTGCAGATTTTATCACGTGTCAAATTTGTGCTTTTCCTGATTTTCACGAGTCAAAACCCAGATCCCCATGTTAATCGAGAGCCCTGAGAGTTCAATGAATTTAGTATTGAATCTACACAAATACAATTTCTATTTATCACATATTTAAAAAGAGACTGGTTTATAGTTAAAACAAGTCATTGGCGACGCCGGTGAGCGGCGTCGTCTTAAAGATCCTGTAACACATTTTTTTCATGGTTTTATTTCATAAATATGATGCTCAGATTAAGATTTGTCAATATTGTAAGTTCCAACAAGCATTATTTATAAAGATATTACCGAATTAAACATTTCATGTAAATAAAGGGAGGTAATTATAAATTTATTTTCAATAAATTTTAAGTCAAATTTTCCAATGAGAAAAGAATGCATGTAATTTATTGATTAAATATAATGTGCACAAATATTTGCAGTACTCATTTTACATATTCTTCGATGTTTGAAAATTGTTTTATTTGCATAATTATATACATATATAACTTTTTGCAAGTGTAGTATACATACAGTGACAATATCAATCAAAAAACATACAGGATCTTTAAATGGAATGCTTTTTATTTTTGCCTATGGAAGGAGCTGTTATTATTAGCAGTTAATTTCATGTTGAGTTAATTAGATTTATTTTGATTCGTAAAAATCATGTAAACAAATATGTTGTTATATTTGTATTTAATAACTTTATATAAAAAGCATGTGCATTGTGATATTATTTTCACGAAATTGCATGCTCAGTTTAACAGCTTGTCCCTTAGTTTTATTGACAATACTAAAACCCGGATTTCGAATATCGTTGTGGTCTACATTGATGCCGTAACCATTTCGTTCATTCATTTATATATTTTCAAAATTTTCTTACAAGAAGAAAGTTCACCTGCAAATGAGTATAAGGATAGGTAATGGACTGTTGTTAACGATTATCCTATTGATTTTATCCATATTACGTTGATCTGTTGCACAGAATGGTTGTTTTTACAAAGTGTACCAGTATCCGGATGTTGAAAGCTATCCGATTTTCTGCAATAACTGCTGTCACATGGTCATCTATTTTTTATGAATACTTTACCATTAATTTGCATGGCTTAATAAAACTGACTGAGCCTGCAACATTTCGTAATTTTAATGTTTAGGGTGTTCTTTTGGGTTTCAGGTTTTCAGTCTTTTAAGGGGAAGTAACTCATGTTTACTAAATTATTTGTTCTTTTCTGTCTACTCTATCTTTAGTATTACTTACTATTTTTTTTTCTATTTTTATAAAATTTACCAGTTGTAAGGTCATCAAAAGCAGAGAAGCCCTGATGAGTGAATATTGATATATATTTTTACTGGCTTGATATACCCTAGACCAGATTTTTCTAGTTTGTTCAGTTGGTACATACCTATAGGTATTCTGCTAGAGGCATTTTCTAATCACTATGTGAAATTATTATTTTCTATGTGTTTGTATATGAATTGTTACTAAAATAACCTTTGGTAAAAATGAAAAGTAGAATATTTAAGCTATACATATAGGTGCTCATTTTAAACACTTGATTACATTATATGCAGTTAGTTATACATTGTATAGTAAAGTCTAATGGAAGGTTAAAAGAGGGACAGTATTTGTTACTGTAAGAGATATGCATTTAATGTTTAGACACTAACACAACTTAATCTGTAACACATGATATAGACTATTTGAGATTTTTTTTTACTTTTATACTATACAATATCATGTATACATTATAGTTTTCTTTCTACAAGATTATGAATTCCTGTCAATAGGATGTTATATTTATTTTTAATGGAACCTGAGAATTATTAATGTAATGTGCATACAAGTGTATCATTGTATATGGATATAATGTGTATTTCTGTATTTAAAGACTTACAGTTATGATGGATGAGACTTGCATTTAAATTAATTAATGATAATACATATATTGATCAGTCTACAGGTTATAGTTGTTTATACCCAGTGTTAGCTGGCTAATAATAGTATCTATAACAGAGTTTATATATTCTACTAGATTTTGAATTCCATCCATTAGTACCAATGTTAATGTTAGGATTTCATATTTATTTAATAGAAACTGGGAATTATTAATGTTATGTGCATACATGTATATCTTAGTATATTGATATGATGAGACTTATAATATTTCTGAATTTAAAGAGTTACAGTTATGTCATTATTATTAAAGGGATGATACTTTCATTTAAAGTTATAAATGATAATACATGTATTGATTGAAAATGTCCTGAAACTTGGATCAAGCAATATAATTGATAAAGTCTCAAAAAATCATGTTTTGAATGGTTATTCTAATTTTTTTCTAACATGTGCATAGATTGAAAAGGACAGCTTCTGTCTTATCTATTTGTAATGGAGGGACACCGGTCTCAATTTCCAAGCTTCAGGTCTCCTGAGTCAACCCGACAACAGACTTTTCATAGAGTAGATTGTTACTTGCCCTTGAATAAATTTGTACACTTAATTTTATAGCAGGTGATTTTTGCCACATGAAAACCAACAAAGTACAAAAAAGTAACAAGGCGCCAGACACAAAGTGGTGTGTTTGTTGCATTTTCATGTTTTCGCCCAGTGCCCTTGATGCAAAATACAAATCAGCCTTCATAAAATTTCACAAAAATCATAGAAAAAGGGTTAGTTTTTTATCCGTACAAAAAATAGATATTGTACATGTATTAGCACAGTTATGTTCACTTTCAAATTGACCTGTTATAAATAATGGCACAACCAATAGTTTACTGTCTAAGCCCTTTTTAGTAAAAATAATTATACATAATATATAAATTGTTATTTTAATTTAGACTATGAGTATGTAAGGTTTTTATTTCTTATTTATTAATTAAGAATTAATTATCTGTTGATTTAAAAATCTAAATATCTGTCACGGTTTAGAACTGTTCACTATTTAGGCCAGAAAATGTGTAAGCGGCCAGATAGTTCAATCGCTTACAGCCGCGGTACATTATTCTGTGGGTCACAGGTTTGAGTTCTGGTCAAGCTGAAAAATTTCTCATCCAGTGACTGCATATAACCATGAGTTTAATTCACTATGCTCTGTAAACATCAGAAATTCAAGGACATAAACCAATAGAGTGGGGAAATATGTTGTGGTTTAGAACTATTTCATTATTAAAGAGAAAATGTGTAGCCGGCCGGATAGCTCAGTTGGTCTTCTGAAAGTCATGGGTTCGAGTCATGGTCAGGCAGTTTAAGTCAGGGTTTAGAAGTGGTTTTTCTCATTTAATAGATTGTACTTTATTTGAAATGGACAAAGGCAGTATTGCATGATACTTTTAGATCTACAAAGCATTTGATACAGTTGATCACACTATACTGCACATGAAGAAGTTATTTTTCTTCTTCTTCATGGAACTTGAAGTATCTGCCATATGTAATGACATTCTTACATGCTTCAAGTCTTATCTCTGATAGCAGCTGGTTGATGTGGCTGGTTCTCCTTCTACTACTGCTCTGAGTACCTATGGTGTCCCCCTGATGTTCATTTTAGGTCCTCTTTTATGTCTAATATATGTCAATGACATGTCTGCAACCTAAGCAATAAGCTTTTATTATATGCACAGGCACAAGTATCAGACATGGGAAGAAAAAATATGACAAGATTGATAAAAACGTGTGTTCATCTTAAAATTGTCACAAACCACAAAAACCTTTAAAAATATACTTTAAGTTAATAGTATATTTTTAAAGGGGGTCATTATTTACATTTTTTTTTTTTTTTGGTTTTTGACACTTTTAAGATGAACACAGTTTTTTTTATCAATCTGGTCATACTTTTTCTTCCCAGGTCCGATACTCGTGCATGTGATTATATGATGATGACAGGTATCCTTGTATTTGGTAAAATAAATAGTAAGATTAGTTAATTGACTATAAATTGTCTTTGCATCTTGGCAAGACAGAGTCTTTTCTTTTTGGTTTAAGTTTCAACTTAAACTGGGCCTATCCTCCAGGTCACATGAAATGGTACTTCTATCTTTTGTTAAGTATTTAGGTGCAAACCTGGATCAAATTCATTTGGCGTCGCCCTTTGATGCTTTGCATCAATGCTTTTCTTGTTTTTCATTGACCCACCCACACGCTAACATAAGCATGCTTTAACGCTATATTTATATATAGCGCAAATGATGTCATGTCAAAGTGTTATTACACCAGTGTAATATTGTTTTTATTACATGTCTTTATTACACTCCTCGGCCACTGTTTATGTGATAATATTCTGTAAAACATAGAAGTTAAAGCAAAAGCTATGATTATTTAACATGTAAGTAAAATAGTATTTCTTATACAGACAGTAGGATCCAACTACATTGTATACTGATAAGTGATTTGTTCACTTTATGTAGCAACTCACATAATCAGATTTATTGATTATAATGCAATTAAAAAAAGAAAATGTCTGTATGGCAACCTATTCATGCTTGAATCTTCGTGAAAAATTACTTAGTGCTATGTGTGTGACAAACTAATATACAAGCCATAGGCAAAAGCTTGTAAAATATGACTTTCAAACTTCTAAAAAAAAAGCTTTTTTAACCATAAACTGCCAAATTTGTTTGTAAGGAATTGTCATCATTTAAAATAAAATTTACAATACGAGGCCTTCAGGTAACTGTGTAAAAACCCAGTTGCCTATAGTAAAGTATCTGGTCTTCCTGGGTTGATGAAATCTGCAAGAAACAATTTTTGCTGCTGGGAAAGAGTTATTTTAATTCGATTAATTTACTCACCTGAACTTCTAGATCATGTTTAGTTTGATTCAATTCTTCATTTTTTGATTTCCAGCTGTGAATGTCATGTCTCAATGTCTCTATAGTTTTTGTCTGCTGAGTCTTCTCTCTGCATATGATAGATAAATCATTTGACTTTTGCCAAAAAAACATAAAAATTAATTTCATATTTAAGGTGAAACAAATATTTATTACATTTGCAGAAAAACAATAGAGGAGCTAATTGTCAATCTGAGTTGCTACAAAGTTGTTATTCATAAGACATACAAAGCTTAGTACTATAAAGTTGAATCGCAACCTTGACTTGCCTTCAAGACTTCAGTGTTTTTATTTTCTAATTTTTAAAAACCACCTATGGTTTTGCAATTGGTAAAATAAGCAACATGTGTCTAAATCTGGGGAAAAATATAAACTACATGTACAAGCTTTAATATGATAAGCCATATAAATGAACACATATTATAATTCTAAAAATATCTAGAGAAATTGAAATTCTTGTTACTTAATTTAGATCTTCGATTTTTTTAGAATTATCAACAATATTTATGTCAATTTATGATCTTAATTTTAGAAAATTGGTAACATACTCTCTTTCAACTATTATCGTCTTTTGAGACTCCTCCAATTTCAGTTGCAGCAGAGCAAGTTTATCTCCAGCCAACGACTCTGAACACTCTTGTAATTCAGCAACTTCAGTCTTAACACCAGTTGCTGATTTTTTATCAACTAGTATCTCTTCTGATTTGGAAGAACTTGGACTTACTAGATTAACCGGATCAGTCTGTACAGAGGTATTCTGTAGCTCACATTTTGATTGTACACTATCTAAACTATTACTTGAGGTAGTTTTGGACTCATCCGACAGCTCAACCTGTTTATCCATTAACTTACTCTTCTCAGAATCTTTACAAGTATTCACTAGACCTTCTCTTTCTCTTTTTAAACTGTTAATTTCTTTAATACACAAGTCAAGTTTGGCTCTAAGTTGTCTGTTTTCTTCTCTCGACTTATTTCTCTCATTTCGTACTTTACTCCATTTTTCCCGCCAGTTAGAGGTACAATCGGACCACCAGCGCATCGTCTTCTCCATCTGTGAGGCTCTCGCCCTTATCTCTTCAAGTTCTCTTTGTTGCAGCTCTAGCTTATCTTCAAGGTCACTATTGACATTGTGTTGCTGGGCAGCAACTGGCACATGATTTGATTCCATTGCAGGTAATGGAGATGGTGCTATCGGGAACTGAGGTCCAGGGGTAGCTCTTAGGTTAAACACATCCCCCTTTGGTACAGCCCCTTGAACTGGCTTTTGACTTGTCATTGCGATCTGAATAATTATTTCAAAAAGTTTTTCACAAACTTTCAGGAATCCTTTTTACCGCAACATCTACACAAATGTTCTAGAAAATAAAAAATAAAATGTTATGTTAGTTACATACATGAAATTATTCATCTCCTTTCATAACATTTACATCAAGCAATACAAAATGAAATAATTAGATTTCAATAATGTTACCAAGACTTGTCTTAAAAAATGTTGTTTTGTAGGATAATAGATGCAGAATGGAAAAAATGTTGTTTGACAGATGTATACTTAATAGAGCATTGAAAATAAGTCCTGATATTAATTACCTGATTCTAAAGTCAATCTACTACTTTAGAATATTAAATCCCATTAAAGGTGCTTTACCTGTAACTATGAGTCTATGACAATGGTGATATGTATATATTCTTGTAAGTAGAAAAACATTTTTTGTTTTCAAAAGGTTACAGTATGATTTTACAACTGGAGAGTATTTTATACATGTAAATTTATACTTAACATATGCATTATAACTAAACATTATAACATTTAGTAGTCTAAAATATTAGACATATGTAGGCTTTTACGAAAGTTTTTTTATGGGCAAACATATTGATAGATCCCTACTCTGACCTTTCATTTGAATAACAATAGATTTAACCAGAAACATTGACAACCATGTGCTATTTTGTTCACAAATATGTTCAGGGTGTTCACTAGCCATGAAATCCTGAGGGTCATTTTGACCAAGTTTTACCGACTACAAGGGGAAAACCCCCATGATTTTAACAAAATCTGACCCTCCAGTTAAAATCCTGAGGGTCAAATCAGGCCTTTTCGAAATTTGAAGGGTTAAAGAGTCATTTCAAGGGTCAAATGGACACCCTGATGTTGTAGTTAAATTCTTTTTGTATCTACTAATCTGTTAATTAGAATAAGACAGGTCAGCAATCAATGCATTACATGTAAATGAGATAAATGAAAGACACATATTAAAATAGAAATTTTAATAAAAGTCTAAAACTAATGTTTTTTTTAATCAATTGATAATCATAAATTTTGTACAATTGCATGCACAACCACCCCTTAACAATCTCAAACATACAAAACCAACATAATGGGTTTGCGACCAGCATGGATCCAGAGCAGCCTGCGCATCTGTGCAGTCTGATCAGGATCCATGCTTTGCTATCAGTTTCTCTACTTGTAATAGTTTGTAAGCAAACAGCATGGATCCTGATCAGACTGTGTGGATGCGCATGCTGGTCTGGATCCATGCTGGTCGTAAACCCATTATGTTGGTTTTGTCGTGACGCAGCTCAATTTTATCTAAAATGAAAATTAACAACAGTTCACCACTGCCTAACCTACCATGTTTGTGGTGTAGGCAGTTTACAGTTTGATTTCAGGTTTTTCAAACAGAATATATATTAATTAAGGCTGCCATTGCTTTAGCATAATCTTCCTGATGAAGAACCAGATAGGTTCCAAACCGACAGATCTCTATTAAAATTTTGTTCACATTTATCCGGTGTTGACATGCGGTTTCTTTGTATTCTTCCTTTTTATCTAGCAAAAATTTTGTTTAAAAAAAAACAAAACATATTTCTTCTTTTATGATTACTGATTTAAATGTGTAACCATTCAGATAACTTTTGTCTATGTCATTGTGGTAAAATGAAACAAAAGTAATGTCATTTAAGATTAAAAATTTAACTTAAAAAAAAAATTTAAACATAATTTTCAGATGTGACAGTTTTAAACTTTAATAATTTCTTTCACAGGTAAGTTCATGAACAACTAGGTTTCAAATCATTTTTATGCTGATTTAAATGTTAAAAGAAAAATCTTGCAGAAAGTGCTACATAGGGAATTTTACGAATCAGATTTATACGACTTTGCGTTCTCCAGAAGTAAAACTGTAAAAGTATCGCCAAGCAAATTCTTACCCAAGTTACCTTGGGACTAAACAAGGTTTTATTTTTAACCGAGACAAGATAAATGAGAGTGTTACATTATTCATCGCAACATTAATAATAATTAATGCATAAATAATAATGCCTTAAAATTGGCCGTCACATGACCTATGTCTGGCCTTTGAAAGAATATGTTTTTGTTTTCTTGTTTTATCTAGTAGAAAACACACAGAAATTACAGCTGATAACAATTATTTCTATTTTTTTCTTATTGACCTTTTCGAAAACCTAGCTAAATACTGTTTTCCGGTATGTTGCGGATTTAGCTCTGGGATCAATTACACCAAATGAAGTACTTAACACAGTTACATGATATTTCTATTTTTCTATCATTATTATACCAAGGTTGAAAAAATTGATGTTTTTGAAAATTATCAATATTCTTTTAATATCTATTGCAAATTTTTGAAAAAAATAAATTGTTTATAATGAAAATCAATAAAATTTAAACAGACGTTGTGGAATCTTCCATAATTAAATAAGGTTATTTTCTGCGTAAACTTGTGTATTTAGTTTATTTTTTGTATGGAGTTATTCATACAATGATATTCAATTATTTTCTTATAGAGAAATAACTGTTTTATTTCAATTCTATTTTTAAAAAGGCCGAAAACGTCGAGTTCGCTATTACACTCCATTAGGTGAATTCCCCAGAGCTATGTACAGAAAGTACCGGAAAACGGCATTTAGGTAGGTTTTCAAATTCGTGAATTATTTCTCGCCGTTAGGTAGGTTTTCGAATTCGTGAAATATTTCTTAGTGATTTATAACAGTGGCAAATTTTCAACTTCATAAAAATCATTGGGGTGTTCTGTGTAAATATGGAAGCAGTGCATGAAATACTGTATGGCACCTTTAAAACAAAATATGAAATAAATATGGACAATTATGTTAGTCGACTTCCCCATGCATTGACTTTGCCTAATTTCATATTACTAATGACAAATATTTACTAATATCGATCACAGGTGCTAGTGGCATTGATTTGACCTAAAATGTGTTTGACCTTGTTATTTATACAATAAAATATCAATATATTAAAAAAAAAAATTAAAAAAAATAATTTTTTTTTACTGTTATATTATTATAGACAAGGTATGCAACATTCAGGTACGAAAATTATGGGTACGCCGGTTATCTGTGTTAAAATTTTTCACCTGGCGGTAATATCGTCGGATTTCTGCATGGAATCAATGCACAATATATTTTTCTATTACAATTTACTATTTACAGATCCCCAATTAACCGCTAGTTAATGTTTTAAAGCCCGAAAGTAAGAAATCACCCAGGTCCGAAAGATGAGACCGTCATGACATGTACATTGTAAGCTGGTATTTACGCTTGAAATACATCAACAAAGAGATCAAACGGGTCGAACTCACATGCAAACAGCTGGATTTTACATACTTTTAAATGGTTATATCCTCCACGAGTGGCACTAAGTCCTATGTGCCCGTATTTTAAGAAAAATTCTACATGTATAAGGTAATTCCTAAATCGGAAGTGTTCTCCCGCAACACGTGCTTGGTTCCCTGTTCCGCTCTTTGTCAATGTAGGTGAAACGGAAGCCGGAGAATACTTCCGGTAGGAATTACCTTCTAAAAATATCGTCTACATGTAGGATATTTCTTTAAATACAGGCTCATAGGACTAAGTTCGACTCGTGGAGGATAAAACCATTTAAAAGTATGTAAAATCCAGTTGTTTGCATGTGTGTTCGACCCGTTTGATCTCATTGTTGATGTATTTCAAGCGTAAATACCAGGTTACAATGTACATGTCATGACGGTCTCATCTTTCGGACCTGGGTGATTTCTTACTTTCGGGCTTTAAAACATTAACTAGCGGTTAATTGGGGATCTGTAAATAGTAAATTGTAATAGAAAAATATATTGTGCATTGATTCCATGCAGAAATCCGACGATATTACCGCCAGGTGAAAAATTTTAACACAGATAACCGGCGTACCCATAATTTTCGTACCTGAATGTTGCATACCTTGTCTATAATAATATAACAGTAAAAAAAAATTTTTTTTTTTAATTTTTTTTTTTTAATATATTGATATTTTATTGTATAAATAACAAGGTCAAACACATTTTAGGTCAAATCAATGCCACTAGCACCTGTGATATCGATACATAATTTTCTTTTTTTTCTATATTCAATCCTTTAACCTTACCAGTTTTAACAAACTTTAATTGCTTTAAGATAACTAATATTGGTTAAAAGATAGAGAAAAAACGTGTACAAGGGACAGGAACATGTCACAAACACGCATATGATAAGAGTGAAATGAGAAATTTTTATAAAATAATTTGCATCGCGGAATTGTATTACAATGGCTTTCTGAATTATATTCAACTCAATGATAAGTATTTAACAGCTGATCAAAATGTTTAATTGAAAAATACCAAAAATTACACATACAGCAAATAAATTAAACGATCATTTGATGGCAAACTGCACAAAAATAATGTAAAATTTTGTTTACTTTTTCGTTTCCTCCATCTTGCATCTCTAAATCCCGTAATTGATCCCGAAATGTACCGTGCAACTGAATGAGTCATCTTCTATTGGTATTTTAGATATTATTTTATTATATTAAATTTTTGTTCTTTACAATCACATAAAATTTAGGGTTTCATAATAAAATTGGCCAATAAAAATGCTTTATGCATCAGAAGCTTTTATGACTAATGAGAACTGGTTCTACTCACAGACACTTAATTGGGGTTTGGAGCTCAAAACGCCTTTAAAATCCAAATAAAATGCATATTTGCACAGATATACATACACTATTCAACTCCATGATATTTGTCAATCCCAGCACATGTACTGATCATATATATCAAAAAAACTTAATATAAGCCGTTTTGAAAAAATGTCATATTTCAACATCTATAATAGTATAGATGTTGAAATATGATTTTTTTTCAAAACGGCTTATATTAAGTTTTTTTATATATATGATCAGTACATGTGCTGGGATTGACAAATACAATGTATGCATTTTATTTGGATTTTAAAGGCGTTTTGAGCTCCAAACTCCAATTAAGTGTCTGTGGTTCTTCTATTAAACTACATACACTGTGAATCAAAGTCTAGCAAAGTCAGTTCAAAAGATGTTTAAAAATTGTAGTGCGGGTACTAGTGGAATATTTAGCGTAATATATGCGGCAGTCACTTTTAAAATCGATAACAGTTTAAAAATTAAACTTGTCTTCTGTTTCGTCACCTTCATCAGGAATATAATGTAAGTAGTATAATTTACTCTAATGTACTTTGCTTTAATTTATATTTTAATATTATAAACATTTTAATGTCAAGTCATTTGTTATAATATATTAAGCCCAGTCTTCAGTATTGTGCCATTTCTATATACTTGTAAAGTCTCATTGAGGACGTCTTTTCATGTCGTCGATCTGTAGCCTATATTCTTCGTTAGTGATGGAAGTCGACAATAATATCCAAGGCATCAAGTTGCAAACAAAAACGACTCTTACATTTTATCGATCACTGTGCTAAATTTTAAAGTCTTAAGCAGGACTTGCATTGCCGTCAATCCTTTTCTCTCCTTCTCTCTCTTTTACAGAGGCAGCGTTATGTTTTTATGCTGAATATAAAAAATGTCTTCAATAATCATAGAACTTTGAAAAATAACTGACCTTGCTAGACTTTGCTTGATTTTTCGTGACTTTGCATGCAGTGTTTAGTAGGATCGATATGTTCCAAGATGATACAGGTATGTTGCATGTGCACTTTAAACTCATTAATTGCGGCAAACAGTCCCCGCGAACTGCTTTCAGAACTTATTTAGGTATGTCTGAAATTCATTAAACCATAAATGGTTCTTGCAAAAATGAGTACTTCATTAACTGTGATGGTGATTATGGAATTTGATATGCTAGATTTTGGTATGTCCGAATGATGTTACATAATAATAATATAAGTTGTCAAGGAAAGATGTTTTTTTTTCACTTAATCTAACTAGGTATAGGAACGCACCGACAGTTTAAAGAAGTGATTTAAAAACAAAACCACCCAAATATGTTCATAGAAAAACTTATATAAATCATAGATAATCGATCACAATGAAATATACACGATAGGAGTAGCAAGAAAGCATATCGGCAACGTTACGTCGACTATAGTCAAATAAATACCTTGAATACACTTCAAATACCCCGTACGTGTAATATCAAATACGTGCATGTAGTCACCATATATAGTCACTGTAATGAACTCCTTTCCCCAAGAAAGTAGCAGAGCTATATGTTTATGACAAATTGACCTATAAATTAATAGCGTATGCTGACCGACATGAATATTATACAATGATAAATTTAACAAGTATATAACGACGGCTAGCATATTTTATATATATAGTCTTCTGCGAACATTACGTGCATAATTATTATTTTCAATATCGAACTTATTGGCTTTGTATTTTTGTTAGATATCGTGACTTTACTACATAATCATGATAATTATCAAATATGACTTAATTAATCCTTTTTTTATTATTATTGTGATGTAAAGGTCTTACAGATGTTATGTAGTGTATGAATGTTTCAATGACATTGTATCATTTTTTGTATTTATTTTAAATTGCTTCAGTTGAATTATTGACAACATAAGCATTATTGACAGTGTTAAATAAATATATCAAAAGACAAAGAATAGTGTCCCTTAAGAATAAGGCTCCCACGTTTACAATTTTTTGTAAACGTTTACACGATTGCTAAGAACCGAAACGATACCGTTTAAACGGTGGTACTTCTTTGTACTATACTACACCATGTATTCAAGTCTCCAAATGATGACTTACTTTTTATTTACAAATAATTTAATGTTCAGAACTCATCACGACTGAGTCCACACACATTTTCTGCATTGTATCCTCATTAAACATCAAAGGATAATCAACTTTACCAATGTATTATGTCACGATTAGTGCACGGTAATGCTGTGTGGAGGGTTGTAAATACCTATTTTCCGTATTTTACTTTGGAATAAACCAATTACAATTGATAGAATTCATGATTACAGGCAATGATTAAGATATTTTGTAAGACAATATGCTCATTTCGATTAAACGGTAAGAATTATCGTAAACGTTTTCGGCTGAAAATCGAAACGAATCCGTTTAAACGCGTAACCGTGGGGGCCTTACTTAAGAACGACATAAAAAGGGTTAAAAATTGAAAAAAATTACAGGCCCGGTTTGTTTGAGCCTGTTCATGAACGGAAGTGGTTTATGCAAGCTACCATCCTTCTTCCAAGCACCCGCTTATGATAATGGTTAAGATAATGGTATTTAGATTTTGAAACATTCGTAGAGATGATTATTGAACCTTCAATGTGACACGTATTATCATTCCATGAAAGAAAACGTATGTTCCCGAAGTAAAAGAATACGAGTCTCTAAAGGAGAAAACAATGGACGAAACTAAATAATTAGAATTTTGTGAGGGGACCAGAAATCAAAAAAAGTCTGCATATCACAGACAGACACCAACCATCAAATAATAGTAGGCAGCATATCCTTAAGATAAATAACCATTATTCAATAAAATTATTAGGAATAATAGAACCCTCCATTTAGAATTAACGAAATTTATTTCATAAGAAAACTAAGAATTCGACAAACTCAACAATTATGTCGACAATATACGAATGCATTTGGTGCGGGGTATTTGTTGGCTTATTGTATATTATGACGCCTGTTTGAATATGGCTTTAGTTTTTGACATTTTAAATATGAACATGATTACGTTGTACATACGCACGCATTCACGCACACGTACGCACATACACACACAACTAGAAACTGTACATTTTTCTTCATCCTTATGTACCATATATATTGACCATCTCCTGATAGTTGTTTTGGCGATTTTGAGGTTGCACAATTGTACAATTATGTTAAAAGCTAAGATAACAACATTTAACAACACAATTTGAACATTTTATTTAAAATTAAAACATTCTGAATATAGTTATAGATTATCAACACTCACATATCTAAACATGTTAATATAAAGTTTTTCAAATGAATCCAAACTTTTTAAATTTGATATGTTTACTGCATATTTTCTAGTTACAACATATATTGCGCGGGGAAAACAATTACGAACTGCTGTTATAAATAACCATTGTTTTGTAAATTTGCCCTTTGTATACGTGTATAAAATACACAGAAAAAAATGGAACCACATGCTTATGAGATCAAAATGCTGTCAATTTTAGACATTTCATGACAAAAATATAAAGGAAATAAAGTATATATTAAATACAAAGTAAAAAAATTGTCCTTTTATTTTCTAAAGAATCGTAATTGCGCCTCAATTGGAGCATCGATCGTTTGATAAAAAAGAATCTTTTAATTTATGTTAACAGCTATTTTTTATGTTATTATCACAATTAATTAATAGGTTAACTTTTATTTGCATATACGAGAAAGAGATAAAGCTATACCAATATATAAGTATAACAAAAATTAAAAAAAATATCAACATAACATTATAAAATTCCAAAAGTTAACAAAAATTTAAAAACATAACATTATAAAATTCTATTAATTACATAGAGAGAAGCAATGGATATGGTATGCTTATCAATTTTTTTAAAAATATAAGAACCAAATTGAACTATCGTCTATAAAATATTTCATAAAAGGTCTTATGGTTTTATTCTAAGTGTCTCATTTAGCAAGTCTTTTTTATATTAAACAGATTATCACAAATAATTGCACCGGTATAGAGTCACAACAATATTCCAGTAGTTGGTCCAGGATTTGTATTTTTAAAACTTTCATTAATCATTAAATGTTGTTTTAAATACATTCTTCAGTAAACCAGTCACGTTGAAAATATAAATACATTGTTGAATAGGTACACCATTCCTCAAATTGGATCAGAAACACTTTATATAAAAGTAATGCAACTCATTTGAGCAAAAATATCGCTATGGCACATCATCAGTGAACTAAAGAATATTTCAATTAGTAACAGAAATATGCAAATTTAATGCATTAGAAAAAAAAAATCCTCATGAGCTTGGGGTCGACCTCGCGACTACGAGCTAACAAATAAAATAACAAAATTCCAAACACCTAAACCAAAGAATCGAGTCCCTGGAGACATTAATTTTGATGATCCTCATTATGTGCTTTTCATTTAATAAGAAATGAATGATTGACATCTTGAAAAAGTTAAGACATTTATATGTATGGTAGTCACACTTGAACGCTGTAACTACATGGAAGAGTTAAAAAGTACTGGGGAATGTCTTGGCACTAAAATGTATGGCACTTCAACTTTAGACATGACAAAATAATAGTCAAAACCAGCAGCACTTTGGAAAATTAAACTGCACACCTTGTGCTCTCTCTGTAAGTTTTCGTAAACCATCAACAAGTCGAAATGAAAAATATTTTTGTGTATCTCCCTCAATTGGTGTAATTGTGCGTCCATGTAAAACGCCAACAGCTTTCACAACATACACTTCATTCTCATCTGGGGCGCAAATCATCGACCCGCTGTCACCGGCCTCTGCAAAGACATTTTCTTCGTCTTCATCATAATTTTCGATGAGAAAAACATAATGGGTCTCATCTGTACTTAGAACGCTATAATCATCAGAAGAGACTAGACCCTTTGTTAACTGAGAAGTAGCACCGTGTTTGTAGACATAAATACCAGCTAGATCCTGCGTTGTGTCTGCAGCTATTATACCTGGCTTCGACATGCAATCATCATCTTTCAGATGTATTGAACATCTGCTTTGAACAGAATCAATGACTCGTACTGCAGCAAAATCAATGAGCGGTTTTGTTGAAGTTCCCGGGGAAACGATCATGTGTGGAACACATTTTGCAAATTCACGCCGACTATCGGAACCATCGTAAATGAAAACATCACAGTCTGCTTCCGCTTTCACAACATGTGCACATGTTAAGCCATACAACCTTTGATCACTCCCCTCTACAAAACCGGCTAATGTACCTGTGCGCGTCTCGCATTCTATGCGTTCTCCATGCTCGTGAAAAGAATGGTCTGCTAACATTTCTAGCTTTAACTCTAATGCTCGTACAGAAAATGGACAGGACATGTTATTCTTCCGGAGCATGTCTCGAATGAGCGATTCTACCCTCTCGACAGCGCTTTTTTCATTCACGTGAATTTCAAAATGACCATATATTGTACCAACACCATAAACTTCTTTTATACTGTAATAAATCATGGGAATATTTTTAATAAACTTTGGTTGATTTGAAATGATAAAAATATTTTTTTACAGTTTTTTCAACACATATTCTTAAAGCAGCTTTGACAATTTGACATTGACATTATCTTTATTCATAAGATTTTATACTTCCTTATCATGGTCAATTTACTAAATTATACAAAAAATATACATATAAAACATAAAGAAATATAAATAAAGAAGCTTAGTTTATATTTTATATTAGTTTGCTTTGCGTAGATAAAAAAAGATTACCTGAGTATTTCCTTTCGAAGACTATTAACAACCTTTTTACTAACAATGGCTGCTTGTTGTCTTTCTTTTATCTTTTCAATATCTACCTTGGTTTTTTTAAAACAACTGCTTATCTCAAACAGAAGTTTTCTCAATGTGGACGCAAACTGACGCACGCCCCGTTCAATATCTGTCACGAAGTCGAGAAGATCAGCTTGTATTAAAGAGAGCACATGAGGATATGCAACTGACTGAAGATGGTCGCATGACGATACTGCGGTAAAATACCACAGTCTGTTCACGTAGCGCACTAAACGTTCTGAGAACATTTCGATACACCTCTGTTCAAAGTTATGTCCGATCAGAATATTGTTACATAGTTGCAATATGATATTGTGTCTTTCAGACAAAGTTAAGACAACACAGCATTTGACAATTAAGGCAAGTTTTTCTGTTAGTCTGTTATCATTTTTGATATTTTCCCATAGCCATTTATCAGTAACATCTTGTGGCCGCAGAGTTAATTCACTCATCTTGACCTCAATACTGTCTTCAACTTTGCGAGACTTTTCGTGTAGCATGTTTTCGGTTGCTTCCTTGCCATACACTGGAATCCCTTGGAGAAACGATTTTACTGCAGTTCGGATCATATCATCTTCTAAGAGGGGCTTATGTGTGTTGCATAGTTTTTTGCCAGCTGTGTACTTCTGTAGTTCGGATTCAACAGTCACGAGGTTCTGAACTACCATTTCTTCTAGGTATAACGATATCTTGTCACCAATTCTATCATCAGATTTTCTTCTGATAATGATGTGAGTCGTTTTCAAGCAGTCTACGAAAACTTCATCCAGCCTGCTTCTAAACACATTTTCATCGCTTTGCGTGAATGCTTGGTTTGAGCGACACAAGAAGAAATATTCATGTGGTTCTTTCATGTTTCCAAATCCTTTCCACAGAAGCTTGATATCCTATAAAATATAGTCCAACATATTCACTTACCAATAAAGTAGAGACTTTAATTGTATTGGTTTGAGTTCATTTTAATGTTTAATGAAAATTATTTAAAAAAAAAAACTAAAACAAAAACAAAACAAAAAACAAAACAGAACAAAAAAACAACAAAAAAAACAAACAAACAGGAAACCCAACAAAAGTTGAAGTGAAGCATATCAAAAATATAGTTATTTGTTGTGCTCTGTGCAAACAAACTTATCATACAGAGTATGTCATGAATATCAATTAATATTGAAAAAAAGAAAGAAATGAAATTCAGAATCAAATGCAATGCAATATTATACAAAAATCGAATGCTGCAAAGAAATTCAGTGTTATATTGAATCGAATGCATTAAAAAATACTTATTTCACTTATGAAAGGCAAGCTCGTGTTTTATAATGATATAAATTTGACATGGTAAAGGTACTACAACAAAATAATTCTTACCTCCAGACCTTTGTCATTTAGACTTTCGACAACGGCATTGCATATAACTATAATAGTTTTAGGGTTATTTTTGAATGCTTCGCTTTGACCTTCTTTAGAAGTAGAGGCAGAAGTGTCATCTGATGACTTGGTAGCTTTCTTTCCGGAAGCACTAAATGTCCGGACACAGTCTTTGTGTGGATTAACTGGAGCAATTGTGTCATGTTTGATATCTGTTCTGTTACCAGCAGTTGAAGTTGACAGCACTTTGAACAAGTGGGGCTGTGTTGCTACAAAGTTTGCTGGGTCAAGGTCCTCTTTACCAACGACCTTTATTGTTAGGCCATTTTCTATACAATTTAGTGGTGCATCGACATGTTTTATAGAAAACGTCTTTCGATTTTTATCTGCAAAATAGTTTATCAATAGTATCAATTACGTTTACGTTTATTTAATCCTTTAATGTATACAATTATATATATATCAAGGAACTGAATGAAAATTATACAGCAGTAATAAGCTAGCAAGATGATTTCAATAGGGTAAAACTATATCCATTGTGTAATCAAAGAGTCGCTGGCTCGGTCCTCGGGTGCCGAAATATCTCCGTGATAATTGAATCTAGTTGTCATCTTCCTCCCAGACACTTGTAGTCGGTCACTTGCGGAGAAATTCACAACTACTGCCGAGTCATGCCAAAAAATGTGTTGAAATCGACATAAGAACCAGGTAGATAAAAATACACATTAAGCATTGCTGCTTGCAAATGTAACAACAGTGTTTTATCGATACAGTCATGTATATGCGCTCAATCACTCAAATTTTCGACCCTCTTCAAAACATAATTATTTCAATAATTATAAAGAGCAATGGTACCCGCAAAATAACTTTTCTGCCGATAATAGTCATCTCAGTTGAATATATAAATTAAAACGATGGAAATTTCTAAAAGAATACCCTTTGCTAGATATTGTACATAGATATACTTTGTAAATTGTTCTTTTTTTTTGCTTACTTGCTTATGAATGATTTCTGATTTATAACCATTTGTATATCTCCAAATTGAAATTAAAGTTGTTTCTTGTTTTTTTAACAAATCTTGAATGCTATTAATATAAGGCTCTGGAAGTGCTATGCTTACTCAATTTAATACAGTTTTAATTGCAAATATAACCTACTGAATATAGTGTCAATTATATCTTACATACAGATTATTATACATGTCTTTTTGTACATTATACAATACTAAAACTATCATATTGACAACGCTGTCTATATCTATAAATGGACCAGTTTTATCAGTGAGATGAAGTAAGTACAACAATCTGCCTTCCTGTTAACAATCAAGATACAACTGTGTAAATTTTGACCTATTTTGTGCAAATTTTTTCTATGAAAAATGTATCTAGTACAATATTTAATACGTTGATGGTTGAGGTCAAAATGTATATTAATCTGTAAATATCTTTTGCATCAACATATTATGTATTTACTACATATGTGGGTATATATATATTTACTTTTGATAAAACCTTAGATTAAGTAAACATGTCATATGAAAACTTACATATTATCAAAAAGCTGTATAATATCTTTTTTCCAGTTTTAAAAAAGACAAATGTTATGATACTAATTAACAGTTTAGGCAAACGTTATTCTCACTATACATTGATACCCTTGCAGTTTTGTTTTCTATACCGAAATATTGCTGATCAACAAGTACGAACATTACACAATCATTTTATGAATTCAATATCAACAACCGTACCAACGAAACTGATCCACCAAGGTAGAACATACAAAGTAAAATTTAGTAGAAGCCTTAATTAGCTTTATTAGAAACACTGTATGTATGGAAATTGTAAAAACTTAATATTCTATGGAACACTTCTCAGATGTTTCAGTATGTTTAAGAGAAGTCAGGTTCATTTCTGGGTGGGTGGTGTACGAATACCAGAACTAAAAGTAGCAGGGTGACTCATAGCTTGTTGCAGGGGAATTTATGTGATTTATCATGAAACCTCTGTTCTTTGTTCGTTGTAAACGAATAAAAATGGAATCTATATTTCCAGACTGATAATATAAACACTACAAATACTTGCTGCAAAAAACGATAAAAATATTACAAACAAATATAAGTTATAACTTAATAAAAATATTTACGTTAGTAGACACGCGCATGTCAAGATTCGCTTTTGTTTTCATATTAAAATACAATAAATGTATATGTTTTCTCACTTCCGGGTTGGTAGTCTCCAATGTAAAGTTTATAAAGGAAAAAAACCTGTACATCTTAAGTCCATACGTAACATGTATATGCCTTTGATAATAATCAATTTCAAGTATGCAGATGATTCATCTTGCCCTTGATCCAACAAAATTTACACAAAAAACCAAGGTAATAGATAAAAGCTAAAGTTGGTTATTTCGTACTGTCGGGCCTCAATCTGACACGGACAGTTTGGATATTTAAAGTTGAAGACATTAAATAATTCAAGAAGGTAAGTGGAACCCAGAGTTAAGTCTGAAATGTGACTGAATTACTAAAGAACATACGAAATCTGTCTAGACTGACATCTCCATCACTCTTTAAAAAAATCTAAGTACTGCATGAGATTTTTACTATATGTACTGTATTTTTTATAAAAGTTTATCCCTTTGCTTCAGGCATGCTCTAGAATCATAAGACAAAAAATATCATATAAATACCTGCGAATTTCTTATACTTTTCCTTTATATCATGATATCTTTTGCTGAAGAAATGAACTCTAGGGTATACTTCCAGAGATGGTATCAAGTGGTGGTATTCTTTGTTAACACTCATCTAAATAGGGAGAAAAGAACTAATTTAACAAAGAGAAATTAACTACAATTTGCATTTGCATAGAAAAAGAATGAAATATTATGGATTAACTTTAATATACGTACCTGATTGGATTGTAATAATTTGAAAAGTATAAATTTATAGCTTGCAAGAATAATGCATATGAACATAGTCGAAGTATACTTAAAAATTGGTGCAAACTTGTTGTTGTTTCATTCGCTGCATATCATACACTAAATTAAGCCATTAAAATGCGATATATTGTTGATAAAAGGGTTGAGCGAACTTAAATAATAACGACAATAATGAATTATAACTTACAAATACAGTTTAAAATGACCTGTCGTTTTATTCAATTATGAAATATGGTTAGAACAATTTCATTTTTCTTTCAAGACTTGCATACCAATGCGCATGAGATAATGACGTAATCATGTCAAATGTAACACAGAAAATGTTTTATTATTTCTTAATTGTTCATTTTGTGTGATCCTATGCATATCATGTTAAAAGCATTTTAAATGTTCTTAAGTTTTTCAAAATCTTGAAAATTCGATTGTAAGAAGTAAATTTTATGCATTTCTTTTTTTTTGTTGCTACGTCTATCTATTTATATACAGTGCAGACCTACGTAGGCTTGTTCTAGATTTTAAATAGGTCTACTATTTAACAATGTAGAAACCCGATATAACTACTTTTAGATCGAATACCGAATATTATAACATGGTTAAAAGTTACCTTCAAAAATAACTATCATTTTGATATCACCTAAACAAGTATGTCTAACTCACTTATTATTTTAAATAATATTTTTAAACAGAAAACAATATCGGAAAAAAGAAATCCGAAATCCCATGTGTCTATTTTAAGAATGATATAGTTAATAGTACGGATACGTTTATTTTGCGTAACAGCGGAACGGTAGTTCGCGACTATATCTATTAAACCGTTTTAGTATTGCACAAATGATGGAAAAATTTTTGGACGAATATTGAAACTGTTGAAATTAAAATAAAACGACTTCATTATTAACGTAAAAAATAATATCCATCGTTGGAACTGTCCACTGACAATTTTGGAGATATCAAGATTAAAATTGAAAGTTGAAAGCCAACACTATACATAGGCCCTGGTCAGACTGCATGGAAATACAGGATGATATGACTCTATACTGATTACTACCAGTTTCATGACAGTATAAGGGCAAAATTACCACCCAATCCTCTATAACATTTTTTAGAACTTCAAAACTGATTTTGCAAGATGTTTCAATAACTTATAAGTGAAATCTAAAGTGTGTAAACTGCAGTTTACAAAACTTGTGTAAGTTTTTTAAAGAATATTCCACAATAATGTATGTAAGGTAAATGTTAGAGCGAATGACATATGCACTAAATTATTGATAAACGGTTAAAACCAACTTAAAATAGCAACAAACTATTTTGTTCCGAACATTTTACATTGTTTATGCGTAGTACAAAGCCATTCGCCCAGTTGTAAAAGCACAGGTAATGACTCATGTACAAGATAACCGAATTGTCAACACCTAAAGAACCTTTCACGAACCTGTTCAAAGAAATACACATCGGTTTCAGCACCAGCATAGGTCTGGAGAACCATTTTTGTTTCCATAACTATGATAAAGACACAAAAATTAACCGACAAGCAATTTTCATAAACATCTGCTTTTGTTCCTAACTCATTAAAGGTTATACAGCGGGAACAAATCGCCTTCGCTTTAAATCCCTTCTTCAAACTGAAACAAACCATTGCCGATGGTGTGCCAAATCGCGCAGGTTCTTTGCTTACTTCATTCTTATGATTTAAGGGACATTTATTTACATTTTGTTTCTGACATTGACCATCAAGTTCCTCGACCTGATGCCTACGAGAATTATGATTATAAATTAATTTAGTAACTGTGTTGTTTGAACGATCATTATAGGTTCATAAATATATAAAAAATCAAATAATATATTTTCGTATTTCCAGTGTTTTTAGAGGTTTTTTAGTGCGAATTACAGTACCACTTCAATGCACTGATTTTAACAAGCCATGTTTTTCTTTTACTGCTGACAAACTCTCATTTTTCCAGAACCTTTCTGTCCAAATTAAACTGGTTATTTAATTCCCAACCTTACTTCATTGTAGCACTGTTTCACCTTTCATTCGTCATTGTGGTCCACTGAATTTTGTTTAAAAGTTCACCAATTATTTTGATGTTCAATGCAGTCAACAGACTGTGCCATATTTTCAACATCAAAAGCTATAAGAATTCAACTGAATGATTGTTTACTTACTTTTACGTTATCTTTTTATTTAATGCGTAATTAAATGGGCCAGCAGAAAAAATCCTTATCTGTCATGTATTATATACAAATGTACTTTTAAACACACTTTGAAAGAGAGTGGACATGGGAAAGTTGTTAATAATTTTATTTTTGTTTATAAATGTGGCTCATTGGGCTAAAGGAATAGAAACACAAATTAGCGAGAAGAGATTTGTTGTCGAAGTGGGAGGTAGGGAAGTCAATGACGACATTAGCTTTAAAAATAACACTTAATAGTTTAATTCAGAAGTTAATTGGCAAATGTTGTTTTCTTCAAGCCTAATCCACCGGTACAAACAAACTTTTACCATTATAGCTTCACATTGAATCGCCGTAACAGTTGTACTCCCGGATAAGCGTGGAGAACATCAAATATTCTTAATTCCCAAGTCTATTAATTATAACTGTTTTTCTAAACCTTGTTTTAAGTGCTAAAGGAAATTATACATGTACATAAATTATAAGATCTGTACTTTTGTCAAAATGATTATATGTATGCATACATTTTTTGTATACATACACATTTTAATACTGTATTGCGTCTTTACGTCTAACCACAAAAGCTGTCTACCAACTTAAATCATACAACCGTTTATGTATCGTTTTTGTTTAGTGAAGAATTAGTAACCATATGTCATCAGAGTTCATGCAATTTCTTGAATTTCCCCGGCAACCACATTGTTTGTTTATTAAATCAAAGTTTACATATTAAAAACAAATATTTAAGTAAAGCCAATTTATAGTTTCAGTATGTGTAGACAAGATACCAAATTGCGCAGCATACACTGTCACCATATGTTTAGAGATTCAATTCAGGCTTTGGGCTGTTGACGTCTGCGCAAAATTCTGTAACTTTTGTAGTACGTATGTCATCTATGTTTATAAGCACACTTCTATGTTTATAAGCACACTTTTTAAGCAGGAATTTATAAGTATAACCGATTTTCCTTGACATATAATATATGCCCGGAATGTAATACAGAATAAGAAAAAAGCAAAGTAACGTCTCAACTATATATGTATGGTTAAACTAAGATCTTATCTACCTTATTACAGTTGAAACAAAAAGACTTTTTCACCAAGCTTTTCTTCTTCAAAATGTTGTGAAGGCATCATGTTAACACTGTATTCTTCATCAGCGTGTTTGTTATGAAGCATTGTAAGTTTGCTTTAAATAAATCACTGATATTTTTATATATAGCTATATCTGCCTCACCCGGACCTGTTACAAGAAGCAGCGGGACAAGAAACATTGGACCTGCAAGTTTGGAGTCATTTGACGGTATATTTAATTTATCACAATTGTAAAAAATATTTTCACTTCGTCTGTAAAAAAATTGTCATATTCTCATGCAACTTATTCTGGGTATTTATAATGAAAAGACAGAAAGGATACGAATGATTTAAAAATTGATTTTTTCATTCATTTTAAGTATTTTGGGACTTTTGCCATTACTTTACCATGCAGCTATCAATTTTTCATGACAATTTGCATACTAACTACTGCTATATGCTAATACAATATGTCTTTTATTTCCCATAGTGGTAATTGTAATTAGAAAAAAGAGATTAAATGTCAATATCTACTTAGTAATGCAGTCTTGATTTTATTTTGATCTAATACAGGATGTTAATACGTCTTTTGAAACCGTTGCTTTATGTATTAGATTATCAACAAATCGTCAGTAAATAAATATACTATAATTGTATATATCGAAGGCTTGCCAGGGTGTTTCTACAAGAATCAGATTTATCAAGAAGGGGCCTCATGGAACGATGGCTGCAACTACTCATGTCGCTGCCTTGATGGAATGTCTCGTCTGTACCATTGTAAAAGCTCTGTAAGCCTACATATCTGTTTCTTCAAATAAGATATATCTATACGAACAATAACGGTAGAACAAATTACCGAAATATGCCAAGATAAAGGCTGATACATGTACACCGTATTCAAGAAATGGTATTTTTACTGATTAAGAAAAGATTTTAAGTCTTTGACTTGAAAAACAGATCAAAAGGGACGAGAACGTACTATTTTCACCAGGGAATTAAGCGTAACGTTGTTGTCGCAACGATTTTTCACCTATTTCGTTTCTTATCCTTTTTTTTGATGTGTTCATGCCAACATAAATAGTATCATAAAATGGTTTTGATTGTCAGACATCTCACAAAGCCACTATTCACCCGCCCTAAAGTTTTGAATACATTATTTTCCAGATATGCACAGCCGTAAACACCGAAGCTTTGTCCCATGGAAGCTCCAGTTCAGGGAAAATATTTTTGCACGACATATTGGCAAGAAAAAATTAACAACAACTTTCCCTCTTAAGACTGAATTGAAGTTAATGTGATATATTACATTCTTTGACTTTCAGAATATTATAATGCTTGTGAAATAAAACATTCATTGAAATTGTTTAAAAAATCATGAATGAAGCACCTTTTAGAAGTCAAGTGTAATGGTTAAAAGAAAAAGGCCAATCTTTTTTTCAAGAAAGTGTGCCTGAAGTGTGCATCGCCATGATAAATAGTATTATTTTGTTTCAATATACATAGACACCATAAGAAAAAAACTCATTACTTAAGCATCCATTACAATAAGAATACGTAAGTTTATAACTTCCAGTAAAAAGTAGTAAGTTGTTGTTGTTGTTTTATTTAAAAGCACACATGTGTGCTTGTTGCACACACTATATGATATAAGTAAGATACGAAGCTGATCGCGAAATGAGGCACATGCGTATTTGAAAAACAATTTAATACACCTAGATATTCATCGTCACTGGAAAATAGAAACATAGTTTGTGCAAAGGTATTCACCATCATTTTTACACAACAGAGGGGCACATTGATAAAGTCTGATGCATCTAAAGATATATATTCTACTTCTTTAATATACAATAAAGTCCCTGAATTTGCACACAGACAAAACATTAAGACTTGAAGAGCAACAGAGCTGGAGCGTCTAAATAGATTGAGAAAGAAATACATACATATGTAGTATACAAAGTCTGTGAAATTTGCAACCCTGTATCAAAAGTCGATTGAAATTCTCAGGAAATGCGAAACAGAGATTCGGCAAAATAAAGGAGCCTTAAATTGGTTTTACTTTGAATTGTATTTGGAAGAGTTTGTTAAGAATTTAAGGGATATAAAAAGACCAAACAAAGAAAACAACAACAACGACAACAAATGACCTACAAACAGTATAGAGCTCAGTCAGTCTGTTCGGTGGCAAAAGCTGACCAGAGGGCGATGTAATCTAATTATGGTAAAATTATGCCTTTCTTAACTGATCCTTTCAATTACACAACCGAACCTATTGTTTACCCCAAGTTGTTTAATATTACAGATATACATGTATAATGATAAATTGTCTTAATGACATTTTTAGGATTCATGAAATTTAGATGTAAGTGTTGTATTGCTTTTAAAATTATATATCTTAACTAATCTATAGTAGATCGGTTATTGTTTGAAATCACACTACAACTGATAATAATGATTTAATTAAATAGTTTTACATGTTTCTGTGTCGTCTAAGTTTTAAAGTTGTATATATGAATTTAATTTTGCCTTTATATGAGAAAGTTTGTGATAATGTACTTTCATAATTCAGAAACTATAAAAATTATTTAATGAAACTTCTAGATATGCATCGAGTGAGGAGGTAACTAGACGTAGTTCGTGACAATAATATGTTAGTGGTCTCCCTTTTGTACATGTTAATATAGTATTGATACCATAGCGTATATAATTCAATTAAGATGATAACGTTAGCAAGGGATTATTAAATGGTCTAAACGAAATTATCTACAGCGTATATATCCTATCTAAAATTTAAACAAAATTCCTATTATTCTGCGTACGTAGTTTGTTCTAAAATAAGTTACAGTTGGGAAAACCAATTCTATTTATAACTACAATAAGCTGGTTTCCCTATTTCATTTGAATAAACGTAATATACATTTATACAGAGTCTAATTCGAGACATTATATATTCATCAGCGTTGTAGAACGATATAAACAAAAAACCCTTATATATTTACTCAAAAATGTTTCTTTCAGCGTAGCTTATCTTAAAATAGTTTTAATCTACCTACATTTATAAACAACAGAATAGTCAGTGAATATTCATGAATATTCGCCTTTAAATAAAATAAACCAGCACGGAATCAAAGGCAATATTTTAATTTCTGTTTAAGAAAAAAGTTTACACTTCTTCAAAGTAATGTGAAAACAGAACAAATATTTCAAAAGACAAAGATATTCAATACAGTAAGTACGAGTATATTTAAAGAAAAGTTTTCAAATCGCCTCCTTGATCTGCGTAGACCAATTCTTCGTGAGGTGTCTATACCTCATATCTTTCCTATTTGATTTCGAGAATTTGTTTATCTATTGACCTCCACTGCATAGCAACGTGTACACATGTACAATGAAAACAGAGAAAAACAACAGGTATTACTTATATTTATTTCTACAGAAAATGAGGGGAAAAAAAACATTCCAAAAGTACAGACTGAGCAAGTTTAGCATTCCTCTATTATAGTATTAAGTATCTTCACTAAATGTGTTTTATCAATGTGTTGAGATGAAATATGTTATCCCCATTCATAAATATCTGCCTATATATCTGCCTTTCTTAACTTCACTATCATTTCAACTTCTTTTATTCTTCTTTGTGAGTATACTCCGTTTAAAGGTTAAAACAGTGTTTAAGTTCGATTGAAAAATATCAGAGGAAAACGATTTTGTACATTATATATATAAACCGACATTATGCCCAGACGAGTGTTGAGATGAAATTCAAAATACCTTTACATTTTGTTATATTTGTTTTCAATGTCGTCATGAACGTCACCTGAATAAAAAACAACCACTATGAACTACACAAAAATCTAAAAACTTTCTTTCGAATTTATCGGTATTAATGTTTAATTTATAAAAAGAGTGGGACATTCTTTTTATATTAAAGGCTGTTTAAATATTTCATACTAAACATTTGTCATTATCAATTATTGTTCAGTCGCCATTATAATAGTCAATATTCTCAAATACATAACTAATCTATCTCAGTTTGACAGTGAAAGAATGAGCATGATGTCACTTAAGTGTTATGATATTATAAATGTTGGTATTGATTGAGATTATCATATATGAAATGTATACATGTATAAACATGGATTGAAAAGAAATGGTAATGATTAAGGTCAAAAGCAACATTACAATAATATATTTTTATAAAATGAGATCCTCATCTCGTACATGAAATGTATGTATAATAATGCAACGAAAAAATGTAATGATAAAGGTTCCAAACTTGTATACTTTTTATCAAAATGAAATCCTCATATATGAAATGTATGTATAAAATGCAACGACAAAATGTAATGATAAAGGTCAAAAGCAACATTACAAAAATGTGCATGTTAATAAAATGTAAGAGTAGTTATTTTCATTGCTTAATACTGATAAAATGTTAAAACATTATACATAATATTATATAATATTTTTTCAAGCATTTTATCAGACAAGGAATCAACCGTTTTGTGATGATAAATGATAAATATTAACGAAACATATTGTTAAAACAATATAACATATATAGCATCCTTTGGCGATAGTAGTGATGCTTTTTGTCGATTATGTTCACTATTTAAGTTTAATCTAAATACTGTGCATGTGCAAATCACAATACTGCAAATTGTTATATAATATTGTAGTAGTAATAAATAGCGTACGTTAAAACAGCGACATTTTTCTAAATGACACACTTCAAACAGCTTTTGCAAATAGTATTGCAGTATGTATAAGAAACTCATCCTATCTGTTACAGTAGGTTTTATTGTGAAAAAAAAATCTACTGAAAACTGAAGATTTTGATTCATTTCGATGTCAGATATACAGCATATTCACGAAAAACAAATTATTTTATGCTTTACAACTAAATAAAGTATCACAGCTTACTTTAGGAACATGACACCAGACTGATCACGGCTGTGCGAAAGTTTCGAGAAAAAGATAATTTGAAAGACATCAGTGATTACAGTTTCAATGAAGTAATAAAGTTTGAATGAAAAAATTATCCGTGAGAAAAAATAAAACAGTTAATTTTTACATACAATCAATTTAGTCATTATTATTGAAAGGTACACAAAAGCAGCTACGCTCACGCTTGATTTCATTTCGCAGAATAAAACCCAAGGTTTTTCTGATAAGCATACAATTAAAACAGTTTATCTACATGATTTCAGAAATGTAACCATAATGTCTGTGTTAATACGATCTTAGTGCGACCACAACAGTATATATTTCAGAAATCTAACTTGTGGATTTGCTTCAGCATCTGAAAGCCGACGTTCAATTTGAAAGACAAACATTTCAAACTTTCATCACCCTCAATCTTTAAGTCCCCAGCAAACAACATTGACAGCGCTTTATGCCTAATATCAGTATGAGTCGATTCAATTAAGCAAATAATTGACCCACTATCTCCCCTCTTCGAAAATACCTCATCAGAAGTGCCTCTGTTTGTGACAGTTGTCCGACTGCTTTCAAGATTTCGGACATAAACTATGGTATTTCTAGGCACAACATTTCCGTGCGCGGTTTCATCAGTGTTAAGACCGCAACATTGCATATCTTCTAGCGCTTTTATATTTGCACCATTCAAATGTATACGGTTATCTTCACGTGCATAAATTGTTACAGTTGGTGTGCATTGATCATTACTCTCAGCTGTTATGATTGCTGATTCTTGAAAACTAATATCGTCTGGTGTGTTTTCACCATGGTTATATGGCAATCTGACCGTTTTGGCTATTTCTGGCATTTTTTCGTCAAAGGCATCTCTGTCATTTGACATAATTTGGTCTTCACGATCTGGTAAGGATGATTGGGTTTGAGGCGATGATTGATCATTTATACAAGTAATAGGGTCAAACGTTTCCTGAAAGTCAGCTGGAAGGTCAGGTTGAATGTCTATCATAATCAAATAATCTTCAGTTTCCACTTCAAATATACTGTAGTCAACTGAAACGATAAATCCTTTAGTGAAACCACTTGCTGCTCCATACTTAAAAGCAGGGATTCCAACAATCATTTTCGGGTACTCGTCAGAAACAGTGGCCATAGTTATACACTCATTACATTCCTTCAACGTTTGTTTGCATAGCTCTTGTGACTTCGGAATCACTTCCAAAGCAGCAATATCTACATGTTTAAGTTCACTATTTTGACGATTTATTACTTTTGGAGAGGAACTGAATGGACATGGGCCATCTTTATCTATGAACGTTTTTTCACCAACGACGTGGGCACATGTTAGACCATGGACTTTTCCATCCTTTGATATTATAAATCCACCAAGTGTCCCGAATTTCCCTTTATCTCGTTGAAATAGACGATCCCCTGGTTCAAAGGAAAGACCCATTTCCTTATGTTTCTTTTCAATGTACCTCATTACAAACTGCTCCTTAAAATCATGTTTGTGCATCTGTAAAGATATGTCTGACCTCAATTGTTTTAATTTGTTTGATAGTTTTTCTTGTGGTAAATCTGCCAGTGATGTGAGATGAATATCGTCAGTTTCAGCGACAATTGCATTGTTTTCATCTTGTTTGACATCATCACTTTTGCTTACCAAAACTGCATCTTTATCCACATGAATCTCTAGCTGGCCATAAACGGTACCTAGGCCATAAACCCCTTTTAGACTGAAAACAAAATTAATAAAAGTGCATATTCTGTTTGTCGAATAGTACAGGCAAATGTTTTCTTTCAGACTTATTTTTTATTTGAAAGATTCGGTATGTTGTTACCTCACTTAAGTGAAATTTTATATATGTATAATATTATGCTTCTAAAACAATTTTCAAACATCGAAGAATATGTAAATTATGTACTGCAAATATTTGTCAATATTATATGTAATCATAAAAATATATGCATTCGTTTCTTATTGAAAGATTTGACTTAGACTTTATGGAAAATAAATTTCTAATTACCTCCCTTTATTAACATGAAATGTAAATTTCGGTAATATCTATACAAATAATGCTTTTTGGAACTTACAATATTGATAGATTTTCATTTGAGCACATTCTTATGATATAAAACCATAAAAATGTGTTACAGGATCTTTAAGGATTTAAATGAAGCTATCAATTATATGCTACGGAAAACATAGGAATGATGATATGATTGACACATGTTTAAACATCTGGTAATGGAGAAATCACTCAATGAGCAATGAACTTAAATGCCTATTATGCATCAGAAATTCTTTTATTTCTCAAAAGATTCTCATCTTTTGTCCTGTATAGTTTTCAAACAGTTACTCATTATCAAATTATCTGAACCATCCTTTGCTTCTGTCTGTTACCTCTTGTTAATTAGTATATTTATAATGATTTAGCGTTTTGCATAGAAGTCAAAGTACTTCTTTGCTAACATTTTATTTCTTATGTGGCAAATAATTTCACAATCAGCACTACTTCCTTCAAGCGATTAACATATAGCATGTTCTTAATCCTTTATTTAAACATTATGAAACTCATGTTCGCCCTTTCTAAAGAAGGAAAGATTAATTCATTTCTGAGGCATAATGTGCCTGTTAAGCTAATAAGTAAAAAGTGAAGTCTCAATTCGATTTATTCTGTTCATCAGAGATAATGAAAAGTGAAGCATCTGTCACGCCCCCCATAGTACCGGTTCAAGTGTTACTCAATCTTCAACATAATAAAAAGAATCGATGATGCCAAAGAACCAGAAAAAAATATCAAGATTTTAGTTAAGTAAAACTTTATTTATTCCAGAATGCACTAGAAATTAATATAGAATGAATGCTTCTCAATGATGGTCCGGGCAACGTCAAAAGTTATATTAAATTGTATGCCTCAGAGATGCGCCTTATAACAAAGATTTTGTGTACTTATGACTACATTTGTATGCATAGTATATAGTATACAAATGTTCTTAATTAATCTTAAATCTTATAATTTAAGTTTTCTAAGAGTGTTATACTTACTTTAATAAATCTTGCCTAAGTTCTTTAGGTATTGATTGCTGTTGCTCAGCAAATGACACTAAATTTGCAACATTTAGTTGTTTCAAATATCCATGAGCTTCAAACGCCATTTTTCGAATGATAGTTGATAGCTTTTGCATTGATTGGAGCTTTTTCTCAACATTTGCTGTGACAGGCTCTACGTCTGATTTAAAAGCATAATAAAGAAAATCAAACTTTTTTGTCTTTTTTGAGTATACGGTACCATCGAGTAATGCTTCATACACATACTCAACCAATGATCTAATATGATGTTGCGTGTTTTTTGAGATTGCGTTTGATAGTGCTTCTTCTAATTGCACTTCATACAGTAGACCGTTACAAATCCATACTTGCAGACCATATTTCCTTGCAAAAAGGTTGACAACAGAACAGCGAGCCACATGACACAAAGACTTCAGAAGACGATCATATATCTCGGTGCACGCCTTTTCCTTTTCATCTGTATTTATTGTAACTTCAACATAAGCTCTTGCATTTCGCAAGAAGTCTTTTAGAGAACAAACAACCGATTCTGTCTCAAACACATGAATAGGTTCCAAACAAACGTCAACGTTTATTGGTTCAAATCGTTTCAGATGGTAATATATATTAATGAATCCACTAGCAAGATATTTTTCCAGTGTATCAGAAATAGTTGTTTTCAGGTCGCAGGCAATTGGGTTAATAAAAATACTATCTTGCTCATTGAAATACTTTTCCAAATCACCATAAAGTGCAGCAAAAACAGAATCTTGAAATCTAGTGATATCTTCATTTGTTAAAACTCTGGTCGTAGCACAGCAGATGTACACAAAGATCTTACGCTCTGCCTTTTTGGCATCAAAGGTTAAAGCTTTGAATTTGGATCTTATTTCCTAGAATTAAACAGAAAAAACAAATCACTTGACTTTACTTTGTTGTGAAAATAATATACTTTGTACATATGCATGATTGTATGAAAATAAGGAACCTTTTACCAAGTTTAACTACTAAGAAGAATTTTACAATTTTTAATAAAATAATCGTATTCGACAAAATTAAATTGTATCGCTAGATATACCTGAAAGTATCTCTCAGTTAAATGTTCTAGGTCTATATGAAGTATGACAATTCCAAGTCTATGTACAGGGGAATCTGGTAACTTCGAAACAGGATTGAATACGAGATCATCTTTATCTATGTCCCTCTTCCCGATCACTGATAGTTTAAGCCCACCTTCGAATTCATGTTTTGTTTGTTCAATTTCTCTCATCAACTTGTCATCATGGAAACATTTTGGTAGGGCACCTGGATGATACAGAAATACTAGGACTGATATAAACATAATAGGAGAGGGAAGTACCTCGAAAAGTATTAATAAAAACAAACAAACAAACAAACAATAAATAAATACAATGAAAAAATAGATACATAAATAAGTTGAAAAGTGTGACTTGGTTGGATTAAATATCTTCTTTTTTATTTCTTGGGGTGGGGGTGTATACGCCAGAGGTCATATGGAGACTTTACTGGTTGAGGAAGACCTTACATTCTTAAATGAGGGATTTATCTTTATAAATTCATGTACATATGACATATAGGATAATATGCTTAAAGTATGATGATCTTTCAACTTGAATGTTGTTATACAAATCATAACATAAAATGTTCAATTATGCATGATTTTAGGAAAAACCATCGTCGGATACCCACGGTTGATTTACATGTAACATGACATAACATGTAATCAGTATTAATGGTTAGGCCGTGGATAAAAACTTAAATACGTGTATAATATTGGCCCAAATTATTCTTACCTGTCACTCTGGTGAATCTTGGTACGAGATCTTTATACCGCCGATGAAAGTGGTATACACGAGGGTACACATCGAAATTACCGAACACGTGAACGTACTCCTGTATAGGTATTAAGACACTCATCTTATGAAACACATTCTTTATCAAACTGAAACATCAAACGAAACATCACGTTTATCGAAATGTTTGCTTTGATCTAAAAATAAAACAGTAGTGCAGACTTAAAGGTTATACTTCTATTTCAACAATCTTATGTACTGTTTAATCTTGTATCATTTTGAATATTTAATTAAATGACATTATCTCCTAATTATCATTAATCAGTTAATTTAGTTTTCTATCTAAAAACAATAAAAAATGCAATATCTTACCTCTTTAGAAATCATAGTTTGGAAATCCCAATATCTATATATAGATCATTCATTTTTTACTGTAAGCGAAAGTCTGGATATTACACCAAAGTACGTTGTGTACACCGGTTTTACTGTCAATATTTGAGAGACCGGTGTGTATACAATGCACCAAAGTAAACCAATCTGTTAGTTAAATGATTTGTTTAGTTATAGTTTATTTTGTGTCTTTGATTTAAACATTTTCTTCAATTTAAAATTTAAACTTTTAATGGACATCTTTAGGTAAAATAAACATGTAGTATAATTGCTACATTATAAACCATACAATGTACATTTACTATAAATGCTGTTAGGGCCAGGTTATTTAATCGTTCTTACAAAAGAATGATATATAGCCCGTATATTCAGCTGTAAGCGTGCTTAAAGTTTGAACATGACAAACAATTCTATTTGATTTATGTATTTATTATAAGTCAGTCTGTTCATAAGAGATAAGAGGAAGTGAAGTATCTCTCACGCCCCTAGCACATATGCTTCAATTATTGAAAATAAAACATGTTTAAGACGTCATCTTTTGTTGTATCTGTACATTTATGTGCCTATTGTTTGATGAAATAATTTGTAAATGCTGAATAAAAAGCGTTTGAAAGAAATATACAAAAAGAGATAACTTACCGGAGAGAAATGTATTTTTCATATAATTATATTCACAGGGCATCTCTCGAGTTTGGCTATGTTTTCGTATGCTCGTATTTTGGGCTGTATCTTACGATGTTGAATTCCCCCTCTGTTTGTTTTGTTACAACCTCGTGATATTCTAAATATCGGCGATTTTGACTGTGTTTTGTCCATTTTCACCAACTCTAAGTCAACGATGTTCCTGGCCTGTTCTTCATGCAAAATGCAAGCCGAGCGTGTAAAGTAACGTATCTAGAAGCATTTGTGGCGTTTCTGTTTCCAGAATGCGTTTATTCCACAGTTCATTCTCATGTTCTTCACTTATAATAGCAGTGTTTCTCCGTTGCATACCAAGCCCTTGTTTGGATAGCTGCTTCATTTTTGCATCAAAAATACGCCTAAGTCCATCAAAAGCGGCATCATCTAGAAAGTTGATAAATCTACCTTGCTATCGAAGATGGTGTTGTATGAAGTACCCCAGTGTCTCGTTCAGCACTTCGCTACTCATATTTATGAGATTGTTGTTTGGCACAAAAGAGTCTGTGTTTTTATTTCTGTTCTTCTGCCATAAGTCAAACATGTTAACTGCCCATTTTGATTTCTTTTCTGTCTTACTAGACAATCCACTTTTGACAAGGTTGTCTAAATCACTTTGTTTCAGTGGCACTGGAAACCTTGCTGGCTCATTTTGTTCGATGAGCTGAGTTGCTTTCAAAAGTTCTTCGTCCGAAATGTCTGAAAATAGGTCGCTTTTCAAATCAAACGACGGCTGGAGCTCTGTTCTTTGCTTATTGTCAGCCGATTCTACCATGTCTAATACTTCACTTAAAATAAAATCGGATTCTATAGGGCTCAAACATCCGTTTTCTTTAGACTGTGTTATTAAAATACTATCATCTGAAACAGACATTATGGCTGCTTATAATTTCTAATCGTTTTTTTTTCTTTCTTTCTTTTTTAAATTCAGAACAACTTAATGATGGCAACTTTGTGTTACTTATGAATATTGTCACAACATGTGAGAGAATAAACAAATTTCGTCGCTTTGCGCCTCGATCTGTTCATTCTCTCACATAATGGACAGTTTTTGGAGTTTCTCCATAACATAAAAATGTATGAATCAATAATTCTGACAAAAAAAAAAAAAAAAAAAAAAGACGAACAACCCCTCCCCCAGAAACAGCAGCAACAACAAAAAAAAAAAAAAAAAAAAAAAAAAGAAAACCACAAAAAACAAACAAAAAAAAAAAAAAAACCCCCCCCAAAAAAAAACAACAACAACAACAACAAAAAAACAACAACAAGAAACAACATTGCATTTGTGAAAAATGCTATGCTATCGCATTAATATAACACTAAATAGTAATGTAGGAACAGATTTTTTGTTTCTTTACAATAAATTATTGAAGATTGCCATAATGCATAGTTCACTGACCAATTTAATTCTTATTATCAGATAAGTGGTAAATAAAACATCAGAGTTGGAATCTATATTTATACAGTTGAGTCTAGTGAATTTAGTGGTGAAGGTCATATTTAACATGGCCAAAATTCCATAACTGTACATTAAAGGACAACACAGTTAGACACTTTGTCAAAATCTAGGCCAGCTGATATCAAAGTTCATTTTACATCTTAATCTGTGCACATGGTTCAAATTTCATAGCTGCACATAAAAGGACAAGAAAGTAGGTCACATCATCAAAATCTAGGTAACCTGATATCAAATGTTTTATTTTGAAACTAAAACTGTGCACATAGTCCTAATTTTATGGCTGCACATCAAACTACAAGAAAGTAGGTCACTTGGGCAAGGCAAAATTTTGACCCAAGGGTTTAATTTAAAAAAATCTTTATACAGGTCCACCAAACAACATTTCATGACCTGTGGTTGATATTATAAAGCACACATCAAAGCTCTAAGCCTTAAACCTTCAGACAAGAAGATTTTTTAACATTTTATTATATGTACATGGTGAAAATCAATGACCCCAGGGCTATAATTTAAACAATCTTGGTAAAGGTTCACTACACAAAGTCTCATGCCAAATATCTAACCGCAAGCCTTTGTCAATTCAACCAGTTTTTACTATATACATATAAGAAAAACTATCGCCTCTGGGGCAGGGCAAATTAAACACTAGGGGCAAAAATTAAACCACTTTGGTAGAGGACCCATAGATGATATTATAAAATATCAACGCACTTGTACCTTTCAGACAAGAAGATTTTTTAATGTTTTACTATATGTACAAAGTGACTGAAAATCAATGACCCCGGAGACGGGCCAATTTTGAACACAGACCTATAATTTGAACAATCTTAGTAGAGATTCACTACACAATGTTTCATGAAAAATATCTAACCTCTAGCCGCTGTCAATTTCGAGAAGATGATTTTTAATTTCTATATCCCCGAAAGAATTTCGGGCATATTATGTTAAACCCCCTGGCGTCCGTCCGTCCGTTAGCAATTTGGTTTCCAGAGCATCACTTAAGTTCATTTTAGCCCACAATATTCAAACTTCATAGGATGATTGTCCATATTGGGTAGAAGACCCCTATTGATTTTGGGGTCACAAGGTCAAAGGTCAAGGTCACTATTACCTTAAAACTGAAAACAGTTTCTGGAGCATAACTTAAGTTCCATTCGGCCTATAATATTTAAACTTCATAGGATGATTGTCCATATTGGGTAGAAGACCTCTGTTGATTTTGGGATCACAAGGTCAAAGGTCAAGATCACTATTACCTTAAAACTGAAAACACTTTCCGCTCAATTACTTAAGTGTTAATCAACCTATAGCTGTAAAATTTTATAGGATGAACAGCCAAGTCCAATGCATGACCCCTATAGATTTTAGGGTCATAAGGTCAAAGGTCAGGGTCACAATGATCTTTACAATGAAAATAGTGGTTTCTGGAGCATAACTTAAGTTCCATTTGGCCCACAGTGTTCAAACTTCATAGGATGATTGTCAATATTGGGTAGAAGACCCCTATTGATTTTGGGGTCACAAGGTCAAAGGTCAATATCAAATGACCTTAATATTGTTAACAGTTTTACAACTGTCAAACTTCATAGGATGATCACTTATATTGAGTACATTAATTATGTGCCCTAAAAATTTTCTTATATTATGTTATACCCCTGGCGTCTTTCGTCCATCCGTTGTTGCTTTTTTACTTATCAAGATAACAACTTCATGGTGGTGCTTTGGAAACAGCAACTGTATATATATATATATATGAAGGCGGTAATACTTTATTTAATTCCCATGTCTTACAAATGCTTCATCCTTACGAAAAAAAACACAACAACAGTACACTTTCGGGCATATAATGCTCCGCCTAGAGGTGCTCCTGTTGACTATATACATATAAGGGAAGCCTATGACCCCCGGGGGCGGGGCTAATTTTGATGCTAGAGACAAAATTTGAACAACATCGGTAGAGTACCTATAGATGATATCATATACCAACTATCAAAGCTCTAAGCCGTGTACATTCAGACAAGAAGGTATTTTATGGTTTTACTATATGTAAATATTGTGAAAATCCATGACCCCCGGGGCGGGGCGAGTTTTGACCCAAAGGCTATCATTGAACAATCTTGGTAGAGGTCTACCAGACAAGGTCTGAATGCAAAATATCTATGTTACAGGCCTTGTGGGTCTTTAAAAGAAGATCTTTAATATTTAAACTTATTATTTCTTTTGGTTGCCATGGCAACCAGATTTCTGCATGGATTAAATTCTTTGAACAACTCTGGAAGCCCTTTACCCAAGTATCAATCCTGCAAAGTTTGGTTGAAATTGGACAAGTGGTTTTACACAAGAATTTTTTTTACGTTCACTATATTATCTATATCACACACACACGCACGCACGCAGACGAATCGCTATATACCCCGAATCGCAGATGCTGCGGTGGCATAAAACAACAACAAAAAACAATAACAAAAAAAAAATAACCATAGGCTTAAGTTTAACGTTTTGATTAAGAAATGGCCAGTCTTTAAAAACAAATGCCGAAAAGCCTTGAGAATAAATTAATTATTTACTGCATCCCTTCCGTCTTTTACATTTTTTTTGAGGATTCTCATTTAATGGTGCATTCTTTATGAAAAAAAAGGTGCGTAGTTTTAAAAAAGCATTTAACTGAATATCATCTTTTTACATTGGTATTCTAGAATGGGAACATTGTTCTCTTGTCCGCTGTCGTTTTAAACCGTCTTGTATCGTATAAACGTATAACTGCAAGAACCACACATGACTCTCAGAAAAGTTGACAGCATATGAGTGTTTGGTAATTATGATGCTCATTTATTGGAGTCATCGCCCCTGATTAAGACGGACATGTTTATTGTTACCAATTTAGATGATGAAGACGCCAACAACCGTTCATAACGAAAAAAAAATCATAACTACAGTATCCGTGTGTATGAAAATCCCGATGACCATTGTCAATTACAGATTCAAACTTGCATTATCATAATAAACATTTACATAAGTCTCAATATTAAAAAATCTTATCATCACATCTTAATGAGAAAGAATATAACAGACTGCTTAAAATATTCAGATTATATTTATTTGTATCAAATATATGTTTTCATATCCATTTCTATAATAAAGAAGAGATAATAACATGTGATATTTGTGTATATTAAAATTTTATGCACTCCATATCGTTTGTTTTGTATGTGGCGTGTGTATTATTTTGTGAATAAGGTACTATGTTTCAACTTTTATCAAAAGTACCTTTATTTTGCGTGCTTGCTTTTAAAAAAGGAAGCCAGTATTAAGTTACTAAGAAGGTTCACCTTTTAAACAGATATAGTGATTAAGACAACATAAAAAAATTGCACGGAAAGTTTTACTTTTAGTATCAAACAAAAAACGTTACTTGAATGTGAATCAGTTGAACAGAAAGGAAATTGTTGATAACGAAACAGTTTAATAACATCAGTGGAGTCCCATTAAATTAAAGATAAACAGTGCTTGACTTGCATTTATAATGGTTACTGTGCTACAAAGCAAAACAAAAACAAAAAAAAAAAAAAAAAAAAAAAAAAAAAAAAAAAACAACGAACCCCCCCCCCCCCCCACACAAAAAAAACCCAAAAAGAAATGAGAATGTATCGACAGGATACGACTTTATACAAACTAAATGTATGCATGGAAGAACTCGTCTCTAAAGCCATTCAATCATGATATTGGACATGTCATGCAATCTATTACATGCGGAAATTATTGGTTAAAAGTACATCAGTAGTAGCATTAACTTAATGAGATAAAAATAATGATATGAAATTTAGTGAAATGAGAATGTATCGACAGGATACGACTTTATACAAACTAAATGTATGCATGGAAGAACTCCTCTCTAAAGTCATTCAATAATGATATTGTAAATGTCATACAATCTATCAATTTCATGCGGAAATTATTGGTTAAAAGTACATCAGCAGTAGCATTAATTTAATGAGATAAAAATAATGATATGAAATTTTAGTGCTGAGTAAAGTATTTACCATATGAAAACATTAATGTCATGCTTATATGGTTTGAACAAATAAAAGAATCCGGTTAGTTGATATCCAAAACGATACTATGGCATAAGAGTTCACATAAAAGGCAGCAGCGTTTCTGTAAAAGATAATTTTATATTTTACAATCAATCTGATGGGAAATGAAGTTGTAAATTTCCTGCAGCATTCAGACTATCAATACCTTCACGCAACAAAAACGACGTGCAATAGTTGTAATCTGTAAACCCAAATTCACCTTCAGCAAGCATGGATACTGCTGTAACATGTTGGGCACCTACATCAGACATACAGATTATTGACCCACTATCTCCTTCGCAAGCATAACTGTTGTCTTCACAACCCGGCATTGTTTCTATAAGCAACAGCTGATGTGTTACATCCCTATTCGCTCTGCTGTAGTCTGAAGAACACACTAGTCCGTCTGTGAACTGCGAACCAGCCCCGTGTTTGTACACCCTTCGATCACTTTCAATAAGTTCTTGAGCGAAACCCATATACAGCTCTGTCCTCATATAGTTTCCGTCTTCGTCTTTTAAATTTGTTCTGCAACGCATTTTATCTTTTTCATGTATCACTTTTACCGCAGCAATATCAATTAATGTGCCACGTTCTGGGGGGATTTTTGTCTCTGGTTGGCTAACTGCAAAAACACGCCTATTTCCATCGAATACATTATGAATCGCATCATGTTCTGCATGGACAACATGTGCACATGTAAGTACATATATTTCACCGTCTTCATTTCGGACAAGCCCACCAAGAGTGCCCCGAAATCTAAAATCATCTGTAGGACATTCGCATCCAATACTTGTACCCGTGTCTAAACAGAATGGTTGGGGCTTCTTCAGAACGATATCTACTCTGTATGGTTTGAGGAATTTGAACTTCTGGATTATTTCACAAATCTGCTCCTTTATTTCTTTCATCTTCTGGATACTAAGGTTCTCTAAATGAATTTCGACTCTGCCATAAATTGTTCCGATTCCATACACACCGTCAACTCTGCAATAATCAAATAGTCAAATATTGATTGGATGTTGTGATTTAGTATGGTTTATTATAATGAGCAATAAAATGTTACAAATCAGTTTTGGCAAAATGTCTTGGCTTCAACGAATAAACATAAGGACTTATTTAGCACGATTGTGTTTACATTTTCCAAATAAATATTTTTACTTTAAAACAGCATTCGTGTGTGAAATAAGAACATACCCAAAAATTGCTTCCTTTAGTTCTCGGGGAATTTCCGTCTGACTGGGTATCAAATCATAACCGTGTTTCATTTTTGAGCTTTTTATGTAGCCATCGATCTCAAACAACATTTTCCTCATAGTGACTGCAAGACGTCTTGTAGAATTCAGATGATCTTCGAAAGTTTGGAACTCACCCTTGATATCATCTCGTACAACGTATGCAATGAAAGCAAAATTTTTGCCAGGAAAATAATAATGCTTGTGTCCGGCCTTTGTAGCATTCAGCATATCCTTGCACGGGGTTTCCATCTTTGATAAGTGATATCGTGCGTTTCTTGAAACACTTTCTTTCATTTTGTCGTCAAACTCGAACTGATGGGCAAGTTTGTTGCACTCATCTTGTGATAAGCAATATTTGCCAGCCAGCGGTGCCATAACAGCACATCTGATGACTTCCATAAATCTTGTAAGCGTAATTTCAATGAATGACATCTGATCATTATTAGACTCAAGCATATCGACAAACCCTAAACCGTTCTTCAAAAAACCTTGCATTGCGGTTATAAGCTGATCTGATTCAATTATGTCGAATTCACTTGCATCGAAATATCTATCACCAATGATGTCAAGTAGATGTATCATCAATCCATTGAAGCCTTCCATTAATTCTCTCTCTATGATATCAGATATTCTTCTACTTATCTCCGAACTATCTTTCACGTCAACTATCATGATGTTTTCATCATCTGTGCTAATGTCGGGTGTTTCTTTTTGTGCTAACAACTTGATTTTTTCACAAAAAGATCTTTTACGTTTGCTTTCGATACCTTTTGTAGCACCATTTGTTTCGCAGACAACAAGCGGTCCAAGAACAGATGACCGGAAGCTCTTAGCTTGTGATTCCAAATATTTGAAAGTGTCTTGTACTTTCTGCAATTGAAGAAGATCAGATACATTATAAACCACCTTCACCATGCAATACCTTTACATTGATAAATTATCAATTTATAAGCATTAAAGTTGAAAATAGAGAAGGTTTTGAAAATATAAGGAAATTTTGGATTTCAAGGTTTTTTTTCAATTACTAACATTTTAACGCGTTTCACAATGAATCATTTAAGTGTTTAAACGTTAGACATCCAACATTTTGTTACAAGAGGTTCACTTTGCTTATTCATTGGAGCATGAAATGCTTGACTATAACATATTAAAGCAGAATGCCTGCAGTTTTAAGCTTCAGTTTCTTGAACATTTTTGAAACTGTTTTTACAAATGAAATATTGTGAAGAGAACAAATAAAGTCAATTCACATTGGAAGCGGCACTTGCAATACATAAATTATACATCAATAAAAAGAAAGTCAAAATATGCAATATAACCTTTATTGCGTTAGTCACGCAGTAGAAATGATATTATGGTGATATATAAGTCTACTGCATGATCAGCTCTTACATGCTTATAACATGTAACTTATAATTTGAATTTTGAATCTTTTAACGTTTCTTAAAATATTTTTTCTCAAGTTTGATTTTTTTTAAATTTGTTTGTTCATCTGTAGGCACGCATCTTTTAAAAACAACACCATTGATAAAGCGTCCTATTAATTAATTAATTAATTAATTAACGAGGACTTAAGTAAAATGCTCTACACAGAAACAACTATCACATTAAATATCAATCAATCACCTGCAAACTTCCATCTGTAAAGTCTTTGATCTTTTCATAACAAATAACAACCGTAAACTGATTCTTCTGCTGTAGGTCTGAGCTTAACTTTATCGGAGAAACAGTGGAACCTCGTGCACGATCACCTTTTAATGATTGAGTGGAAATGACCAATTTTTCGGCATTTACATTCTCACGCCCTATGACAACCAGTCGAAGATCATTTTCTATCTTGCATGATCTATCCGTTATGTTCTCGTTCAATTTTGGTGAATATGGCCATTTACCTGAAAACAATATCCTTCATGTCACAAAGATTTTGTTGTTATCTGTTAAGTTTTATTGCATAGTTAACAATTAACTTAAGAATGACTTTTTCAAACAGGTCTTTTTTAAAATGTCAACAATTATAAAGTGTGTTTACCAAATGCAATATGAGACAGTCATATACATGTATTATTCTAAAAAGCATATATAACTTATTGAAAATAAAAAGCCTTTCGCAAAAATAACAATTCATTACAAAAGTTATGCAGACACTCTCTGTCTGGCAATAGGCGAAGATAGCTAAGTTTACACTTAGAGTATCAAGACAATGATACTGTAGGCAAAACCGTATCATACACTTTGACTGTAAAATGTGAGGTTTCATGTAAACTTTTTTAAAAGTTTTAACTGAAATATAAATGTGTTTGCTTCAAATTCTACCGAATTTTATCTTGTCACACAATATGCTCCAAACACATTATAACATTAATATCCTAAACAAAAAACTAATATTTTTGAGCATCTAAAGTAAGATTTTTATTCTTAAACTGAAGTACATATTTGGTAGCAAAAGGAACAATAAAATATGAAGACTATTTCCATTTGTACGTATAAAAGTCTGACCGTGAATAAACAGAAGCCTAAAATGAAAAGAATCAATTTTTTAGTAACAAATTTAAAAGAAACAATTCATACTTGTTACTTTCTGTAATCTTGCGTGGACGTCCTTGAATCGCTTTTGGTAGTGATGTGCCCGAGGATATGCCTTCCACGAGCTCAGCTCGTGCGAATATGCGCCTATCATCCTAAAATCCAAACATTAAAATAATTTATATCAACCTTAATTATAATTATAATAACTTACAATGTCAGATAAAGGATCCGATCAATTTATTAAAAATTTTCAAAGAGATAAGCCAGTCTCTTCACATGTAGTACCATCATAAACCTCTATCTTACGACATCGACGACTGACGACGACGACAACCCCTATGACATCATCACCATCAACGATAACAACAGCAACAACAGAAACCATTACTCTATCAACACCCCTACCCACTTCACTGCAACGACTGCAAGTTGGAAATCTCTTTGCGATACCAAGATATTTTCATACTGTCTCAATAAGGACATTTGTATAACGAAAAGACATAGACATAGGTTAAGACACAGGAATAAGATATTTAAATATTCATTTGTTCGTCTAAAGCTTTATTAATTGAGAAAATATCTATGATGGTAAATTGTTGAAATCGAAAGTACATTTTTTTCAAACATTTCGTATTTTTTAAAATTAGGATTATTACCGTGTCCATTACCTCCATGCTATTCTATATAATCGACGTGCAAAAAGCAGGTATCAATGATCATCAACAATTTAGAATATTTTAACATAATGCAAACGAAAAAAAATCGGTCCACTTTGGCCTCCGTAACTATTTACATTTAGTATGTAGTTTCGTTTCTTTAATTCACATTTTTCTATTGTCATTAACCTATCAATTACATTTAATAATGTTTGCAAACAGATACTTAATTGTTGTGAAATGTGTATTAATTAGAAAATCTAATATGATAATAAGCACTTACCTTTCACTCGTTAGGTGGGAAACCAGATACTATTTTTAGAATTGTCTTGCTAAAAATAGTGACGCGCCGTATTATCCGTAGTACGCAGTAGATAGACGTTTTGTCGGCAGATTTTTATTGATTCGATATTCAATAAGTGTTTGTGCTAAAGATAAAGGTTATAAAATCACGGCGGGTAGTCGATCACAACGGGTAGTCGGTGTGTCCTGGAAAAGGAAAACTCCACTAAAATCGCACAAAAACACTAAACATCGTATTAAAATATAGCCAATAACAATATGAATGACTTGCAATTGGTCATTTCAAAATCCTAAAGAACAGCTTTTACACTACAACGGGTTGTGACGGTAGCACGATATCATCCCTTTTCAAGATAACTTTTTTTACCTTTTACTCATTTCAATATTGATTTATTTGAATAATCAAATAATTTTACACGTGAAAGTTAAGAATTACAACATCGGTTCTTTTATGGTAGCTGTTATGGTGCATGTAAACTTTTTCGTAGGGTGATGCGAAAAATAGAATGTCGAATATACACATATAGAACCCATGAGAACTACCCGCCACAAATACGAAATCGCAAGGAAAAAATGCGGAATTTAACACATTGCTTTTCTTACACTGGCATCGTGGAAGACACAAGACCAGTAGAAACTATGTCCTGGATTTGGTGCTCTCGATATTCTTCTTTTATCCCATCAAAGAAAGTCACACTTGATCATGATATTCTTTAAATAAGTATCCGGAATTCTCTCACCGTTGTTAGTTTGACATTTGAAATGTACATGATTTAAATGCAGCACAATGTTGATATTTTGTACATCGTCCGTCTGTTCGTGTATCATTCATTGTTTATCTGATTATAGGAACCTCAGGAAGATTAATTAATGGCACAGAATTGAATATGTAGAAGAACCATTTGTCTAATGTGTCAAATTATTCTATTACCAAGATATAAAGTTTGTAAACTTATGTACACGCTATATTTATTGAAAAATAGAAAAGCACACATTTATCTCAATTCTTATTTTTTTAAAGGGACAACTTTGTTTCTTTTTGTAACATTATCAATTCCCTGAGCACATATTTAAAACAGACGTTCTATAACAAAAGATAATACTTTATTTCTTTGTCGTGGCAATTACATGGGTGTGAGTATTGGCACAGTTGATATAAAATCATCAACTTCTAATTATGATGTTTTTTTACAAGTATGACACCTAAACAATTTATGTTATCTCTTACACTGATACAGTTTAGTTCTCCAGAACCCGAGCATAAAATGTTTACAAGGTTTACTAAAGTCTCGGTTTATTGCAAAAGACATGCATAATCTAAATATTAAAGGAAGAAAATGTTGCAATTTGATGCGAGACAATATACCTTGGTGTGTTACTGGAATTCAAAATATCTTTGCCTAAATAGAATGATACACAGACTAACGGCTGCAGATATTGCTTATTGCCAACAAGGACGGTGAAACTTTCTTATCAATAGTTCATTACTATTGATTTAAATCAAACTTTCATTGATTAGTGAACATTGTCTATCAAGTTGATAAGAAGAATTGAACTCTTACTTATTTAACAGTTGATTAATTCGGTGTCAATTGCTTTGCAGAAATGAATTAAAAATAAGATTGTTCATGCTTCAATAAATGTTTATCTATAGAGCTGATTTCTAGAACATTATAATTTATATAAAAAGCAATTTGGTAACCATGGAAGTCATCCGGACAGCATAGCTTTAAGGATAAAGCTAGTTTTATGTGTTATTTCTTCTTTGAATTCAAACGGACAAAAAAAGAGAAAAACAGAATCTCTGAAAAAAGCCCAACACAGCAAAATGAAAATTTTGGCAGATTCAGTTTGATTGAGCCTACTTTTGGACGGTACTGGAATGTGCGAATAACCGTCCACGCCCCCCTAGCACCGGCTTAAGCAGAATTCAACGTTTAAACTAGAAAATGGTGAAATTTAAGTCGTGAAATAATAAACAAGGCACGCATATAGTTTTAACTTTATGTGAATGAGATAAACATAACAAACATAAGGTTATGTTAAATATGATGTGTATATCTTCGTTGTCTTTGAAATATTAAACTTTTCATATAGTTAATTTACCTGCTACTTTTTGTGAACATGTTGTATATTAATCTTTTATAAAAATTCAAAAGAAATAATGACCATCGTCACAAATCGTTAATTGTGATATTCATAACTATTTCACAAGATACATGTATTGTGCTTAACAGTACCATGGACATAGTTTATCATATTTGCATAATCAAAGGGCTGCAAGCTCTGTGGTATTTTCTGATCTTTGCAATCTAAATCGTACTGTATATCTGTATTTGTTTTCCTGTATAAGTTTATTTTTGGCGTCCTCGGCGCGGCGCCTCTTTTGGAGTGAGAAAGGGCGACAGCAAACTTCTCTAGCCTTTTAGTCGGACATAATAAAAGCCGTTCATTCAGACCAGTATGAGGGTGCTTGATTACCTGCGGTCTGGAGACCACAGGGTATTGGTACGCATTTAACTTTTAAGGCATGGAGGAGCACGTGACCTGTTTTAGGTACATGGAGGAGCATGTGATCTGTAAATCGTACATGATTGGTTAATTGACCTTTTCGGAAACCTGGATAAATACCGTTTGCTGGTACGTTACGGATAATCCTCTAGGGAATAAGACACCTAATTAAGAACAAAAAACTATTACGTGATATTTTCTATAATTATGTTACCGTTTAAGGTGGAAAAACTTGAATGATGTGTTTGAAAAATTATCAATGTTTCTTTAATATGTATCTCAAAAATGTTACAAACAATAAATTGTTTATACTGAAAATCTACAAAATTAAAATATTCGTAGTGGCATCTGCCATAAATATAATACTTGTGTGTTTACTTTATTTTTTTTTTTTTGCTCGGAATTATCATAAAATGGTAGGCCTATTTAATTATTTTCTTAAAAAAGAATGTTTTATGTTCGATCTTCTCCGGTCATCAACGGTCACCAGTTTTCCAAAGACCTTCTTCTATATTAATCGATTACTGTCAAATATATTCCTGATACAAACGTTTATTTATCCTCGCCCCCCCCCCCTGAAAAATAGTTAATTGAAATATATTTTTATCATTAAAAACGTTGCCCCGCAGGAAACCATTTTACTTGTTATTAATTAAAAATGCAATGTCGCGATATATACAATGAATAGCGAACTGGAGAATTTCGCAATGCAAACATTTTCAAATGAAATAACCTTTTTCCGTCAATAAATTGCGCTCTTCGGGTATTTTTATTTATCATTTTGTAGTACACAGTGGGTTATTATGGTTCATGTATCCGAAAGCTGAATAGAATGATGAGTTGGTGACCTATATATTCCAAAAATCTATTTATAGAGGGATGTTATTCCTATCGGTAATTCCCGGTCTCTCCTGGTCTATTTTTGACCGGAATTTTACTAGTGACCGGCGAATAGTACCACACGTTTATTGTCCGGTCTCTCCCGGTTTTCGAGTAGATGTTTGATATCGTTACAGAACAGAACAAATATTTACAGTTATATAAGTTTTTTTTTCAAAATGAATGTTTGTCACTTAGTTTGGGTTTACAATAATTAATAAACACAGATCAACTCTCAAATTTATTGATTATTATTATACATAAACATACAATTCGAAAAAAAAAACCAACAACAACAATAACATGTTTTATAAAACATGATAAAACACTGATTACGTTTGTATCAGATAAAAAACAATAAATATGTACAATAATTGAGAGAAAAAAGGTACATTTTTATGGTATTAATATGACACTATCAACTTTGAAACATTTTATTTAATTTGTTATTCGTGTTTAGTAAAGATACCGAGGAATTATTCAAAGTTACAAATTAGATTTTATGAATTATTCAATTGATTGATAATTTAAAAAATGATAAAGAAAAATACAAATGTACATGTAAATGTTTTAAGAATAAACAATATTATATATTAAAAGTTTAACCATAATTTACTGACTTTTTCCAGTTAAGTTTTTACTTAATATAATCGTCGGTCAATATGACAATTGAATTTTTAAAAATAGTAGTAAACGTAAAAACTCAGTATTTAAATAGCACATAAAACACACAAAAAAGAAAGAAAACAATTTTCATAAAATCTGTATTTTTTTTATTACAATTATTGTATAATAAACAATTATGCTCAACATGATCAACATGGTAATGTAACCAGTGTCATATTGTTTAGTAAAGTGTGAACAGATACCTTTAGGGGGTCTTCGCTAATAGCGATAACATAATAAGGGACAGGTGTGGTGTTGATCATGCATTACACATATGGATTATAAATGATTGTATACATGTATATCCGTTGCTAAAAAAATCATTTATGTTCATTTTTTATGATAGCCACACTTTATCCTTGCATATCGTGCCTATTTCCAACAAAGACACTAAAAAAAGAATTAAAAAAAAGTGTTGACTCGACTGGGATTTGAACTCCAGACCTCTCACACGTGAAACGAGCGCGTTACCCCTGCACCACGGAGAAGTTATGACAACAGTGGCTGATTAAAATCAAGTGATTCGTAACTTATAATTTCCATTGCATTTCGGGTTAGGGTAATTTCGAGGTATTTTGTTCAGGGTAAACCTGTTGTTTAAAATTGAAGTAAATAATTTAGCAAAAATCTTCTCGCCCAAACAGTCCAACATGTAGAAACTATATATTCAACAACTCGACAGTCAGATTTATTTGTGTAGTATTCGGTCATCGATATCGCTAAAAATAGCATTTTCATTGATAAAAATCATATTCACCCGCGTAATTTGTGAGTGTGCATTTATTGACAATTTTATAAGCCAACGCTACTTTTAAAGTTTGAATGTGTAGTAATTTGTTGGACACTTGTAACAAAAAAATGTTCTTTTTTTTAAATTGCTGGTTTTTAAGCAGTTTTGAGTGAGAACTACATTGCGTTGTTAGGACTGTTGGGAAATATTGTGTTAGACCGTGGATGTTAGCTATGTATTTATCTGATCTTGCGATCAGAAAATACAAAAAAGGTTATGTACTATTTAAAAAGTGTGCATATTGACCAAGATTGAGGCTTGCTTAAGTTGTTAAATATACATACACGTTATTTACCCACTTTTTTCGGCTCCTTTAACTATTTCGGCTTTACGGAATGGACCAATAGATAGTTACATAAAATATTCAGTAGTAAATATTTGATAATCATAGAATATTTTTCAAGGTTTTTTGACGACAAATAAAAATGACACGGAAACGTCCAAATTTATGTTTAATAATCAAATTAGTCTATTTAATTCCTAACTACGATGATATTCTAAATGTTGTCATTTCTTATACGTGATGATTATGAAAATGTTATTATCACACACGTTATGTAGATTTCCTGAATACAAAACTGTATTTTGTATCTAGAAGAAACAATTTTATTGTTCCATCAGTTAATCCCTGTCGGCATCGAAAGTTCTACTCCATTTGAATGTTGTTTGAAAACTTGAAAAGCAGTGCTCAAAAGGAACGATAGACACAGCGATGAATCCAATCCTTCTACATTGAATCGTCCAGCACTCGTCATAGTTACAGCCTCAATGATTTTATCGTCCCCCTCGAATGTAGAAATACAGTTGATTGACCCACTGTCTCCCTCCTTCGCATAAAATTCACCGTCACAAGACTTAGTGTCAATAAGCACTATGTAGCTTTTGGAATCTTGCCCATCAAACATGCTATAGTCAGAAGAGCAAACGATACCTTCGGTAAAGCCTGTCATTGCACCATACTTGTAAACGTATTTTCCGACAAGATCACTTGGACAAGCTGTAGATAGTTTTGATGTTCTTAAAATACCATCATCATCTTTTAGTAGTTGCATACACCTCTGGCGTACATCATCACATACTGATATTGCAGCGAAGTCAATCCATGAGAGCTTTGTGCTACCAAAACGTACAGTCATCTCCGGTGAGCTCTTTCCAAACATATGCTGTTGGAAAGAATCATCTTTAATATAGACGTCATGCTCACCTGCTGAACCCTGAACAACATGTGCGCATGTCAATCCAAACAACTGGTTATCATCATTACTTGCAAACCCTCCCAATGTCCCTTTTCGGAAATTACCTGTGTCTGGTGAAATACTTTCAAGTGTATTCCCGGTTTCACACTGCCACATAACTAAATCTACAGGCTCTTTTAATACTTCTCTCAACCGATATGGTCGGTGAATGTTCATATTTCTGAAAACCTCTGTAATACCATTCTTTACATCGTTAAGACGTGTCTCTGTTGTTTTCTTTAAATGGATTTCAAACTCACCATATACGGTTCCAACTCCAAACACCCCATCAAGTCTGGAAAAGGATTAAGGAACCAGCTTGTTAAGTAAATGATATTCAGCAAATGATAATATTCAATACAAAAACACACCCAAACTGTGAGAAAATCATACGCTGGACTGTTTTACTTTTCCAAATTATTTACATATCGTTTAAAAGATATTTAAAATACAAAAAATTTAGAAACCAATATTGCTTTACATATTAATGTTACTAAGAGTGTTGAATAAGAATTCAATGCCTCGAGTCAAGGCAACATTACAAAAAGATATCTAAAAAGGAAATAAGTTCTATCTAAAGTAAAGAACTAGAAGGAGAATTAAGTATGATACTAACGTTAACAGTTTTTTTCTTAATTCTGCCGGAATGGGTGTTGTTTCAGTATGTTTTCGTGAGATATCGCCTTCTCGGACAATTGATTGTTTGATATAACCTCTTATCTCAAACAACATCTTTTTCATAATAGTTACGCCATGCTGGACAGAAACCAGTTCTTTTTCAAAAAGTGCTGTTTGTTCCTTGATATCATCCTTTAATGGGTGTGCGATGAACAGAAACTTTCTGATAGGAAAAATGTACTGTTTATGTTTAATTTCTGCTTTTGAGCAAAACTCCTCAATTTTTTTGAGATGGTACCGGGTATTTCTTGAAATACTGCTTTTCAATTTCTGTTCCAGGTTCAATTCATGGGCTAGCAAGTGGCATGCATCTTGAGGCAAGCTATATTTGAGAGATACAATGGCAACGATAGAGCAACGTATCACCTTGACCAGAGAGTCTAAGACGATTTCAATAAAGTCATCGTCCTTGTGCATGTCCCTATCATCGATGATCCCCCAAACATTCCTTAGAAACCCCCGTACAGCACAGACGAATTGTTCATTCTCTAATGTGTCAATATATTTCAAATTTGGACCTGATCTCTCTGTCGCAACCTGGCTCAAATGGTCTTCAATTTTCATGAATTTGGTTACAAGTTTTGATTCTATTAAAAGAGATATTTTGCTGCCGAGCAATCCGACATTTGGCCCTAAGATAATTCTGTCTGAAGATACTTCAATACCGTACAGTTTTCTAATTTCAAAGATCATTTCATTGCAAAATAGTCTCACTTCTTCATCAGATTTGGGTGCGTTTGTTTTACAAACAAGGAAAAGGTTTTCTACTAAATCAAGTTTTGCTCTATTTGAAGACGCCATGAAGTGACCGAGAGTATCAACAACATCCTGAAATAATATATTTCTGTAAACATATTGTGCTAGAGTATGTTATTTTTTGAAAACAAAATTTCAATAACACTGAAGGAGAAATCGTTCGTAAGTTTAAGTTTATATATCTTGATACCGAGTTGCTTCTTCTCTTATACCTAGTCATTGATATTTTCCACAGAAACAACTTTATTGCCATATTACTTAACCTAATACATACAGAAAGTAAACATGTTGTCTAAAAGTGTAGCAGTTAATCACTTTGCGTATTGAAAATTGCTATCCACTATTCATCTATTTCATCTTTGGATGACACTAGATTACTTGCCCATAATAGTCCTTTGAAAAGTTCTAATATACCGACAAGATAATGTATTCAACAATTTAAAGAGAAAGTTACCTGAAGCCTCTGTGTACCATCGTCTTTTGTATAACACACTGCTACCGTCATTGCAGCATGTCCTCTTTCTGACAACTGAGAATTGATCGACTGCCGTCTAAATGGTTCATCTGTTACTATGATATCATTTTTATTTAAATCGTCCTGTCCAATGACAAGTATTTGCAGGGCTGTCTCAAGGTTTGCACACAATTCTCCGAGCTCATTCTCCAGTTTTAAACTTCTAAACAGATCTGGATATGGTGATTTATCTGGAAATAGTACATTGACAATGTTTTAGAAAAAGTGAATGCTTGAATATTTACTTTCTAGTGAGCATTTAAATAGAAAATATTTTCGCATAAAATGTAACAATCAACACTCATTAAAGAATATTCTTTGTACGTAAATAAATAAAAAGTACATATTAGACACATGCAGACATGATTTACAGACGCAACATCATATAACGTTACCTGTCAATAATTGAAGAAATAAAATCTTTGACATACTTGTAAGGTTTTTGAATCTTTTGCACACGTCCCTGAAACGTTTCTGGAAATACTGAACACGTGGATAACATTCCCAAGTGTTCACAACATGAGAATACTCCGAGATCTGTTGGGCCATCTGTGACAAACAGTAACGAAATGCATTATGATAATGCATAATGTTAAAATTTAACAGAAATGTTAAATGTCAGCTAAATATTATTATATTCTGGTGTAAAATATTTGAGTTGTTTTTATTGCTTGTAATTAAATAAAAAGATAATTTGAGAATGTCAACACTTGTCAGAGAGAAACCAGTCATAACATGAGAAGGCCTTGGAAGAAAAAGATAATTATTACTTTTATTAGTTTAGAGGCAAAGCCAAAATCAGAATCTCATCAATTTCATTTATATTTGTTGCGAAATATTTTCGTTAAATATATTGACTTTGGTGTAGATTATCATTTTCATAACAATATGGGCCATATACATTATAATAGATGTATATCTGTAATGATTATAATATCAAATATGCTGGTTATATAATAATCATAATAAACATGTACTGCAATATATATTAATAATGTAACTTACAGTTAAAATTGATTCTTTTCGTTGAAATTGTACACATGATTATTTGATCTTTTAATTTAGATGAATGCTTTATGGCCTCGCGCCAACGTGGTATCCCTCGGTAAAGAAACGAGGCCATTTTGAAATTAAATAAATTTTGAATAAATTTACTCGAAATTAATGATCAGATGATCAACAGACTATCAAAAGAAAAAAAAACTAGCTCTGAAATGATACATTCAACCTGCAAATATCACTGTCGAAAAACATTTTTTGTGAAAGATGGTACCACCTTGAGAGAGTGAGTTACTTTAGTCTAAAGAGAGATTACTCCGAACAGAAAATTTTAAACGTAAAGATTACCTGTTGTTATATTTATCTCGAAAGTCATAGTTAATCAAATCTATAAATGAACCAAAAGATTAAAAAGAATAGTCTTTCATATAATCATCTCAGGTTCAGAATTAATGACTTCAATTCTATGTTAACAATTATAATTGTTGTAGTTTAGATAAAATTATTATATGGTTATAAATGTGTATAAGGTACATACCTTTCATAAATCTTTGCAAAGTTGATAACCCATTTACAAACGATATTGATAGCTGTGCCTTGATAAACAATATCCATATGCCGTACTAAAATATCGGATTTTTTTTTATTTATTTGACGCTTCAATTTAAGACCATATTTATTTTCAGAGTCGGTTAACCGTTTTGTTAAAGCGACAATATGCACATCTAAGTGTAAATGGTCAGTAAACCGGTTCGTATTAAAATAATATGATTGTTTTTCCATAATTATGTTCAATTATCCTTGAGACCAAAAGAAATTTCTATAAATACTGTTCAGAATGTACCGGTAACGCTCAATTCTAAAACAAATCTAGTAGGGTAGTTCTTTTATAATGCAGATATATAGCCTTTAAAATGTTTTCATTTTCAATTATTGGTCGATCACCATCATAATAGCCAAAGTTTAAAATTTGTACTACAAATTTAACACAACTTGACGGTGAAAAACTGAGCATTATGTTATTTTTAAAGTTTATTTCTTAGAGACGGCACACTACAACGACATTCACTTCAATAGCATACTCATAATTAATATGTGAGCATTTCTAAACAGGTTATAATATCTAAACAAATTAAAGTTATGCCCCAATGCTGACTGTTTGCCCTTGTTTACCCTTCTGCTTATATCAATATCTGAAAGAATGGTAAAAAATATTTATTTTTAACTTAAAATACTTCTTTATTTGTGAAGTATTATTTTAGGTTGTACTTTTATTTCTTTCCATAAAAACATTCAATTTGAGTACTTTTCTGTAAAGATTAATTCATTTAAATACTTATATCATGATCAAGGCAAGTGTAGGTAAGCCTAAATTCATTTTTTACATTATTATTTTTGTATCACATTGTCCAGAGTATAGAATGTTGATTGTAATGTCCATCGACAAAGTTTGCTAAAACCTACGATTATAATCCTGTCAAACAGGCAGAAAATACTAAAAATCACAACGCTTGTCACCCTGACGTACCAAGCAACAGAAGGCAGTACAAGATTTCGAATTGGCAAAGGTCAAATTTACAAATATATAAGAGACAGTTTTGAAATTGGTGTGGATATTTAAGCTTCTAAATATTCAAAGTTGCTATATTTCAAATTTCAGTGGCTAGTATTGTGTTTAAGTTATTAAGTAAAATTGATTTGATTGCTGTTTGACCCATTTATTTCAAGAGAGAGAATATATGATTCATGGAGCTAGCTCAGGAATCAGCTTTTCAATGAAGACAAAATAGTGAAAAAAGGGGTGCATATCTCCTCGTTTTGATTTTATTTTCATATTGGGCATTGTTTAAGAAGGAAAAAATACAATGTAGCATGTGATTGTAGTTATTGACGTTGATGCATTTGTCATATAATTCGCTATTTTTGTCATTAATTTTCGCGACAAAAACAATGGAAAACATAGGTTTATGTGCCAGAGACATGTATTGTCCAACAATGTTGACCTGGCACTTCATTAATTTCCGTAAAGGTCAGGTAATAAAAAGTGGTATCTAACGAATATATCGATATCTTTGTTAACTTCACACGTCAATGAGTTGTGGTGTATTGGTATAGATGCCTGACTATTGATCTGAAGTTCTCTGGTTCGATACCTTACCAACTCTACGTTGTGAGGACATGCATTTTCTTTATTACATTTTCAAATTTACTTGCAAGAATTAATTTCAAATCGTTTTACTTCATCTGGTTTTTAGAATACATTTTAAGTAGTGGTTTTTCATACATTTTTTTTTCGTTACATTATCTTTAATTAATAAAAAGGACAGCACGGTCATAATACAAATTAAAATACTACACAGATAGAATACACAACCACAAATCAAAACGTTTTACACGAGTTAAGAGAGAAATGGCAATTTTAAATCAGAAAAGAAAAAATATAAAAGTGGCTGAACCAGGATGATTCAAACCTACGAGTGTACGTTTATATATTCTTGAAGTGAAAGCCCTTAACGACTGTGCTCAGAGGGATTTGTAATTTAGACCATTTAACAACTGGTTATATATACATTCATATCGATTTACAAATAGTAACGTTTACGGAATTTACCAACTATGGGGTCAAATGCAAGAGTACCAGGTCAATGTTGTTGAAAATATTATTAATTGTTCGCTGTGATATATTTAATATGTTTATGTTAATTAAGAAATGCGTTTATTTTAGATGTGTGCTTACAGACTTGTTAGGTTTCGATTGTGACGCATTCAATTGTTTGCCGAGGAGCCTTGAAAACTGTGTATTGCCCCCGCATATAACAAAAGAAATTGGTTGATATTACCGGATTTTTTCATCGTATCGTCCTTGCTAACTACGACAACTTACAGGCATTTCATTACACTCGAATCGCTTGTTCAAGAGTTATTTTGGAAAGAAGCCAAAAAAGTTGTATTACCACATAATAAATTTTGTTTTGGTTGATCTGAACTATTTAAGAAAGGGTCACAATTCAATTCACTGTTATGAATGTATCTGTTCCTCTGCCAATTGTATAGCAAAATTGATTTCTTTTATGATTATGCATGATATCGATTACGGGTAAATGATACGGTTCAGTAATGATTGACAATGAAATACAAATTTATTATGAAAATACAAATGTAGTACATTATGCTCATTGATTGTCAATAGTATCACTGGTAATATAATATCTTACAATCGATTTAAATGGCAGATAATTCTAAAATGTTAACAAAAATTATTATTTTAAACAAATAAGAAAAAACTAAGTATAGAAAACCAAACTTAACATTACAAAGGAATAATAATATATTGCCTTAAAGTTAAAATCGTATATGTCTCGTGTTACATAAACATAATTATAGATTTTACTGCATTTTATATACATATGACTTTATACCTAAAACTGTTACTACTATCACCCTTAAGCACTTTCAATCAAATGAATTCTAGAAAAAAATCACATATTTTTTGTGAAGAGTAGTTGAACCAGTGCCGCAGTCACAGTTGAATTTACAGCGAGGAGGAACAATTCAAGGGGGTCCGTGGGCATGTATTCCCCACGCGTTTTTTTTTTCTAGAATGTCTCTGGTTTTGATCATTTCTCAAAATAATGTTCTGTAGAAAAATATTTCATTTGGGCGTTTTTTTTATGCATAAAACGACTGGGCGTCGTCTTTGTCATTTATCTAAAATTATCGGCGCCCATTTTGGTCATGTATCATACATAACACAATTGAGTATTCAGCGGCATATTTTCATGCTGTTTGTCCTTACCTTTTGGTCCTCCCAAATTTCTGCGATAGTAAAGCATCCATCGGGTGACTACCAAAGCATCTGTCTTTAAAACTATCAACACTTTTTTTAAGCCATCCCTCCCGATCTTGGTCACGACAATCAATCTTTTCATTTTCAGTATTTGGGATATTTTCAACGCGACCTGCCGTTTGCCTTCACTGGGACGTGTACGACTCAAGAGGTTGTCGGTTAAGTTCAGAAGTTGTTTATAGAAAAAGTGGCGCTTTGCTTCAATAATCAAATGATTACAATGCAATGCAAACCTGCTTTTGAGAGTACAACACAGCAACATATTCATGTTGCTAGTTAAGTTTAATTTATTACTCACTACTTACAACAGTATTAGGTAAAATTTCTAAATACAATCACACACATACAAATGGATTAATAAAATAAATACGACAGAAACAGTCTTTCATACTAACAATTTCCCCGCCATTCGAATAATAATACCCAAGTACCTCAATATCATAGTATTAAGAATGTTCTGATATAAGAGCATTACATATAATACGTCAATTGGCAGTAACTAGTGACTTTTGGAAATCAATTTGTTTTAACGTTTGAACGTTTTATCTGTCTGACTCTAAACAAATAATTTAAGTTGTATTCTTTCATCATTGATTGCAGACGTTTTATCAGAGATGATGTATCCGGAACCGATTCTTGTAAATGAACTTCAATTACATCATATATTGTTCCTATACCATAAACGCCCTCAATTCTGCAACAAAAACCAAAGAACATATATTAAATAGCTAAAGCGTATGAGGAACAAGGTAACAATTGAATTTATTTACAGAATAATAAATTTCAAATAATATTTCTAAGTTATATTTCGGTATATTGATAATAAACGAACCTACATTTTTAACATGTAAGTCTTTTAATTGATATTGAAATACTTTGAAAAATAAAATTTGCCAAGATGCGATTTAAAAATATAAACTATTAAACTTTTTAACCATTGTTGCAAGACAAATATAATTACAATTTTTTAGGACATAACACTTATTTTGCTTACTTTAGAACACTACGTCGCAAACTGTCAGGAATCCTTATACTTGGTTGTTTCGGTGAAAAATCAAAATGTTCCACGCTAGTTTGTTTCAAATATCCATCTATTTCATATTCCATTTTACACATTACAGTTTGAATTCTTTTCATGGAGTTTATTTCCATCTCTGTTGTGGACGATACACTCTCGAAATCCCTTTGTAAAGACGTCACTATAATTTTCAAACGATTTGATGAGCCAAAGTATCTACTCAAATATTTTAAGTGATGATCATTTACAACTTTATTACATATGCGCTCCAGGTAACCTATAATAAAGCGTGTTCTATCTGACATTGATTCAACTAGTTTGCTTTCAAATTTATCAACCTTGCAAATTCTTGTACAAAACCAGGTTGGTAAAGCGTGCTTAAATGCAAAGAAACTTATGAGAGAACATCTGACGTGACGAGCCAAATAATGAGTCAGTGAAGAAGGATTCTCATCACTTTGCTCAATTTGGAAGTCTAGCAATAAAACAGGATTTTGAAGAATACAAGAAAGAACATTATTCAAAGTCACGAAAGATGCATCCGATATGCTTAAAGTTTGCCTGGTTTGCTTATCTTTTTTTACAAAGAACCCAAGAAATATTCGAATTCTGACAAAAGCTTCAATAATCCATTGTTCGTATATATCAGAAACCCGTTGTTTAATGTTCATTTCTTTTGATGAAATGATGACATTTTCTGATGCTAGTTCGTAGCCAAGCAGCGACTTCATTTTCCGTATAATATTTTCGCGACATTTTGTTATTTCTTTATCAGTGGTCTCGAGGTTTACTTTACATGCCAGAATTAGCAAATTCAATGGAAAAGATTCGTAAAATCTAGTAGATTTGAAATGTTTTACTGTCTGTTCTAACTCCTGCAAGAAATAGATTAACTGATAAGTTTAACATTGAATGTGAAAGAGAAAGAAACATTTTTATCATAAGACAAATTTATGGATCAAGAAATGATTGTAAATTTAAAAAATCATTGAAAACGTTTTCAGTGATTAAATATGATAAATACTGATGTTTATTTAATTAAATCAATAAAAAGTAAAGGATATAAAGAATATGTTGCAAACAATATTAAACGTTTAAAAAAATCTTTATGTTTTTTTTCCAAATAAATAATTTTAAGCCCTTTTGTACTTTTCATGTTGTCTTTAACCTTTTCCCTTATATAAGCGTGTTTCGACGGCTTTTTGCCCACCCCCCCCCCCTTTTTGAGGCCTCAAACAGTGAAAAAATGCCCTATTTAGGCCCCAAACACTGTTTTTCGTTTGAGAAATGTTGTTAAAAAAAGTGACCACTTTTTCGGCGCCGTCCCCCATCCAAATGTTACATCAGGGGGTTGCCAGAAGGGGGATGTGCCCCCTTCTGTTTGGGGGGTTTGAAGGGGGGGGGCGGAGTCCCCCTCATCGCCAAGAAAATTTTGGACATGTGACAGGCTAAAAATGGCCTCAGGTCGATCTTAGGGTAACTAGTAACCGACGCTGAAAAGCCTTTTACTCTATCTTAATTCATTGAGAAGTTGCAGCACTTTGAAATCAGTTTTGATGGAAAAAAAACAATGCAAAATAGTGATTTTTGGCAATTTTGAGACGTCCCCCCGTTGCCATGGTAACAGGAAATTTACGATTGAGCATGCTGTTACAGAGGCTATGGTCTAGTCAACATTTGTGCCAAGTTTCATCAGTATTGAAGCATTTTTCATAGTTTCATAGCAGTTTGAACTTGTTACAGGAGGCTTTTCAATGAAAACGGCCATTTTTCGCAATATGCTCATGGGGTAAAAGGTTAATTAAAAAAGTAAAAAATGTCAAAAAACAACAATTTTTCACCAAAATTAGGTGTTAGGGCACGTGTTAACATGGAAAAACTAGTTTTATGGTAATTCCAAGGTTTTTCATCATTTTTTTGTTAATTAAAAAAATAAAAAATGTCAAAAAATAACAATTTTTCACCAAAATTAGGTGTTAGGGCATGTGTTAACATGGAATAACTAATTTTATGGTAATTCAAAGGTTTTTCATCATTTTTTGTTAACCTTTTCCCTTATATAAGCGTGTTTCGACGGCTTTTTGCTCCCCCCCCCCCTTTTTTGAGGCCTCAAACAGTGAAAAAATGCCCTATTTAGGCCCAAACACTGTTTTTCGTTTGGTTTGAGAAATGTTGTTAAAAAAAGTGACCACTTTTTCGGCGCCGTCCCCCATCCAAATGTTACATCAGGGGGTTGCCAGAAGGGGGATGTGCCCCCTTCTGTTTGGGGGGTTTGAAGGGGGGGCGGAGTCCCCCTCATCGCCAAGAAAATTTTGGACATGTGACAGGCTAAAAATGGCCTCAGGTCGATCTTAGGGTAACTAGTAACCGACGCTGAAAAACCTTTTACTCTATCTCAATTCATTGAGAAGTTGCAGCACTTTGAAATCAGTTTTGATGGAAAAAACAATGCAAAATAGTGATTTTGAGCAATTTTGAGACGTCCCCCCGTTGCCATTGTAACAGGAAATTTACGATTGAGCATGCTGTTACAGAGGCTATGGTCTAGTCAACATTTGTGCCAAGTTTCATCAGCATTGAAGCATTTTTCATAGTTTCATAGCAGTTTGAACTTGTTACAGGAGGCTTTTCAATGAAAAAGGCCATTTTTCGCAATATGCTCATGGGGTAAAAGGTTAATAAGACTCTAAGCTTTATTTTCAAACAACAAGGACGGCAGACGTAAAACATACACGTTGAAAAATCTTATAGAAAAATGAAATACCTCATAGTGGTCACCCTCTGCTGACACCAACTCAAAGTAACATACAACAATGCTCGGAGAAGGAGGGCCAGTTTCATCAGTTTTCTTTACTGTTAAAGGTGTTTTCGTATTTATCGATATAAACAGTTCATCTTCAAATACATCGCGCTTTCCAATTACGATTATGTTAAAATAATTCTTTTTCTGCAGCACATCGTTCACATGTTTTGGTACTGACAGAAGATCATCATCATGCACATCATCGGGAAGCTTTCCTGTAGGAAGAAATAGATATTTTGATCCGAAAATCCAACACACAATTACAAAAAGCACCAAAAAACCCCAAGCAATTATCATAGTATTGCAAGCAATCCATAAGTCCCCTACCGGTTAGAACCCCAGCAACATTCTGATGGGCCATTGGCCATTCAATTTTACCAGTGAATGAATGACATGAATGAACTTAAATCTTTTGAGTTCTACGTTTCCCTGCCTAGGAAGGAAATTATGTTGATACAAACTTGTCATATTATTACGATGTTACAATTTTAAAGTAAATCCTATAAGGAATGAAGAAGTTGGAGTAAAAAATACCAATTTCTCGAAAATAATCTAAGTTCAAGGGGGACATAATTCTGGAAATAGTCTTGCCAGAGTATTTAACCTTCTCAAAACTGTTGAATGATAAAAGGAAAGTTATTTAACATATATATGAAGTTTGAGGTAGATACATTAGCAAATAAAGAAGTTATTTAAAACAGACAACATATTTTTCATAAAAAATCTAAGTTCAAGGGAGGTAATACTGATAATTTTTGTGCTAGAGTTGTAAACCTTGTCACATATGATGTGGTTGATGACCAGAAACTTATATTTAAAGTTTGAAGTAAACACCTTAAGAAATAAAGAACTTATAGTGAAAAAACTGAAAAATTTCAATCAGAAATCTTGAAATTCAGGCTATTTGCTGCCATAGCAACCAGAATTTTCAACATAGGAAGAAAAGAAAAAGATGTGCATAATCTCCAGACTGCCATCTACCCATATTTCAAGTTTCATAAAAAATATTTTAGTATACATTGAGTTATCACTGGATCCAGTTAATGTGTAAAATTTGCCATATTTTCAGACTATTTGTTGCCATAGCAACCAGAATTTTTAACATAGGAAGAAAAAAAGATGTGCATAATCTCCAGACTGCCATCTACCCATATTTCATGTTTCATGAAAATATTTTTAGTATACTTTGAGTTATCACTGGATCCAGTTTATGTGTTAAATTTGCAATATTTTCAGACTATTTGTTGCCATAGCAACCAGAATTTTCAACATAGGAAGAAAAGAAAAAGATGTACATAATCTCCAGACTGCCATCTACCCATATTTCAAGTTTCATAAAAATATTTTTAGTACTTTTGCGTTTTATTGGATCCAGTTTATGTGTTAAATTTGTCATATTTTCAGACTATTTGTTGCCATAGCAACCAGAATTTTCAACATAGGAACAAAAGAAAAAGACGTGCATAATCTCCATACTGCCATCTATTCATATATCATTTAGAGGTAATTAATTAACTTATATCACTGGAAAAATAGCACTGCATATTAAAAAGGTACAATTTATAAACTGCATATGAATTTCTCGACTTGAAAATTGCTTACTCACCCGATACAAGTTTTGGTTATAAAAATCTAGAACAAAATACGCGGATACATTTTGACGAGTACAATACCCTAGCTAGTGCAGACTCCCCTCAGAATTGTATGCTATGATTTATAATCTTACAAACTTTTTGCAAAAGATAAAATAAAGGAATCCTTGTCATAATTTAAATTCAAGTTTTTAAAATTCATACAAATTTTACACTAATAATTTGTCATAATCTGATAATAAATTTATTTTTTTCCGCTTATCCCCGGAAATCTATGTCATGTTCATAAATATTCAAAGGTTATCACAGAAACTCTAGCTATATCTAGGGTACATAAATTGTGAGCTACCAGTTGATATATACCTCGTAAAACTTAAGTAGCCTTAAATTATACATTCATTGATTTACGTAGACTTAAGAAATATGGTTTATGATCGAGACTGGCATACTGTAAACACTAAGCACTGTGTGTATAGATGTATTTTTAAATTTTATAGATGTCGTGCAATCCTTGACGTTCATTATGATTGACCATTCTATTGAAGAACTTCATTGCATTATTTTTGGTGAATATACGATGTGATGCAAGTCACTTCATTTTCATATTCGCTATTTGGCGCTTGGATTCGATGTGGTCACAATTTATCAATTTTAAATGACACGATTTTCTTGTATCCGATTATCTGTTCAGATACAATTATAATTATATGTTTATGCCAGGCAATAAGTTCTTATATGATGTGTGGCGCTTAGATGAGAGTTTGTTTCAAATGACCCGATATGTTACGATCCGATAATCCGTTCAGATACCATCATATGCTTTTCAGTAGGATTATCCAGGTCGTGTTCACAATTCCTCACGAGCAAACACGATCATCGAGTTCACGTGACCCGATTTGAAATGGTCGTATTAAACAGGCAACACTATGATATGTTTATCACGAGATGATGAGTAATGTTGCTAAAGCAACTATCTCTCTCACAATCAGGATTGAGAACAAGATTTGTGCAACGAGTATTTATATAACCCGACTGACCATTTAAGGTAATTGGACTTTGTAACAGTTTTAGATGTGACATAAACATAGCGTGCGATTCGTTCAAAATTGACACGCTTTGTTATGATACAATCCGATACGATGATCACAACTAAAAATAACGGTCTTGATCGTAAGATGATGAGTTTAAACCATTAAAAATCTTTGAAACACACAATAAAGCCAGACAATAATAATGCTAGACAAAATAAAAAAGAAAAAAAAAGATAAAGATTTGATAAGATGTCTAAGACAAGTCCGCTACTAGAAGGTTTTAATCGTTGTGCAAATATATAGTGATAGTCAGTTACAATGTTGCCTTACACGCTACACTCCTTTCCTTTGTATTAGCAGCGTCTTTTTGATATATACCCTCGATTAAGTTTGGTGCCAAAAAAATCCAAAATAAAACCATATCATTGACCCGGCAGTGCGAGTAAAAACAAAAAAAAACACAAAAAAAAAACAAAAAAAAAAAACAACAACACTGAAACAATTATAAGCATTATTTGTACAACTGTATAATATATAAATACTTACCTAAAACGTTACTAAATCTTCTGAAGAAATCTATGAATCTACCGCGGAAGTAATACACACGTGGATATACGTCAAACGTTTCAACGTAATGCGAATACAAACTGATTTTAGAACTCATCTGGAAAAGAAACAATTATGAACTAGTTAGTAGCATTTACACCATAACAATAAAACGTTAAAATTTATACATGTCATATTCTATCAATGAGGTAATCGCATTGTTAACACCTTTTTTTTGAAATTGTTAATTGTTTAATACAATTGTATATATTTTATCAGTTAAATGAATTATGTCATGAGAAAAATATTCTACTCTTTAAACTTATCTGACAGTTGTCTCTTTATATTTCCACAAAAATATTATCCTGTGAAATTTAAAGTCGAGTATTAAATTTGACATCTGCTGTGATGTAGTCTAAAATATTACTGAACTTGTTTTTGTTTTTAATTCTATTTTTTTGTACTAGTCTTTTTTAATTCGTAATTTCAAAAGTATCTTACTGTGATTTATTGTGACTTCTTATCACTAGACTTAAAGTCGTAATTAGATTTTTTTTTCTATGAGATTTTTAATGTTATACTCATGACAATAATTATTTGATATTCTTTATTTTACCCCGGTCTCAGAACCGTGGAAACGCAAATATTAGCTGGGGAAATGAGCCGCGTTTTTGATCTCTGTCTGTCCAAGCACTTACTCGCAATGCGGTGGCATATAGCGGGTATTTCCCATATCCAGGAGCTACAGGGCGGAACCGTGGATGTTAAAGTATATTTAATCCTCTGGGAAAAAGGGTATTTAAGGTTACAATTGACTGGACTATATTTTATGACTTTCATAAAACTTTAAATCAGTGTTTGACATAATATTTTAATTATTTCTCCTCTCCCTATTTTCTTTATTTCATTCAGCCCCAGTTTCAGAATAACTTCTCTATTAGTTTAAACATTAAAGGACAATATCTGAACTAAAACACTAACAGCCAAGACTAATCACACGTTTATAATTTAATTGCATTTTAACATAATAGATGCTATTAGTAACATTCACAACTATCTTTTTTTTTCACAGCACCACTGCTAAAGTCATGGTTCTGTTGAATTTGTATAACTGCATTTTAGACGCAAATATAGAATCCTGTGGATGGGTGGAGTTGGGGGGGGGGGGATTCAGATATTTGGCTATAAAAATATGCGACGAAAATATTTTAGATGGAAATAAATTTTATGTTTAAACGGTAAGTGTTACAATATTACCTCTTAAATAGCTTAAAATATACCCTGAATAGCATCATTCGTGTATAAATGTAAAGTAAAAGTTTCAAGGAGATGATAGCATTTAATAAAACTGCATGTTGTGAATTCTGATATTTTCCGGGTAAATATACTTCTAAACGTGTATCTTAGGATAAACCTATCATTCTGAATTTCATTATGTACCATTATATACCATAATATATGCAGGGTCGATATTTCTCTATGGGAGGTCACCCACTCTCTATTAAGGAAAAAAGCTTAGTTTTTTCTATTTTACTATTTTATTTTCATTTTAAACTTAAGCACACACTGTCAAAATTTTATGTATCTGTCCCTTCCAAGAGCTCCTGCAATTAACCTGGAAAGTTGCCATATTTGGAGCCTTTATAGTATGGGTCTAGTTGAACCCAGTACCACCCCCAAAACCCACAGTCATCCAGCCCACCAAAAGGGGGTTGGGTGGATAACAGAGCTTAATAATTGAAAAATACATGTCAAGGACATCACAGCAAATTTAAGAACAAACTAGAACTATCACTGAAGGTGATTTATACCCGCCAGTAACTTTGACATTTTGAAAAATTAGTACTCTGAAGAAAAATTTCAACTCAACCTAATACCTATAGTAACAGTGATTTTTTTCACTGTATTTTACAGCGGAATAAAGGCTGTTTCCCCTAGCCTAAAATAGGTATATTTTCGCTTAAAAATGCATAAATTTTCCCCTAAAATGCCTCGTGCTCTTCCATAGTAAACTGAATCAGCTAGAACCTATAAATAGCCTGTCCTATGTATCATGCATGTAAAATTGAATTGAAATTATTTTTTTTCCATAAAATGTGTTAGTAAATTCCATTTTCAGTTGTTGAAAATTGATTTCAGGTTTCCCTCTTTTCTGATTTATTGCACTATATTTTCCCCTTTAGAAAACCACAGGTTGTTTTGAAAATTGAAAAAAAAATCACTGAGTAAATGAAGTATCAACTGTGTACAAAGAATTGTTTCAATTAATTGTAATCCTAACCAAGATCTTTATATAAACTTGCTATACACAAAGTTTGATTACAATATCTTATTCCTAACTCTAGTTTTGTCCGGAAACCATTTTTTTTATATTTTGTAACTGTGACCTTGACCCATGGTTGTCCAAATGCAATACCAATCGGGGTGTTCACATGAGCTTGCTATACACCAAGTTTGATTACAATATCTCATTCCTAACGCTAGGAAACCATTTTTCTATTTTTAGTAATGGTGACCTTCAGCTTGATCCCAGGGGTCAAACTGCAATACCAATCGAATCGGGGTCTCCACATAAGCTTTCTATGCACCAAGTTTGATTACAATATCTCATTCTTAACTCTAGAACATTGTCCGGAAACTATTTTTTCTATATTTAGAAACGGTGACCTTGACCCCAGGGGGTCCAAATGCAATACCAACTGGGGTCTTCACATTAGCTTGCTATACACAAAATTTTCTTTAAAAATCTCATTCCTTACTTGAGTTATCGGCCGGAAATCATTTTCTATTTTTAGTAACGGTGACCTTGACCCCAGGGGGTCCAAATGCAATACAAACCTGGGTCTTCACATAAGCTTGCTATACACTAAGTTTGATTACAATATCTAATCCCTAACTCTAGTTATTGTCAGGAAACCATTTTCTATTTTTAGTAACGATGACCTTGACCTTGACTCCAGTGGGTCAAAAGTGTAATTCCAACCGGGATTTCAACATAAGCCTGCTATTTACCAAGTTTGATTACAATATCATTCCTAACTCTAGTTATTGTCCGGAAACCATTTTCCTATTTTTAGTAACGGTGACCTTGACCCCGGGTGTTGATATTAGCTTGCTATACACCAAATTTAATTACAATATCTCATTCTTAACTCTAGTTATTGTCCGGAAACCATTTTTTCTATTTTTAGTAACGGTGACCATGACCTCGGGGGGGGGGGGGTCCAAATGCAATACTTTTTTTTTTTGGTTTTACGTCACATCGACGCAATATGGGTCATATCGCGACGTTCCAGCTTTACTTGTGGAGAAGACCTCAGGTGCCCTTCCGTGCATTATTTCAGGCACGAACGGGCACCTTCAGGAGTAGAACCACTGACGTTCCGTAAGCTAGCCGGATAGCTTCCTCACATGAGAGAATTCAAAGTCCCTGTCGGGATTCGAACCCACAGCGGTGAGGGGCAAGTGGTTTGAAGTCGATGACCTTAACCACTCGGCCACGGACGCCAGCCAGGGTTTCCACATGAGGTTGCTATTTACAATACCTCATTCCAAACTCTAGTCCGGAAACCATGAAATGGACCGACCGACGGCCGACCGACCGACCGACAAGCTGACTCCTATAATTATACCCCCCCCTAAACTTCGTTTGTTGGGATATATAACTATAATTTGTTACGTTTGGTGATTAATTAATTGTCTCGTTCAAATAGCATTTATAAGCAAGAACTGCATATAGAATTTTATTTAGACACATAAACAAATATATCAGCCAAATTTTTAATTCTAAATCGCGAAATGAATATATTGCATGCAAAATATTAAATGTCTAAAAATAGGCTCAATTCACACATTGACACTCGATCTTTTTTGTCAAGTTCACCAGTGACTCTAACTTACATTATTTTGAAATTTTAGTATAATTAAATATGATTTGGTAATCGAAAATGAACGAACCTGGTTAAAATAATATGTTCCATCACCGAAATAAAGCTTTTTATATATGGGGAAATTTTCATTAGATTTAAAATTAGTAACAAGTGGGAAACTCCATTTCTTTTTATAGCACAAATAAAAATAGATATGTTTATAAATATAAACAAATAATTGGAATTTGGAATTCCAAAGTTATAAATAACTCTATATGTTGCGATAAAATCGATCGGTTTTGACTCATATCAGTGGAAGATTTTTAAGCTAACACAAAGGCACAAACAAACATTGTTAATTTGTGAATATAATTACGGGCACGGGAAGTTATATATAATTAGTCCGACAGTCAAATGCGGTAATGACCTCGCATTGTACTGACGATATTTGAGACCGGTGCGTGTATACAATGATGACCTTGTGCTGAAGGACGTTTATACCTGTTTTGATCAAAGTTCAGAAATTTCAATGACTGTTATACATTATGACATAGCATTAATTCATTACACGTTTAGATATACTAAGGAGTTCATAAAAACAGAACTATCCAATTGTTATCATATGAACCGTAAATTTTCAAACAGTAGTTCTAAATACACATAAATAAAATCAAAGGGCTGCAAGCTCTGTGATATTTTCTGATCTTTGCAATCTAGATCTTATTGTATATCTGTATGTATTTTCCTGTAAAAGTTATTGTTATATACTATAATTCATCTAACTGGGCTATATACTATAATTCATCTAACTGGGCACCGAGATGCAGCGACTGCGTTTAGATTTTTTACTATGTATAACAGTTTAAGTATGATACATACGGAATTTTGCATGGCTAGAGTTGCATCAAAAAAATCATTTACGTTCATTTTCTATGACAGCCACACTTTATATTTGCATATCGTGGCTACTTCTTTAAAAAAGACACTTAAAAAATAGGATTCTTGACAGGAATTTGAACCCAGGACGTCTCACACCCTAAACGAGCGCGTTACCCCTGCACCACGGAGAGGTTTTACGAAGAAGCCAAAATAAGATCATATACGTAACTCTTAATTTAGAATCTCCATTTCGGGTTTGTACTCCTTATTAATTTTGAGCTATTTTGTTCATGATAAACCTGTTTTTTAACACTGATGTAAATAGTTAAGCGAAAATCTTCTCGCCAAAACAGTCCGACATGTATATATTCCACTACTCGACAGTCAGATGTATTTGTGTTATGTACAACTACGCTCTGCAGTACTCGGTCATCGACATAGCTAAAATAGCATTCATTGATGAAAATGATATTCATCCGCGTAATTTGTGATTCTGCGTTTATTGACATTTCTATAAGCCAACGCTACGTTTAAACTTTGAATGCATTGTAATTTGTTGGTTAATTGTAACAAAATAAAAATATTTCTTTCTTTTACATCCCTAGTTTTAAGCTGTTTTGAGAACTACTTGTTGTTAGGTTTGACGTGAAAATTCTGCGTGATAGCATTGAATTTCCTGATCTACGATCAGAAAATACATAAAAAACTCTGCTTCTTCATAAATGGTATAATTTTAGCACGGTTAAGCCACTATTTTCTAGAGGGGCGACAGTCGGTAGACGGTGACAACCGATCAGGCAGACGTCCGTCCGTAATGCCGGCACATGTGACGATGGTTGTCCAATTTATTCGTGCACTGGTGGAATATGTTACATGTAGGTTGCCTAAGAACAATAAACACTACAAAATAAAACATTCCTGTATTGACAGTAAAACAAAATATGGCATAAAAAGCATATGCCACTCTACAAGCAACACAAATTAATACAATCACAATAATGAACTAACCCAATATTTTGTCGTGCGCCGGTATTACATTACTAAGGTAACTATATAACGATTCGTTTTCACGACACACCGTTTACATTGCTTTTTCTTTTGTTTTCTTATTTGAGATAGATTTCCCCTTCAAGTGATAAATAATTCATGTTTTTTATCAATAACTCTCACGACAATAACGCATTGGACGAATTTTTTGGACAATTCTCGTATTTATATACATATATAATATTTCATTAAAGTGTGGATCTTTAAAAGAAATGGTAGTTTGATAGAAATTTCATCCTAACCTGGCAAACGTCATCGATTCAGTATTCTTTGTGTACTCAAAACTGCCCTCTTTCAAACAGAAAGCTGAACCTGGACAACTTCGCAAAACATGTTGTACACTGGGTATTAACATGCATTTCTTAATATACTTTTGTAATGTTCTAAGTATGTGACATGTTTATCATTGATGTTTATATAATTTATTAAGACGATATTTTAAAGTATAATTATAATTAAACATTTTATATTTTATACAAAATTATTTAAGTTCAATTGTGTTCGAAGCTACAAGCTTATTGAAACACTCTTTAAGTGTTGCAAGAGTGTCTGTTTCGTTTCGAAAGATAATTGCACACGTTCGTATAATAGTTCCTCATGCATTGAGTTGACCATACATGTATATCCTTTTGGTTTCACCGTGGTTTAAATCAGAAGACGCTGTACATTGATATAAATGACCACGTTTTTCTAATATACAACTTACTATAATAGTGTTATTGTGTTCATTCTAACATTATATTCTTTTTCTGCTTGTCATGTACGTACTATTTATTTCTCGAACCTATTTAACGTACTGATTATTTAAATTGCTTCATAATTGTATGTGAATTTATACATTTTTATGTCTGATAAATTTATAGAAAAATTTTGACTCTAAAATTACTCAAATCAGTTGTTTTTTTCCTTAAATTATATGATGTTCTTAAACTGCAGAGTCTCGTATTTTATTTATGTTTGTTACCTCGTGTCATGTTGATACGAATAAGTGGATTTTAGTTGTCTTCAATTTTCAGTATTGCTGATTTAAAAAGTCGTTACAAAACATTTAAAATATGAATTTTTGCCCGAACTTTATTTCGATATGAGAATGGAGTTTCTTTTGATTTATAGATAAACAGTGATTCTAAACATTTCCACAATTCGAAGACCTATAAAAATTGTAATGTAGAATGAAATTAAAAATCCTTCCATGCATGAGAAAGTTACAAATCAGAAAGAAATGTATGTTAATTAAACTGAAATTGTGAAAATGTGAACCTTAAAACTGTAAGTGTGGCCTTGACCTTTGACATAGAGACATGGGTCTTAGACATGACATATCACCAAGACGTGGTGGACATTTGCCACGTTATTGTCAAACCAAGTTTTGTAAAAAAATCAATTCATGACAGAGATACGGTCTGGACAGGATTGTTGTGTAAGTGATGTACCTTCAACATCTAATTAATTGTGACCTTGACCGTTTATGTAGTTTCGCGGGTCTTGGACGCGATACGTCGTCTTGATGTGGTAGACATTTATGCCAAATTATTTTAATTAACTCTATTTGTGAGAATGTGAACCTTCAACCTGTAAGTTTGACCTTGACCTTTGAGGCAGGCACATGGTTCTTTGACGCTACACATCGTCTTCATGTAGTAGACATTTGTGTATTTTAAAATCCCTCAATACTCGACAAATTTTCAGTCCAGATAGACAAACGGACGACGCGATTTTCATAAGTCGCGCCCCGAGGGCATAAACGATTATATATGTTTATATCGGACAATACAAAAACTTTAATCAGGGTGTATCCATGAATAAAATACATGTACATAAAATGTCCGTATGAAAACCAGTTTGAAAGATTACATTCAACGAGGAAATCGGTACAAGTGCTTGTCAAGTTAAGAGTTATAGATAAGAGATCATAAAGTTATGCGACAAGACAATAAATCGCGCGATAATTTGACTACACTTCTAAGTTAACTTTCTCGTAACACACGTGTTCGTGTATTCCAAATTTATTTATCTACAAAAATTTCTATCCAACGGACAAACCAATTAATTACCTTTTCTTGGCCTTGGCCCCATAGCCTCCCGACTTTTAATCAGGGAGATAAAAAACCCTTTCAAAATATTGATATTTTAGAATCAATTGTCAAATGTATGATTAAGAAATAAAAATTAAAAATAAGCATAAGCTTTTTTTTATATAAATTTTATCGGTTTAATTCATATTCAACACATATTTCTATCGAAAGCGTCGTCAGACACCGTTTACATTAAAATTAGTTCATGGTATTAATTATAGATATTTCAATTTAGAGACAGTCTCCCACTTTGAGTACAAACTATTCTCTGCAACTGACACGTCTTAACATGCACATATCATTGTTGAATACATTCCGAGGAAAAAAAACAATCCTTTTTTTAAACTTTTTTACAAATGAAAAATAACACGCAACGCAACCATGCATTCCTTCATTTATTCATCTTTAACATATTTCATACAAACAAAGTTATGTATAAAGCAAAGAAAGAAAACATGCTAATTTCTGTTATGAATGACACCAACAAAGATAATATACTTATGGCACCCTTTAAGCTTTCACAGTTGGTTGGAGACCTAAATGCGTTTAACTCATATTTCATGCTCGAAATAATCACCTTCCCTCTGCGTGGAATGGACATGACATATCCCTAGTAGGATTCAAGCCTCCAGCGCTGAATGAAGTACTAAGCGATCTGTTTTTCTCGACCAAGAAACTTCCCCACCCCATCTGCCGTTTTCTTTGCAAACATAATTAAGTATCTAGATTTCAAATACAAAATCATTTCTTATCAAGAATCATGAATATGTGCAAACCAATGTGTATTGACCTTGATCCACAAACACTAATTTTGCATATAAAATAGAATTTCAAACGAATATAAAGCTCTTAACGGATGACATATGAAAATACATATAAAGCATGACGCAATCGCTCTTCTCATTCCCGGAAATAATACTATAATACTTCATTTATTGTGTGTCAATATGGATATCAAGACATGAAAAAGAAACATTCTTGAAAACATCATCTGCAGACATATGCATAGAACAATATATCATAAGTAAAAATTATGAATTAATAGTTAAAGTTCATTAAGCAAAATGAACATGTATAAGTGAAAAAGGTTGTATTCATTTATTTCAATAATTTTCCCTTGAAAAATACGATATCTAATTGGTTATGTTTTCTTTCTCTCGCAATTTTATTCACATACTCATACTTCTTCAAATTACAGAATAAGAAAAAATAAAAATATAAATGTACGCTTAAGTTAATGATAATACATGTTATATTAAGGCAAACATTACAAAGACTTATCATTTGCAACAGTTATAACAATTCATCAATATTACTTGTCGTAAACTTTAGAAAAGGTAAGAATCTATAATATGCTATAATTGTCAAATTATATAAAACTGATTTAAAATCAGTAAAGAATGACAATCTCAAATCATTAAAATGTGATTAAATGATCACGAAGTAAGATAATCTACAATTTATCAGTGATAAAATGATTACGAAATAATTCTATCATGTAAAAATATAAACATTCATAAAGCATCGTCCTATAAGTGAAACAAACTTTAACACAAGTCATTTTAAAATTGGTATCATGTACATGTAAAACATTTTTATTCTCATGCAGCTGTGTAACAGAAAATATTCTAATCAAACATTGGGAAACAAAATCATACAAAAAGTCTCCATGATGATACTTTAAAATATAAATATTAGACCATGAGAATGACACATAGGACAGAGATAAAAATATCAAAAGTAAACACTGGTTAAATACTATTAACATTTTGTAAGTAAAATGAACTCGGTAGAATAAAAACAATAGAAACATTTATTTACATCTATTTATAATAGTCGTGTCAGGTACGCTTTTATTCAACAGTTTTACTAACATCGAATCACATAAGTATTATTTTTCTGATTTGGTAATAAGTAACACCGACGATCAATCAAACAAACAAACAAACAAACAAACAATTCACTTTATAAAATCAATTCAATGAATACAATTAATTAAACATGAAAGAAATGAAGACAGCAAAACAATTAACATGGAATTCCAACGATATACTTCTTTCACATCGATGCTCATATTTACACGTGCATGAATTTCTTCCAAAAATGTCAATGTATCATTATTCGTAATATGTGTCATAAATTGCAATCATTTACTCATTATTGAATTGTTTTATCAGTACATTTGCCGTCCGCTGTATTCAGACGGAACATGTAACTGTATCCCAGATGGTGTATTTCTAAGTACTTCTAAACCTGTTCCCAAATGGAATGAAAATGAATGTTCTTCTTCTTGGTCTTGAAGTCTTAATTCTCCGGCACTCAGCATAGACACAACCTGAATTGTCCTTTTTTCTAAATACGGCATGCAATTTACAGAGCCGCTATCTCCTCGCATTGCGTATTCAACAGTACTGATATCTGGTAAAGGGTCAATCAATATTATATATGCATTTGGCATATACCCAATACGGTAGTTTGCAGAGCAAATGATGCCTTTAGTTAAGTCTGTAGCAGCACCGTATTTAAATACGTATTTTGACTCTAGGTCAGCAATACTTTCAGTTGAAAGAACGGCATTCTTTAACATACCGTCGTCATCCTTAAGGTATTTGGTACACATTGGGACAACTGAATCAAAAACCTTGACAGCAGCTAAGTCAACAAGACGAGTTGGGAGACTGCCAGTCAGAACTGTTCGGTCAGGAGAGCTTGTACCTAACAACGTTCTATTCCCAGTACCATCAGGTATGTACACTTCGTGATCCTTTCCATCAGAAACATTTACGACATGTCCACATGTCAGAGCAAATAATTCGTTATTGGTGCCGTCTGCAAACATTCCTAGGGTACCTGACTGATATCTATTGGGATCACTTGGTGTCTGTGTTTCTAACGCTATTCCATGCTCTACTTGACCTCCTGCTAGCGGTGTTGCTTTCTTTATAACTCGTCGGATGCGAATTGGATGTCTTATTCTATAATCAATTATAAGAGCCTTTACCAATTGTTCAGCCGTCTCGTTTTCGACATGGATTTCCCACTCACCAAATATTCGTCCCATACCATACACACCTTCAATTCTAAAACATATATTTCACAACATATAAAATTACTAGGTATCATATCTAAGTCAATACACTAGAATTTCAAATCGACAAAAATGTTTTTTTTTTCTTTTTTCTACGATGTCTAGTTCAGGGATTATATACAGGTTTTTAGAGTAATCTTATTCTTAACAATTGAAGATATAATAAACTAGTTCAATTGGCTGAAGTAAAACTAATTCTAAAACAATTGCGATAGTTCTTGTTATACATTAGAATAACAATAAAAGTAGAAGATAATCAAAGAACTAGTATACATAATATGCATATATTAATTGAGAAAACCATTAAGGATGCGATACAAATATTCGGATTTATTTCAAAGTACTTACGCAAATAACTCTTTCCTCAGTTCCTCGGACCTTTCTGTTTTGCATTCTGGGATACTCAAGTCTTCTTGTATGAATGGGGACAATTTAATATTCCCTTTAATTTCAAAGATCATCTTCTTCATAACAATAACATTTTTTTGCAAAGCTGCAAGATGTTTCTCGAAGTTTAGGACTGCACTTTTGATGTCGTCGCGTAGCGGGTAAGCAACGAACAAAAAGTCTCTACTTGGAAAACTGTACCATTTGTTACCTTGCTTTATAGCTTCCTCTAAATCGCAAGAATGCTTTTCCACTTTACTGAGATGGTAACGTGTGTTTCTTGAAATATTTTCTTTCATTTTTTCGTCCAGCATCAATTCAAACGCAACCTGATTACAGACGTCTTGTGTAAGATCAAACTTCATTGACAGAGGTTCCAGGATAGCACATCTAATAACGCGTACTATATTTTTTAAAAGAACATCTTCAAACTTCAAAGACTTGCTTCTGCTGTCCGCTAATATGTCAACAAAGCCCATCCCGTTTTTCAAAAATCCCTGTAGTGCGTTTATTAATTTATCTGACTCTACAACATCTACTTTCTCCATCAAAAAATTGCTCACACCTTTAATAAAACCCTCTAAATGTGCTTTCATGGTGCACAATCCGTCAATAACCTTTGCTTCAAGTATACCTGAAATTTTAGTGCTTATTGTCTGTTTCTCTTTAGAAAATAGTATCTGACCGAGTTGAAGTTCTAACTGAAATTTTTCTTTGACATCATTTTGTACCCTTTGTTGAAATGAATCCAATTTCGATTGATCGCAAGTGGTCTTCGGCTGACAAAGGATGAGTATTGAGTCTGGAGATACCGTCATTTTCTTCAGATGTTTAGACGTGAACTCCTTTACTATGTCTAGAACTTTCTGAAATATTGAGGAAATTCAATTTTGATGCATAAAAGTTTTAATACGTTAGATATTGCCTTTGCGTTCCGTTTTCCCTCTTTCATAATTGCGTCAGCATTTTCAAAAGGAAAGGAATTTATTTAAATTCAGAAACGAATTTTGGTTATTTATTATAAAAATTACAAATGGCCGAATGAGTTATTTAATGAAGTACTATTTGACACTTTATGCATGGTTACAACTTTCTGTAATTGACGTTTGTTCCAAAAATAAACAACACAATTATAATACGTTCGATGCATTATTCTCACACTTTCATTTAATCCTAAAGAAAAATAACACTAGCAGAAAAAAATGTTTTATGACGAGTTATTATAGCGTTGGTTCTTTATAGCGGGGGTCACGCTTGACTTTATCTTATTTCTAAAGTTAAGCACGCCAGGCGAAGTAAGGAGTACTCCTTCATTTTTTTGTTAACAATTAAAATTAATAATTCATAAGTTTAAAGTAACAAGAATAAATCGCCATGTCAGTTTTGACATAAGCGTCTTTTCTCCAAGAATGCAAAACATTCATTAACTACAACTTGCATTTGTTATTTAATGATTCTCGGAAAGATATAAACTCTTTGATGTATTTCTTTTTAATAATTATCAACTTTTTAGACATTGGATTGAAAGAATGCAGTGTGCTGCAGTGGTACCCTATCAGATAATGTTTGCTTTTACGTACAAAGTGTGATTACAGGGCGGAGCGAGAAGCCATTTGGCGTCTGGTAAGCTGGTCCAATATACGAATTGGCAAGTAAACAAAGTATCTTTAAAAAGATACTCGAAAGAGGTAAAACTGCTTTTATTTGCACAGGTTATTTCGGAGATTTGTTATAGCATTTAATGATTGCATCTAGGAAACACTGCAAGATATGTTTCTAAAAGATAAGTGTACCTTACACTGACGTATTCATGTACACATTAATATATGCTTTTATTTCATGCTTTCCAGTGTTTTATTATAATATATCAGATGATTATATTCTGATAAACCACTAGTGAAATTTATAAAATATAATTTTCACTGTAGCCGGACTATATCAGAATGCGGATGAAAAAAAAATCATAACTAAATGGATTAACAGGCAGAAATAGACGCCGTCATGCGTTAATTTTGCTTCTTTAGGAAAAGAAAGTCGATGTCACCTTACATCATGTTAAAAACGTAACAAAATTAGAGAAATTTAACAGAACTATATTTCAAAATTGATGATGTGACGTCATGATGTGATGACGTCACATAGGAGAATGCGCGACGTTACGCGGCAAAATCAGTAAAAAAAATACTTAAAATCACTTAAAAAGCATGAAATAAAAAGAAAATTCATTTGTTTTACATGTAAGATTGAAATATATTTCATTCGTGAACACCAGCTATTATATTTTCACTCGTGGCTACGCCACTCGTGAAAATATTGCATCTGGTGTTCACTCAGTGAAATTATATTTCAATCTTACATGCAAAACAAACAAATATCCTCTCTATAATATGAAATTAGGTGCTACATATGACACGGAAAGCATATGATTTAATAACCAGAGTAAGAATTGTATATATATAAACTTGTATATATATAAACCAGATCTTTCTTTGACTTCGTAGATAATGAATAAATGCAGGTATTTTGTAGATTTAATAGATATGAATGAATTGATGCTGTTCATAATATCATCAAACTTTTCCGATTGTTTCCGAATATCATGTCAGCCATTGTTTTTATTAGTCTCTAATCAGAATTGTTGTTTCTTACATTGTTAAAACGTGGTTATTAAGCAAAATGGATATTAAAAAACTACTTTTATATTAATCATCGTAACTTAAGTTCTTATGATTATAATTCATTTACTGATTTTCTACATCTATCGGAAGTGTAGTTTTGTACAGAAGACTGCCGCGTCTTCTGGCAACAGTCTGAAGCATCATTAAATGTTGCAAAATGTTTTAATGGGAGAAAGCCATCACATTTCACAGATTTAAAATATCCGAAAAAATTAAACTAGAAAGTTATTTCAGAAACTCCTGTAGATAAATTGATTTAGACATGTATACGTTTCAGAAAAATCCTTTATATTATTTTACATTGTACTTATTTTAGAATGGCCAATAGGAGTCATTATTTTTCAGTTTGTAATTTTAAAATGACCAATGAAAATCCTGCTTATATTCAGTTCTTCCCTGTAAATTTTACCGGAAGTCAAACCCTTCTCTGACAGACTTCGTGCTCAACATACCGAACAAGTAAAGAGCGGTACGATAGATTGAAAATAAGATGTCATTATGGTAAAAATCAAAGAGCTTCGAGCTCTGTGGTGTTTTCTGATCTTTGCAATCTAAATTGTACTTTACATCTGTATGTATTTTCCTGTATAAGTTTATATTGAAATACTATAATTCAGCTTGCAACCGAGTTGCAGCGACTGCGTTTAGATTTTTCTGCTAAAATAGTTTGAGTTCGATACATTTATGTTCATTTTTTATGACAGCCACACATTATCAATAATTAAGAAAGAATGTTAAAATCGCTAAAAGGACCCACATAAAAAATTAGTTGCCACGACTGAGATTTGAACTCCAGACTTCTCAAATTGTAAAATCGCGTGTAACCCCCGGGGCACAGTGATGTTAAATGAAATCAGTCAGAATAAACACATACTATTCAAAATTTAGAATTTCAATTCATGGTTTGTATTTCCTATTAATTTCTAGGTATACCTGTTGTTTAACACTGATGCTAATGATTTAGCGGAAATCTTTTCGCCCAAACAGTCCGACATATATATATATAATTATTTCACTACTCGACAATCAGATTTAATTGTGTAATACGCGCAGAAGTCTTCGGTAATGGACAACGCTAAAATGGCATTTTATTTACGTGGATTAAAAAAAATCGTCGACTGCCCTAAATTCGTCCCTGTTCTAGAGTCAACCTCCTTGCTTTATTTTTCAGAAAGTCTAAATAACAAATGTTCATTTAGGGGCGTTTAATTCCGATCACAATAATCCGAAGCTTTACGGAAATAGCCGAGCAATGCTCATTGATTGCAATGATATTCATCCGCGTAATGTTTTGTGTGCATTTATTGACAATTCTATAAGCCAAATCAACTTTTAAACTTTGAAGCGTTGTAATTTGTTAGATACTTGTAACAAAATAAAAATATTTCTTCCATTTACGTCGCTAGTTTAAAGCTGTTTTGAGAACTACTTATTGTTAGGTTTGTTTGTCTCCATCTTAATGTGTTGGAATTAGATTTGGCACGTAAAATTATGAGTATTTAGATTACACTAAGTGTTATCTTGAGTTGAAATGATAAAACCATCTCCAAGGTCGGTTAAACTTTGTCATGTGTAACACTTGAACTAATTTTGGGTTTAATCTAAATCAAATATGACTAAAGTTCAGATCTACTTATATCTTCCATGAAGATCTGATGACCACCGTATATGTGTTTCGCCTTCTTTATTATTCGGATTTCCCGAAAAAGCTATTTTTATGCCCCGGTCGGGTCACATATTCACGGATAATGCCACGGAAGAGCTACGGTCTAATCGTTCACGGATTACTACGGAAATGTGAAATTCCGTAGTCCGCTACGGTTCCAGTACGGACACACAACGGTATGAGTACGGATTTACCATAATCTCCCCGGAGATATACGAATTGTTACGGACCGACACGGTTTGATACGGAGCGACACGAATCAGGACGGACGTACTACGGTTACACTACGGTCTGCTACGGTATAAGCACGGGTTAGTACGAATAAGTACGGTCTGATACGGAGAAGAACGAATTGATACGGAGAAGAACGAATTACCACGGATCTATACGGACCTAATACATCCGTCTACAACCTCTTGCATGCTCATTTTCAAAATGCCTCACAAGAAAACAACACCTAGAAAACGAATTGCACAGTTCAATGATTTTGGCGGAGAGGATTCGGCCTAATCGCGTCCGACCCCCTGAGACACATCTGGTCCGATTAAAGTGAATTTCGTGAAGGACGCTGGGTCCTTAAAAAGTTAGGAAATGAGAACCTCATACTAAACATGAAGGGGTCTTCATAAAAACCCATCTCTAGTCCACCATCACGTCTGTCTTCTCTTACCTGATTAGATATGGACTAGTAATAATTAATGAAAAATGTTGATCAATACTGCTCCTCTTTTAATTTTAATAATTATCGTGAATGTTTATGTTTTAAAAATATGTAAAAAGCTTGTTAATTAATCTTATTATCACTCAAGGGCCAGCGTCCGAGGCTTATGCGACACCTCGTTTTATGTACATATTTATCCAATTTCACGATCCAATGCTTGTAAAATATCTAACATTACAATGTTATTCTATTACTTATGAATTCTAGTACGATATAATTAATATATTTTGACCTCTATGCATGTCATCAAGCAGCCCGACCACTGCCTCCGCATTCTGAGCCATTTCAATATAAAGTTGCAGCCAGTTAATGGCAATTATTATTTATTGAATGTTCTCGCAAAAATGTCTGTTTTTAACAAGAAGGTAGTATTTATACCCTTGAAAAAGTACATGATACTTAATTCATCCGTACTAAACAGTAGTGGTCCGTTCAATTCCGTACTGTTTCGTGTTGCAACGCAATAAACCGTAAAAGACCGTGCTAATCCCTGCCTCTCCGTGGTACAACGTATTACGATCGTGGCTTTCCGTGACAATGCCGTATTTATCCGTATTAAAACCGTAGCTTATACGTAGGTAACCGTACAAATACGTAGTTCTCCGTACCAAACCGTGGAAATCCTTGACAAGTTAGTGGACTACGAATCAGTACGGACTAGTACGGTTTTCGTACGGACCAGTACGTATCAGTACGGTTTAATACGGACTAGCAGGGATACGCTACGGTTGATTTTTCCGTAGCAAATTTTTGTGCATGTTCAAAAATTGTCAAGGATTGCTACGGATATTCAAGGACTACTACGAATGATTACGGTTACAATACGGAGAGCTACTGACCAGTACGGGTAGCTACGGACGATGCCGGAATTAATCCGTGGCTCTTCCGTGGGCGTATTCCGTGAATATGTGACCGGGGTATTAGCCATGCAATCAAACCGGGTTTTACAGACAGGCATTAGAAGAAGTATCAAATACCGTTATATTTGGAAGTTAAACAAATTGTTAATTTTTGTCAGAAAGAAAATGTTTGAAGTAATTTTTAACAAATCAACTTGAAATAATAGAGTTATTTTTTCACAGGCAAGATTGTTTTGCCAGTTTACCTGTCGGCTATATGGACAACGTCATGTTTATTCTCGAAATTGTGAAAATTACCAACTTATTATTGGTTTTCCAAGTATAAAAATTAGAAACCGCATCACTTTCAAAATAATGAAAGCTAATCAATGATTGGTTGTTTGAAATACCACGAGAAGGTGACCTATGGGTGGATGTCAGATCCTAATGCATAGCGTTATTTAGGAGCAAATTTTAATCAGATTGATCTAATTCAACTTTAATGCAATCCATCTCAGTTTAAGCCTAGTCTATGACTTTGGTTCTATAAATAGGCATATAGTTATATGCAATTAGCCCTTAGTGTTAAAATACAATAGTTATATACCTTCAATCCCTTTTCATCAATATCCTTTATACTAATGTGCAGCAAAACTACGGTAAATCCATGCCCTTTGACTGCTGCCTTTCCGATCTTTTTCCCCCAGAAAGATTTCTTTACGCTCTCTGACGGACGCGGTTCCTCTGAGGCTATAACCAAATCGTCTTTGTCAATATTGTTTTTCCCGATGACATATACGCCCAGTGGCTTTTCAAGCATGTCTTTCAAATGATGCGTCCTATCAACTACCTCGCTTTTCGGCTTGAATACGATAGGATATGCACCGTTATCTATAAGAAAAAATCTGCGTTAGTTATTTAATTACATTGTAGATAGGAAAAGCAAAACGAATATATTTAATAAGGGATAAGAATCTGAAGTTTAGAAAAATGTAGCGTTATGAACTGAAAAGATGATAATAATCTTCATCATCTAAATACGCTCTTCATCATTGTTAAATAAAGCAAATATTCGTCTTTAAGTTAACAAATTAAAAAGTCTAAAAGATTTTGGACGAAATGTCAATAACACGAGCTCACAAAATTTAAGGTAAGTTAAAACTTACCGATAACATTTGTAAATCGTTTGTGTACATCTTTGAATCGTCTTTCGAAAAAGTAAACCCTTGGATAAACCCACGTGTCAAAAACATTTTCGAATTTTGAAATAGCCATTGTTCTGAAAAAAGAGCAGGGAAATTTAAGAACTTAAAACAATTGTAAAACTATATTTCACGTTTGCACAAACAGTGTAGAGTGTTGTATTTCAATAAGGAAATAATATCTGGATTCTGAGTGCATTGTGGTGTAATATATTGTATGAAAATGCACGGTTTGGAGTTCAGATGGGTAGTTATATAATCACAAGGAGGTCATACCATGCGTGCAAATCCTCAAAATTGTGATACCGCTTACATTTTATCAACCGGTATTTTGAACAAAAACGAGTCATGTAAAGCAATCAGAATAGATTTGAGTGCAAAGAACATGTCCTTACTTCTAGTTTTAATATTACAAATGCCTTGACACAAGTCTTTCCTTTCTCGTCAGTATTTCACGTTGAATGCGATTTTGATTCTGGATACTGCGTACACCCGGCGTTGAAATGTTACAGAAATTGAGAAATTAAACTGAAACCATAAAGCATTCAAATTGAAGTTAAAATTCAATAGTTTCACAGTGTTAGACTATAGGCAATGCTAATTAGCGATTAAACTATCGATAAAATCAACAGTTTCGCATAACACAGTTTTGTAAATATCACAAATACAGGAAAGAACTTGAAACATGCGCACATAAACATAGTTTATAATATACCTATAAATGAAATATTGAGAAATATTGATGAAATAAATGCGTATTTTCATTTTCCATATTTTAACTGTAAAACTATTTTTCTCTACAGTGAAGCATATTTTCCGTATTTTCACTGGTGTTTTGTCGGACTACTTTCTTCTAAATTCAGCCAATACACACAATACAATTTAAGGGAAAGTCTTTCAAATTGTGTTGTACAAAAATGTATAGTAGACACACTATTCATGTATTTTTAGATGCAGGATTTCTTTTCATATTGTGGTATGAAAGTTATCATTTTTCACTCGTGGCTACCATTAATGAAATATTTACTTTCATACAACTCGATGAAAAAAGATCCTATATTTATAGATATTTTTTAACTTTGTATCATCTCTATATATACTGACATCCAAATCGAGACATTCGAAAAATATGCCATGTATGGCAAAAGAAACAAATCGAGAGAAAAAAAAAACAAACAAAAAAAACAACAACAACAACAAAAAGCACCCAGCAAACACCTGACGTTGTTTCAACGTTGGATCTAAGTTGGATTTATGTCGCGACGTCAAAATCCTTAATACAACGTTGAAACAACGTTGTATTTACGACGTCGTATCAACGTGTTGGAATTACGTCGATAGGACGTCGGATTTCAATGAAATCTAACATAGTAGTCTTGATTGAGTAACTTCCCTTTGTTCTGATTTATAAACCCGATAGGTGGCTCTTATTTCAGTTCAAGATAATCATTCGAATTTTGTTATTCATTTTTTTTTCTTCACATCCATTGTATTTTTAAAATATTTTTTTGTCATACTAGACAATAGAAAGGAACAATGTTAGTATTTCAAATTAATTGAAAACATAATGGAAACTTGATGAATTTCAAAACGAGGCTACAACAACAACTTGTTTTTTTTTAAATTCAAACAAAGACAAAGGACATTATAGACATCATAGAAGACAACTGGCATAATAAAAAGTAAGTGCTATATTTTAAGGTAGATTATTATTAAACTTACTGCATGCTAGTCCAACTAATTAGACTTGTCAAAGAGACACCGAGATAATTTTGGACGGGCGCTGTCTTTTTCCAAGTAAGAAAAAAAAAGTCTGTAAAATGGCTGATGACAATTAGCTAATAACAATGTATATATTTGTATACATGAAAAACAGTCGACAGAAAAAAACATTTGGACATAAAAGAATGATGAGGACATCAAATTTAGGTAATATATGGATTTTGATTTTGTTATTTACTATAATTTCTGTTTTGTCCAAATTAACTGTTAATCAAAAGTAAAATAATTACGTGAAATGTCTTATGATTGAATTTGCACCTTTACATGTTACTGTTTTGCAAATTACATATATTTGAAGTTATAGTTTTTGAGTGTTCTACATCATCAATCGACATGTTTCTTATTTATGATATGCTAGGGTAATCTATGGGTAATAATATTGAAATTTAATATTATTGATATAAGACCATTTTAGTTGCTATGTACACCTATTTATTTCTTTTTTGCAGTTTCAAGGGGAAAAGACAAGTTGAACCTCAAAAAAAGTTTTTACATGATTATTTGACACAGTGTCTTCGTAGATGAAAATAATCAGGATCCAGTGGTGAACGTTTAGTATATCAGAAATATTCACATGGAGGGGTATATCTCCAAATTTAATATTTTTAAGTTAGTTTTGGAAGAAAAAAGATAAAAAAAATCACCTACTTTCTTTAAAAGTGAATATTATTGTTTTGTGTGTTACATTTAATTTTGACAGAAAGGAATATTTTCCCTCACTTATCCGATTTTGTTACCGATGAAATCAACTGCAAATGAAAGGTTTATTTTCCATGAATTCCATTTTCTATGAGTTTTTAAAAGAAAACCTTTTTAAGCATGTTGTAAACTTTAATTGACATATGTTGTAATAGATAATAGTAGTTAATGTATACTGTAGACCTTTAAATGAAAATGATTTGTTGACTGTTATTTGTTATAATTTTGGATTACACAATGTGTATTATTGTATTGACTGAAAGAGGTCTGATAAATGTTGAACAATTTTGAAAAGACATGTAGCTCTTACTTTTTTTTTAAATTTTAATAGTTTATATACATTTTATAAATATCAAACACTATTTTATTATCACTATAAATGATTAAAAGTAAGTCCTTTTTTGATGTTATGCATATATGTTGGAAATATATATTTACTGTATAGTAAGTTTTACATGAATAGTTTGTTTAATTGTTTTTATGATTACTTTCTTGAATAATAAAATCACTTCTCGAGTATAGAAAGTTTTGTATTTTCTCCTATTTGGGAATTATTTAAAGAAAACGGGTCAGATTCATGTTGGGAATTGGTTGGAATTACGTTGGAAACTAGTTGGTATTACGTCAGTAACTGGTTGGAATCATGTTGGAAACTGGTTGGATTCACGTTGGGAATAGGTTGGAAAGTAGTTGTATATACGTTACATATCGGTTGGATTTATGTCATTTTATGACGTTGGATTGACGACGGATTCTGACGTCTAAAAAACTTTCATATACAACTAAATTCCAACGTCTATCCAACGTCGGACTCTAACGTCTGAGCAACGTTGAAACAACGTCATGTGTTTGCTGGGCAACAACAAAACAACCTTTTATGTAAACTTAAAAATCAATGGAATATGTACACGTACATTTTTTTTTACGGATGCCGAAAATAAGTTCGGTCACATACTTGAGAATTGCGAGTGCGTCGTTGTGTTAAAACCAATCTCGTTAAGAATCTTATCATAACTTACGCTAGCGAAGAGTAACGGAGCGAAAACGATCGCTGATCTGATGTTAAAAATTCACGTTTCCGGCTTTCTTTGTCGATGACAGTACCGCTCCTAACTAATTTAGTAAAAGACGAACTTTATTTTATATTTGGGATCCCAACGTTACGTCTGATTATCGATCGCGAGATCAATTCAATGTAAATCTGACTAAAGATTAATCTTACATTTACAATTAAATTAACGTGACACAATTATTGTAAAGAAAATATACAAAAATAAATGAAAGTAATCTTTAAATTCGTGCAAATGATGAGATGAAAAAACAAACTAAACTTACCAGGGCTATCTTCTATACATACATGTCCTGGTTTAAACACACCCCGCAGTCTAAATTTAGAAACGTCTGGGGGAAACCAAGTCTATATTTAACTAAATCTAGCTCTACACTTACTGATTATTTTTCAAAATAATATTTGTTTGGTCATTTTCAAATAACATAAAACAACTAAAGCGCAGACGACAAACTGTGATATCAAGCTTTTAATTAAAATAACTATTAACCCATTTTAAATATTCAAAATCCTTTGGGTTTCCAAAATGTCAAGGGATAAAACACATTTTATTGTATATATGTAGTGTGGCTATGTTTAACTCCCTTTATGTACTATCTGGCCATTCGTTAGACTACACGTCTTTTTACCTACCCTTCGTTTTACTTAACGACTAATAGAGAATTTCACATACTTATATAATATGATAGAAACTAAAGGTATGGCTTTTTAGCAAATTTTTAGGTTAAAATTATGAGCTTTCGCTTCTCTCACTTCAGTTCATTGTAAATATATCGTCATTTTGATGCTATAGATATTATATCAATTCCAGCCTTCCTTTATAATCATTATCAATAAATTGATTTATTTTTGTGCCTCTTACAATCCGGACATTTCAACTGGTCAAATTTAAATTCAGAAACATAAATACACAGAGATCAGTCTAAAATATTATCAAATGTATAAAAAAAATCGTAACATAAGTATATATAATTAATCAAGGATAGATGCATGGTTATTCAAAACTGACTTGTTTTTTATCTTCATTTCACAGTTTTGTGTATATATATAATTATCCGATCAATTTATATTTTCCATTCACCCATGAATATACATGTTTTGATGAATTTAAATTGAACGCGACTGATTGACTGAATCATAGTTCGGATATAATTTGGATATTATTTGCCGGACAATTAGTTGGAACCGTCCTGAATCATCAACATTCGACAAGGAAAATACATTTTTCAAAAGTTACATAGATAACATGGTGGCTGATTTCTGCCATGTCGTTACTTCGTTCTGTCGTGGTTGAAGGGGCGACAACACGTAAGAACGTTATAACGACAAAAATATAAATTCTCGTTTTGTCGAACGTACTGTTTTTTGTGTTTTTTTATCGTTTTGTTGTTCTTCAAACGCAACATCACGACAAAACGAAAATATGAAAGTGCCGGTACGAAATTTTAATGCGACAACACGGAGATAAAAATATGGTATTGACGCCCGATATTCGGCGTGTTGGCGCCCTATATTTGGCGTTATCTCGTTCTGACACCTTTGCATAACACGAGAGAACGAAGAAATGTTAACATTAATTTTCTTCTTTCTTTCGTGGTGTCGCATCTGTTGAATGCAAATGCGACAGAACGCTATTCGTTATTTCGTGTTGTCGCCACTTCAAAAGCGACAGAACGAAGTAACGACATGGAAGAAATCAACCACCAGATGTAAATTATTTCTTAAATCTTGAATATTTGTTGTTGATTTTTAATCGTGATTCCTTTTTCTTAAGTTTGATTTTCCGGAACTATTTTTACTCATCTGGAGGCATGCAATTTTAAAACAAACTAGGAAATAAAGATACGACTTTTTTTATTTGAATTTCATATACAATATTTTACCCTTTTTCATATACAACGTATGTCATTCAGTGATTTACAGATATTTTCAAGTTCATAACAATTTTCATCATTACAATAATGCTATATTTGTCCATACTACATACCATACTTCAGATAACCCAGTATTTTCTTCATACCGAATCAATTTTTTTATGCCGAATAAAGATCTCTTCCTTTTGACAAAACTGTTGAACAGTTCTAATTTTGTCAAAAGATAACCATAAGTTGTTGAGATATTCCTTAACCAACTCAAGACACGTATGTATTTTTATGACATTTATATAATTATGTTATTATTTGTTGAAAGAAAATAGTGTTGTAAAGTTTGTGAAATTGTCCCAATAATTAAATCCTGGATAATTTCATATTTAAATATTCCTGATACGAAGGGTATCGGGTTTTTGCTTAAAGAAGTTAAAAAATATAACTGTTACCATATACATCAATATGTATTTAACCATAATTGTGCATGAACGTAATAAGTCTTAAATAATATAAAAAAGAAAACTTTAATAAAAAAGTGACACACGAAAATAATTCTAACAAGAGCACCATATCCTGTGTACACGCTCGTCTGCAAAGGGCAATGACTTTCAATTACCAAATTTGACATGTTAAAATGGGCCATGAGTCCATATGAATTTTAGAATTATTCTCCTTGTCTGACAATCACAAATGTCATGACCAGCAAGAGTTCCAATTTTTATGTTGATAACTTTTAACATGTTTGAATAATGGGCTACATTTAAGGTTTTGGAGGACAACGACAACTACGATGGAGCGATTCTGATAGCTGGACTTTTTTTCTTTTAAACAGACGAGCTAAAATAAAAATGATATTAGAAATAATTGACAGTATATGGTACTCAGTGTGAAATAAAACAGAATTGGTAAACAAGATTGGCTTTTCAAGTCTAATAAATTACTCAAATAAAAAAAAAGAAAGGTACCATTGTAATTTATTTCCAAGAGCACATGCTTTCCTAAATAAATAAGCTAAATTGAAATGATTCAAGTTATATGATATTCCAGTTTTGTCCGTACAATTTAAGAAATCTAGCTTAATCATATGTAAAAATCATGCTGGAAAAAATGTTAATTTTTATTTTAACATGTATTGTTCATGTAATAAATATAAATCAATCATGAGTAAGCTTGCCAGCTTAGTACAATAATCATCGAAATTACAATCAAGAACTCAGGACTAGAACCATCAACACAGAACAAAATTCTTTCCACAGTGTTCCCTTAGTGTGTCCAGAACTTCTTTCATATTAATTGATATACATTTTTTGCTTTCAGAACCAGATTCCGACGGGTCCTTGAGTATTAAATCGCCGGCGGTAACCATGGAAACCAGTTCGATTTCGTTTGTCTGAAGATTTCTCCTGCATACGACTGCCCCACTATCGCCGTGTGTTGCAAATACTTGAGAATTATAACTAGGTTTACTAGACAGAGGTTGACTTAAAATTTCATTTGTATTTCTTGCATCACCCAACTCACTGTCATGAATATCTTGACCGTTTTGTTGCTCCGGTCTAGGTAAAAATACAAAACTTCTTGAACTTTTCTCTAATGACATAACATCGTCTATTGAACTTGCTGCCGCTTGTCCGACACATGTTAAATCTGATATATCAAAGACATTGCTTGTGTCAGATCCGGAAATGTCCAGTGTATTAATTATATCTTGGGAAATCTGAATATCGTCTTCGGGTTTAGGAGGCGAAGGCAATTCAACTAAACCGAGTAATATATCTTCTTGGGTAACTGGTGCGGAAGATTCAATTAAACTAGGTAACATGTCTTCTTGGGTAACAGGCGAGGAAGATTCAATTAAACCGGGTAAATTGTATTCTTGGGTAAGAGGCGGGGACGATCCAATCGATTCTTGTGTAAGAGTCCGCGATTGATCATTTTTCATTGCAGTAAATAAACCTTTTGAAACGATTGGCAATGGCTCGACAAGAACTACATGATTAGGTAAGGTAAAACTGAAATAACTGTTTGAAGCTATAATTCCTCGACTACAACCAGTTGATGCACCATATTTAAACACGTAACTACCAACAAGGTCCCTAGACTGCTCAGTAGCTATTCTGCCAATTTTGTTGTTACCAAATTCATCTTGGAAATAAAAGCTGCACATGTTTAGATTGTCTTGAGAAACCTTTATTGCAGCAATGTCTGCAAATGGTATATTACTCTCATTAACGTTTAATGTCATTGCAGAACTGCTGTAACCAAACAAATGATTTTGAGTTCGAATGTACACTTCGTGCCACTTTTTATCATGAGGATGAACAACATGTGCACAAGTCACTGCATATATTATGTTCTCGGAGTCTTTGATAAAGCACGCTAAAGTCCCTTCTCTAATACTTTCCTCGTCATCTGGAAATGGACTAAGGAGCTTTTGTCCCGATTCGTTGAACTCTCTTGCAACTGCTTGAGTGGTATCATCGACTGTTTGACCTGACTCATTAAGGTCAAAGTCTTGAAATGTTTCATCGACTGTTTGTCCTGACTCATTAAAGTCCATGTCTTTTGCAAATGCTTTAGGGGTTTCCTCGATAGTTTTGATGGTGTACGCATACAGAAATCGGTGACGCTTCAATATTTCTGAGATACTACTTTTTACGTTTGGAATAACATTGGCTAGAAGATCAGTTTTAAGATGTATCTCCAGTTGCCCGTATAGGATACCCATACCGTATACTCCTTCAGTTCTAGAGAAAAGAAAACAGTCAATACATTAGGTTTATTCATTATTAGAAAGAACTAATATTTCTTGTCAATATGACATAAAAAATAAAAAGAAAAATGTCTTTGTAAATTGCTTACAACATGAAATGTTTCTGTAAAAAGAAATCTTACAGAGATGTCGAGCAACGTAAACCTTTGAATAATCCTCTATCAAAAATGTGTGTTTAAAATAAAGAAATTAATTGAAAACAATATGATTTCTGAATAGTGAAGGACAATGCTTTTAACAACACTGCAATGACTGAAATAGCAGTCTGCAATCTTAGACAACAAACTTACCCCATTATCTCTGTTCTAAGGATATCAGGAATGTCATTTGATGTAAGATCCCGTGGTCCTATTTCTATGATCTCAATGTCTACTATCGTTTGCTTGAGGTAGCCTTTAAGCTCAAAAATCATTTTCTTCATTACTATCGTTAATTGGTTCATTGCAGCCAGTTTCTTTTCTGCTGACATCACAGGTTCAGCTAAGTCTTTACGAAGAAGATGCAAAATGAAATCATAATTGATGCATTTGCTAGTTCCGGTTTCCTCAACATATTTGCCTTCAGTTTTCAGTTTGGCCAGCTCTAGCGCATTATCACATGGCTTCATCAAATGATGACGCGTAATACTTGTGATTGATTTCTGTAGATCTTTTTCGAAAGATATTTCTTCAAGCAGTCCATGACATATCCAATCTGGAATGTTTTGCTTTGATGCCATAGGTGATACTGCGGCACACATTATTCGATTACTCAGAGCTTTAATAGCCTGTTCTAAATTCGCATCATTGTCATCATTCTCAGCAACTGCTTTTGAGTCATTCAAGTGATGACCATTGCGTAGGAGATCAAGAATAGCACATGTTACAGTCTCTGATTTTAGAATATCTGAGTTTTCTAGATCAATCTTCTTGTCTGTTCTTAAAAATGTTTGAAGAAATGAAAACACTTCAAGAAATCCATCCATAATTTGTTTTTCTAGTGATTTTGAAATCGATGACGAAAGCCCACTAACATTTTCTCCAATGAGAATTTGATCTGGCAGCAAGCACGTATCGATTGCTTTTGGTACTAAATCAAGAATATCTTTACGAAACGAGTCTGTTTCTGCGTCCGGCAAACTAAATTTTGTTTTGCAAACAATGAAGGTGTCTGATATAAATGAAACTCTGTTCAGAAGCGTAGTTGATAGGTAATTCAAGACTGATGGAATATCCTGAAAGTGAAAACAAATACTCTTTTAAGTTTTTATGACCTTTGTGAATATGTTGATGAAAATATAGGATATCTATATACAATCTTCAGGAATTACTCGTTTGTTTGTACATTTGTTTACGGAGATGACAAGTATGTTTTTCACATATGAATACATACTGCACTGGACAGAGGACAACAGTAGATAAGAGCTCCAGAGAACTTGAAGGCACAGGATAAAACTACGGAAATTCTTTTCTCTTTTACTTTACATTAGTCTGCATGAGGAATTATGATGGAAACTAGAAATGTGTCATCATGCCACGGATGCCCCCGCATGCAGCCAAAATTTCAAATGTTATAATATTTGGTTCCAAATTTGTTTGCACAAATTATTTTTTTTCATTCTATGTTCAAAGCCCTTAAAACTTTTCAATGTTAACACAAACCATTTTTATACAATGTTCAAGGCACTGAAATTATTCAGTCTAAATAGCATATTGCATATTTGTAGCCAAAATAATGGCTATATACATTTCCACAAAAGTATGAGTGCTGAAACTGAAAGTTCAAAATTTTTCCAACATTCAGGAAAGTTTGTCCAAAATCATTGAAAACAACGACCAAATTCCAACTTAAACTGCTTATTCCTAAGATGTATTTATATCATTTTCAAATTGAAAGGGACATAACTCTGCCAAAAAATCATCGAACCATGACCAAATTCCAACTTGACCTGCGCATCCCTTTGACATATCCATATGTCAATTTTGAGTTGAATATGTAACACTGTTGGGTTGATAATGAACAGAAACTGTAAATTTCATATCATTTTCAAAGTGAAAGGGGCATTACTCTGCCAAAAATCATTGAACCATGACCAAATTTGAACTTGGCCTGCGCATTTCAAAAATATATCCATATGTCAAATTTGAGTTGAATGTGTAATACTGTTGGGGAGATAATAAACGGAAACTGAAAATTTCATATTATTTTCAAAGTGAAAGGGGCATAACTCTGCCAAAAATCATCGAACCATGACCAAATTTGAACTTGACCTGCGCATTCCTTTGACATATCCATATGTTAAATTTGAGTTGAATGTGTAATACTGTTGGGGAGATAATAAACGGAAACTGAAAATTGCATATTATTTTCAAAGTAAAAGGGGCATAACTCTGCCAAAAATCATCAAACCATGACCAAATTCGACCTTGACCTGTATTTTTTCATGACATATCCATATGTCAAGTTTGAGTTGAATGTGTTGTACCATTGGGGAGATAATGAACGGAAACTGAAAATTTCATGTTATTTTCAAAGTGAAAGGGGCATAACTCTGCCAAAAATCATCAAACCATGACCAAATTTGAACTTGACCTGCGCATTCCTTTGAGGTATCCATATGTTAAGTTTGAGTTGAATGTGTTGTACCATTGGGGAGTTAATAAACGGAAACTGAAAATTTCATATTATTTTCAAAGTAAAAGGGGCATAACTCTGCCAAAAATCATCGAACCATGACCGATTTCGAACTTGACCTGTATTTTTTCATGACATATCTATATGTCAAATTTGAGTTCAATATGTGCAACGGTTATTAAGATAATGAACGGAAACTGATGATGACGGAAGGACGGAATGACGGAATGACGGAACAGGGTAACACTATATGCCCTTGCCATTATACGGCGGGGGCATAATAAATTGTCAAATCGTCCCTTTAATATTTATCTTCGCTCTGATGAAAATAATACAGCTAGAAATGAAGTGCTTACATGTTTGCTTGACCTATATAGTAGATAATAACAGTATGTCATTACCTAACAGTATGGCATTACCAGTAACAATATTATAACAAGAGGGCCATGATGGCCCAGAGTCGCTCGCCAGAAACAACTGCTTTTCAGTGTTGGAAATTATCCATTGTCAATATTTTCTGATATCTAATTTGAGCCAATCAAATTAATATGAGCAAACTTGATAAAAGACTACCTAATAATGCTACACAGTTTGGTGACCATCTTATCAATTATTTCAGTAGGAAATGATGTTCAAAGGTTTTTCTATTTTTGGCTTTAGTGGCCCCTAAAAGGGGCCAGTCAAATTAATATGACAGTCAAATTAATATGAGCAAATTTGATAAAAGCGCACCTAAGAATGCTACAGAGTTTGGTGATCATCCATCAACTAATTCTGTAGAAATAGACGTTTAAAGGTATTTCTATTTCTAGCTTTAGCTGCCCCTAAAAGAGGCTGATCAAATTAATATGAGCAAACTTGACATAAGACTACCAAAGAATGCTTCAGACAAAGTTTGGTGATCATCCATCAATTAGTTCTGTAGAAGAAGACGTTTAAAGGGTTTTCTATTTTTAGCCCTAGAGACCCCTGAAAGGGGCCAATCAAATTATTATGAGCAAATTTGATAAAAGGCTATCTAAGAATGCTACAGACAAAGTTTGGTGATCATCCATTCATACGTTCTGTAGCAATAGACGTTTAAAGGTATTTCTGTTTTTAGCTTTAGCTGCCCCTTAAGGGGGCCGATCAAATTAATATGAGCAAACTTGACATAAGACTACCCAAGAATGCTACAGACAAAGTTTGGTGATCATCCATCAATTAGTTCTGTAGAAGAAGACGTTTAAAGGGTTTTCTATTTTTAGCCCTAGAGACCCCTAAAAGGGGCCAATCAAATTAATATGATCAAATTTGATAAAAGACTACCTAAGAATGCTACAGACAAAGTTTGGTGAGCATCCATCAATTAGTTCTGCAAAAATAGACGTTTAAAGGTATTTCTATTTTGAGCTTTAGCTGCCCCTAAAAGGGGCCAATCACGATAATATGAGCAAACTTGATAAAAGACTACCCAAGAATGCTACAGACAAAGTTTGGTGATTATCCATCAATTAAAGGTATTTCTATTTCTAGCTTTAGCTGCCCCTAAAAGAGGCTGATCAAATTAATATGAGCAAACTTGACATAAGACTACCAAAGAATGCTTCAGACAAAGTTTGGTGATCATCCATCAATTAGTTCTGTAGAAGAAGACGTTTAAAGGGTTTTCTATTTTTAGCCCTAGAGACCCCTGAAAGGGGCCAATCAAATTATTATGAGCAAACTTGATAAAAGGCTATCTAAGAATGCTACAGACAAAGTTTGGTGATCATCCATTCATACGTTCTGTAGCAATAGACGTTTAAAGGTATTTCTGTTTTTAGCTTTAGCTGCCCCTTAAGGGGGCCGATCAAATTAATATGAGCAAACTTGACATAAGACTACCCAAGAATGCTACAGACAAAGTTTGGTGATCATCCATCAATTAGTTCTGTAGAAGAAGACGTTTAAAGGGTTTTCTATTTTTAGCCCTAGAGACCCCTAAAAGGGGCCAATCAAATTAATATGATCAAATTTGATAAAAGACTACCTAAGAATGCTACAGACAAAGTTTGGTGAGCATCCATCAATTAGTTCTGCAAAAATAGACGTTTAAAGGTATTTCTATTTTGAGCTTTAGCTGCCCCTAAAAGGGGCCAATCACGATAATATGAGCAAACTTGATAAAAGACTACCTAAGAATGCTACAGACAAAGTTTGGTGATTATCCATCAATTATTTCTGTAAAAGAAGACGTTTAAAGGGTTTTCTATTTTTAGCCCTAGAGACCCCTAAAAGGGTCCAATCAAATTAATATGAGCAAATTTGATAAAAGACTACCCAAGAATGCTACAGACAAAGTTTGGTGATCATCCATCAATTAGTTCTCTAGATATAGATGCTTAAATGTATTTCTATTTTTAGCTTTAGCGGCCCCTAAAAGGGGCCAATCAAATTAATATGAGCAAACTTGATAAAAGACTACCCAAGAATGATACAGACAAAGTTTGGTGATCATCTATCAATTAGTTCTGTAGAAGAAGACGTTTAAAGGGTTTTCTATATTTAGCCCTAGAGACCCCTAAAAGGGGCCAGTCACATTAATATGAGCAAATTTGATAAAAGACTACACAAGAATGCTACAGACAAAGTTTAATGATCATCCATAAATTAGTTCTGTAGAAATAGACGTTTAAAGGTATTTCTATTTTTAGCTTTAGCGGCCCCATAAAAGGGCCAATCAAATTAATATGAGCAAACTTGAAAAAAAAGACTACCCAAGAATGATACAGACAAAGTTTGGTGATCATCCATCCATTAGTCCTGTAGAAGAAAATTTCTAAAGGTTTTTCTATTTTTAGCCCTAGAGACCCATAAAAGGGACCAATCCAATTAATATGAGCAAACTTGATAAAAGACTACCCAAGAATGCCACAGACAAAGTTTGGTGATCATCCATCAATTAGTTCTGTAGTAGAAGATGTTTAAAGGTTTTTCTATTTTTAGCTTTGTTGACCCCTAAAAGGGGCCAATTGAAATGACATGAGCAAATTGAAGTGTGACTGTCACAAGGATGCTACAGACCAAATTTGAAGTAAATCTGCCCAGTAGTTTCAGAGAAGAAGACGATTGTTGACGCATGACGACGGACGACGGAGTATCCCCCTTTGATACTAATAGCTCACCCTGAGCCTTCGGCTCTGGTGAGCTAATAAAATGTGTATGTACATTTACTGGAACACTATTTAAAAGGTTAAGTGAAGCATGAACGAGCAGCAAGTAGAACTACTGACATTCCATTAGCTAGCGGGAAAGCTTCCATAACATGAAAAGATCCAATGATCCATGATGGATTCGAACTCATAGAGGTGAGGGGCAAGTGGTTTGAAGTCAATGACCTTAACAACTTTTACAGTTCACTTAACATGTTGTAAAAGCAATATATTTCACCCATATAAAATGAGCGTTTATGTTGTGATAAAGTCCAGTAAGATATGTGAATAATTATACTATAACAAGTCTGAACAACTCCTAAGATCACAGGCACCTCCCAGTGGCCCCCAAAAAATTTAACAGACCAGGCCGTTCAATCGGTCTCAATATCACTATTATGCCCTCAATGCAATAAACTATTATATAAAATCTTTCTTTTATTACCTTTAGAGTCGCTTCATATAGGTCCTTTTCTTTGACATAACAAACACAGACATGGATCTCCTCAGTGGCGGTATAAGGCAGGTCGAGGTATCTGCTCAGAACCTCAGGTGAAACTGTTAGCAGGCTCGGTGACAAATCTTCTTCACCTAATACCATCACGTGTAGTTTGTTCTGAAGTGTTTGAATTAGTTTCTCTCGCGAAGCAGCAGATGGTGCTTTCATATGAAATCTCTCAGGAAGCGCTTCTACAAAAAAGAAAAAAGCTTTCCGCATGATAAAAGCTCGAGTACCAAACTATCAGAATTTTTACGTGGGTACATTACCCATTTCACTATATGATTAATATTATTTCGCGAAACGTTTTATTAAAGTTTCATTATCCTACAACAATTCTAGTTACATTTGTACATGTCAACTGGACGACAGAAACGTCCATTTCATAAAATAATTACTACGTTATGTAATTATATAATTATGTATATATAAAAACCAATCTTATATCAAACTGCAATTAATTTACAAGTTAAATATTGTGTATTACATAGAAATATAATACGTTGTTCCTGTTATGTAACTTATTAAATGCGGAGGCCTTGTGGTTAAGGTGTTTGCCTCTCAACCGGTGGATCATGGGTTCGACCCTTTCAGGCCACGACATGTTTCTTCATTATATGACACCAGTACTGGTTGGCTCCAGGACTCAGACATGATTAATGTAAGTTGCAAGAACTTGTTTTGCAATCGAGCTTGAGTGGATTCAATCAATAATTCAATTGTTTAAATCAATTTAATGTCGACAAGTGTGATTATAATGACTATATTGATAAAATGTTGAAGATGAAGATGATGATTCTTATAATGATAATGCCATAGATTACAGATGATTTATAATGATGATAATGATAAGGATGGCGGTGGTATATGAAGCTGCTTTTGCTACTGTTGTTGATGATGATGTTGGTGATGCTGATGGATGTGGTTGTGATAATGAATGTGGTGTAATGATTGTGATTCATGATAATGAAAAGATCACCGATGACTTGTGATAATGATAATGATTAAAATGATGATTATTGTTGTAATGATGCCAGACGTTGTTAACGGTTATGTTTATTGATGATGATGATGGTGATGATGATGATAACTTTATGTGACTCTATGGTGATAAACATGTCGACAATAATACATGATCATGAGTGTTATTTTTTCGACAATTGTTCTCATTTAAATGTTTAAAGTGTTCCGGTAACTTAACATAAGAGTAGATTTCAATTTCATATACTTTTAATGACTCAATTTCCTGAAAGACTTATTATCCTACTCGAAAGACGTTTAAAGGTTTTAAACGGGGATTTTTTTTGAATATGTTAAAATAGAAAAGAATAGAAAAACCGTTTTAAGTAAGTTTCAGTTGGCGAATCCTGAGTTAAAAACTTATTCAAACATTTTATCTATAAATAATTGATCACTGCATTTATTTAGCATGAATTAGAAATCAGTTAATATTTCCATAATAATTTTAATAATAATGGTGATAATAACGAGATGATGATTGAAATAAAAGATTTAAACAAAAGTAGTAAATACTTACTCATTACTCTCTCGAATCGTTGGTTGAAGTCTAGATACCGGCTTCTGAAGTAGTTTACTCGCGGGTATAACTCCCATGTTGGAAAAACATGCGGGTGTTCTGCCGCATCCATCTGTTGAAAAGGAAATGAATTTTGACAGATTGACAAAATAAGCATAAATTTCCCCGGTGGTGAAACTTTATTTACACTGAAAGCGAATCACACTCTTGTACTTGATGAATTTAAAGTTGTATTGTAAATATTCACTCAAATATAATAATTATGAAATAAACCAAATTAACCGTCACAATTTCAAAGTAATAAAAATCATTCCTTCATTTTAACCATTCTGATATAAACACCTCCTGTATTAAGTAATGATAATTTAAGAAATTAATAAAAATAACAAGCTGAAAACGCCTAGCTTAGTTTTGATTTTATTTATTTATATTATTTATTATCCTTTTTCTTTTACAAAATTATGTTGTTTCTATTACCGGTGAAACCTATCTTAAAATCCACTACCTTACCATTCCAATTTGTTGATGTCTTTGATTTTTCTCGTATCTAGCAATTATAAGGCGAGGCGTTAGATGTTTGACCCTTCCTTATTTAAAAGTACGTAGTTTTACGCATAAAAATATCTAAAATATTTCAAAATATTTCACAAGTGGTGTAAAAATAGATTAATTTACGCAGAATTTTGAATACAAAGATTGAAAGAACAAGCGAAGAACAACAAATACCGTAAATATTGATCTCAATGCAATTTACTATAGAAACAACAATAAATTCAGTAGAATTTCTATATAAATTAGCTGTTAAAACCAGGGGACTATCATTATATCATAATTAATGTATATGAACAGACATTTTTATTATTTAATGAAATAATAATATGCATGACTAATAACTTATCATCGGTTACCCACGGTATAAATTCCGTACATACTACATTATATTATTATTTAATGAATGAAATGATATATGCATGACTAATAACTTATCATCGTCGGCTACCGGTATACATTCCGTACATACTAGATTAATGTAGTATGTACGTACCGACGATGATAACTTACTAGCTTTTGTTTAATGCCAAAATATAATTTATGTATACTGCAGTTTGTTATAAATAGACTACACCAACTTATCTATACTACGTGAAAAAAAAAAGATTTATCATATAATTAAACTGTAGCATAGTTACATGAGATATAAAGAAAGTAAAAATGACTAAAATGATACCTTTACATTCCATTCTCTATGTCATCGCATAATAAATATGCTCAGTCACAATCACACGATACAGTAAAATCTATTTATAGCTCATTTCGGGATCCCATACATGTATGAACTATCGGAGTATTGATTACGCTATAGGAAAACCGTCCAGGTAATCGATTTTGATTCATTTTTTTCAGTTTCTAGCATAGAAAAATATCAAGTTTCAGATTTATTGGCATGCAGTCTAAGTCTGTTAACTATATAATAATACAGATTGGTTAACAAGTCAGCCAATTTAAATTTGTATTAAACTGTAAACACGGAGATGTTTCAATAGTTCAATATTATGCACTAATTGGTTGATGACTTATTACGTAAATTTTAAATGGATTTAAAATAATTTAACAGGAATATCCTGATTTAACTTAAAGGTGAATTGTTTATAATTAAAATTTATAATTTTAGCTAACCAGTACTGGAGCCATGTAAGCAAACATTGTTGTATCCTCAGTATAGTTTTTTTTGACACGGCACTTCGTTGGCTTGAGGTTCAAGTCACGGCACTTTGTTAGCTTGAAGCTATCTTTTCACTACGTATGGCACAGAAGTCACATTTGTAGGTTTTTAATTAGTGTTGTTCGCACCATAGGTGTTCGGCGCGTTGATTTGTCACAATCCCCGCACCCCCCCCCCCGTCCCCTCACCCCCACACCCATTCTACAGTCCTCCTACCTCTCAAAACCATTAAAAATACAGTATTTTTCATTTGAAACATGTTTTAATATTTGGTTTATGCTTTTAATTCAATTACTTTCATTTCCCACAAAAAATAAAAAATTGATACATATATATTTAGTTAGCTACAGAAATATTCAGTCAAAAAATACGACGTTTCAGAAGTTTTACTTGTTTTTTTATTTAACGTTAACCTGTCAAACTATTTTTAAGTATTTAACTGACTTGTCAAACAAACATAAACCGACAAACATAAACATTATTCAGGATGCACATTAAAAGTCTTAACCTCATGAACGCTGTTTTTCCTTTTCAAAATAATGACAAATTCGTAATTTGTACTCTTACAGGCTACTACTCTGAACCAATTTCCCAAAAAATGTTTAATTGTCTAAATTCACCATTATTTTACAACATAGTTCCTGTTTTCGTGTAACAGGTGTATTTCAACTCATTATTCCTTGTTTCACAAGGTAACAGATATGTAACTTTTTTTTTTATTTTTCATCCAAAGTTTAATAATTCCATGGTTCCATTAAAGATCCTGTAACACAATTTTTTCATGGTTTTATTTCATAAATATGATGCTCAAATTAAGATTTGTCAATACTGTATGTTCAAATAAGCATTATTTACAAAAATATTACCTAATTTAACATTTCATGTAAATAAAGGGAGGTAATTTGAAAATTTATTTTCTATAAATTCTAAGTCAAATTTTCCAATTGCGTGTAATTTATTGATTAAATATGATGTGCACAAATATTTGTAGTACACATTTTACATATTCTTTGATGTTTGAAAATTGTTTTATTTGCATAATTATATACATATATAATTTTTTGCAAGTGTGGTTTAAACATTTGCATTTTATTTGGGCTCTTTCAGTGATTTACTGAATTCCAATCAAATAGGTCACCACTTTGCTCATTCAGTGAATTACTGAATTCCAATCAAATAGGTCACCACTTTAGATTATAACATACTTTAAGGGCTTGCCCGGGGTCCGTACTCGACAGCGAACTGCTTTATGTGCCCTTACGGGCGGATGGACCCTCATTAAGCATTAACTACATACGTTTACACACAGTAACAATATCAATCACAAAACATACAGGATCTTTAAATGATCAAGAGATATTAAAATGTTATACAGCAATTATTGGTACCGTACAACACTTTATTTCAAGAGAAAATTAATAAGCATACATCCAGATAAGTATAAATTATTTTATGAACAGTTTAAACAAGTATAAATAGTAAATAGTTATCAAAATACTAACAATCAATGACACTTTGCATATTGTATGCAAAACATGACAGTATCAGCTATTTTATCAAATTGAAAACGTTCCTTCCTTATTTCTTACCTTTGTTTGCATATTTAACATAACTAAGTACTTTGAAATTGTAGTTTTAAATTATTTCTGTACATGGATAATTAACAAGTACATCAGCACAGCTGATCAAGATAATTTGTACACATGTCAGTAAATATTATGAAGAAGAAGAAGAAGAATCTTTATTTTGCAAATTAACTCTCAAAAGAGTCATGTACAAGCATTCATAATATATACAATAACATGTATGCATAAGTAAATAAATAATTACATAGCAAGATGACGTGACTGCAAGTATTTCTTTTCTTTCATAATTATAATGGTTACCATTGATTATATATTTAATTTACAAGTTATTTACTTTTTGAGAGATTCTACATTCAAATATATAATAATAAGAAATACTTCGTGTATGTTTTAGGCTTGCAATCACGGGAGAGACATTGTCAGCATCTATTACATAGTATACTTTCAATTCTCTTCTATACACTGGTCTTTGTATTACATTTACTAATCTAAGCTATATGGTTTTGATTTATTGCAATAGAAATATGGCACAAAATATCGGAATTATACAAACAAAACAAAACAAATGTTACTTCTAAACTATACTTTGAACACATATAATGCTTCAAACTTGATACAAGTAAGACCAGTGTATGATTTTGAAACTTACAAATTTATAGCCTTTATAATCATCGTGTTACTTAACCTATTATACATATAATACACAAAGAATTGCAATGTATCAATAATACATCTATATACAATTATATGACAGCTAATATTCGTACATTACACACATAGAAGTACAATACAATGTGTCAATTAACTTCTATGTACGTTTGCATGGGGCTTGATATTCGATTCGCATAAAACATATATATAAAACTTTAAACTAAACATTTTTGTATCTTACACGAGAATTGTTTGTAACTGTTGTCTAATATGGAAGGCATGGTATATAAACATAGCTAAATTTCTAATATCATGTACATTATCGCTTGTAACCAACTGAACAAATTTAAACATGCTAGGAAACCTCCAGTAATATTTCTTTAAAAATCTTGTTCGGAGTTCCTGATAAATAGGACATATAATGACAAAATGGAACTCGTCCTCTAACTGATTACATGCTACACAGACTCTATCATTTAAAGGTACACTGTGGGGTTTTCTCCATCTACCCACCTCTATTTCTAGACGATGAGAAGACATTCTTAAGCGTGACATAGCTATTCTATACTTTTTAATATCAAACTATATCTAAATATCTACTAAAACTGAAATCATTAAAAGTGTGGTAAAATAGTGCTCTGGAAGAATTACTAATTCGAGCATTTAAATCCTGTTTCATGTGTCTCTAACTCTCTGGTTAAATACATTAAGAAAAATTTTACCATGCGTAACTCCTTGGTTTTGCCATACATTGTTAAAACCTAATCTAGACAATAATGATCTTACGTTCGAAACCCAATTTATTTTCCTACTATTATTTTCACAATCTGCTTTTAATAGTAAATATGCATGTTTAGTATACTTGTTGTCTTCTGACATACACAATTTCACCAATATCTGATTATTGAACCTAATCTGTAAACTTCTAGATTAAATCTGCCCAGTTCAGTATATACAAAAATCATTTTGAGTAGGTATCTTAACACCAATTAACGTTTTTACAGAAATGCAAAAATGTTCGTTCTACCTGTATACCTTTGTAAAAGCCCCAGACTTCTGAGGAATAACACAAAATTGGTAAAATCAACTTATCAAAAAAGTTCTAAATGGTGTTTTACAGAAAAGATCTGTGAATTTATATACATATTTATTCATTTGTATATTGCTTTTAAAGCTTGTCCTGATAACATTACATCGTGTTCTCTAAATGAACCACCTGTGGTAAACAATGTTCCTAAGTATTTAAATTTTGAACAATTCGATAAGACTGTCTTTGTACAAAAATTCTAAATTTCGAGGCAACAATCCACTTTTTCTAAATACCATTACTTTTGTCTTATCAACATTTACTGTAAGCTTCCATCTATCACAATATTCAGATAAGATGTTCAAGCATGTTTGTAAACCTTCAGCCGTTTTAGAGAAAATAGTTATATCGTCCGCATACAGTAATAAACATATCTTAAAAATACCAGTATCTATGCCCTCGACTCCTTTAGCTAAAAAACACATCTTCAAGATCATTCAGATACATGCTAAATAAAAATGGGGACAGGCTCTCACCTTGTCTTACTCCTAAATTACAAGTAAAAGCTTCACTAATATAATCAAAATGTTTAACTCTTTGGAAATGCCTTCATACATGCTCTGTATAACTTTGAGAATATTACCAGTCACTCCGTATTTTATTAATTTGTACCAAAGTACATCTCTAACTACGAAATCAAAAGCTTTTTTTTAATCAACAAAAGCTTACATATAGCTTTTCATTTTTGTTCAAACAATGTGAAATAAGAGCATTTAAAATAAAAACATTATCAACAGTACCCCATATTTTTCGAAAACCTGCCTGGGCTCTACATAAACACCATAGGATTCAGCCCAGTCATCTAATCTAGTATTCAATATTCTAGTAAATAATTTTCCGAGAGAACTTAACAATGTAACACCTCTATAGTTCGATGGTTGATCAACATCACCCCCTTTATGTATTGGTACTATATAACCTTCACTCCATACATTCGGAAATGTCCTAATTTCAAACAAGCATTGAACAATTTATGCAAATATTGGTAACAGATCATCAACTCCATGAATAAATAATTCGTTCACATACAAAATCAGGTCCAGCCGCTTTATTGCCCTTCAATTGTTTAATAGCTCTATATATTTCATCAACAGTTATATCTATGTTCAATTCATCAAAAATATCTTGTATATTATCATTCAAGAAATTCTCATTGAAACGTAAAACATCTTCATCAGCTTGGTAAAAAACATCTTCAGGATTATTTATAGCTTTAAAATAGTCAACAAAGATATCTAATTTAGGTTGTTTAGGGTCATTGTTACAAACGGTATCTTTCAGCATTTGCCAATATAGCCTTGCATTTTTAACTCTTGCATTTAACAGTTTATCAGTGTTTTCTCTTCGAGATGAATATTTTTTGCTTCTAATAAGTTTTTTATATTTTTGCCTAGCCTCACACAAAATTATTAAATTTTCATCAGATTCATTATATTTAAATCTGTTTTGACAGACATAAAAATCATTTTTTGCAGTTTTACATTCTACGTCATACCATGCATTTTCATTTGTCTGCTTTTTTTCGTTTCAAAACGTTTCTGCCAAATAAAGGTGAACAAACAGTATGCATGACCTGAGAGAAAGAGTTAAGACTACTATCTATACAAGAAGAAGTATCATTATTTTCTAACTCCGTTACAAGCCTGTTAATAGATTCAACAAAAGTTTCAGACTGAAGACTTTCTTTATAAATATTTAACTTAGATTTATTCCATTTGTATTTAAATGACACTTTATCTGCATATGTGCTCTCCTCAGCACTCAAATTATTTACATTATTCATCCCTTCAAAAGAGAAATTTACAGTACAATGATCTGATAATATATTAGGTAATCCAACATAAAACTTACTGAAATGTTTCATAACAGATGTATTACAAATAAACATAATCTAATAAACTCCTCGCTGATTGTCCGTTATATGTACACACGCCAATTTCGCCACATATTCTACCGTTCATTATGCGCAGGCCACTAGCTTTACAAAAATCAATTAAAAGACGCCCATTTCTATTAACGCCGGTATCGGTTGTCAACCTATCCATATATACATCAGTTATATAATCATCAGGCAATAATTCAAAAAATACCGATCAACATCATCATGTTCTACAAAATCTTTTTAAAGACCCAACTCGACTGTTCATGTCTCCAAGCACGAGAAAATTGCAATTATCACCAAACTCATGTGACAGCTTTGACATTTCACTCATAATTCTATCAAAAACCGGGATTTCTATTAAATGTTCTCTACTACTTCCCTGAGGTAAAAACATAACATAAGCAAATAAAACAAGTCATTATCAGATTCAAAAGATTGCGTGAAAATTTAAGCCATAAAATATCATCCCGTCTGTTTTATGTAGTTCTACGTAATTAATATATTTCTGTTTAATATAGCAACATATACCACCAGAGTCTCTTTTTGCATTAATATTTCTTCTTTTCTATGTACAGAAAATAGTTTTAAACCCAGGTTTTTCCAAATTAATTAAACAATTTGCCCATGTCTCTACAATAAATATGAAATCATTTGAGTTGAAAATGTCGACTAAATCTTGTTGTTCAAGTTTATTAACGTTTTTAGTCACTAATCCCTGAATATTTAGTAGCACAAAGTTCAATGAACTAACATGTCTCTCCCCGTGGTCCTAAGTTGAAGATCGTTCTTTAACACTGGTACGCGCTGCACTATTACTCTGTGATTCTTTCGTAAGTGGGGGAAAATCCCCATGAAATGACGAGCTTGAATGGTTAAGAGACGCATGATTCGCTCTTGTAGGGGAACCCTTCACGGCGGCGGCATCGTTCTCAGGGGTTACAGGATCAACGGGAATATCACTATAAACAGATTTGCTATAGTTAGCGTGAGGCCGTGGGTTAATTGTTGGTTCATAGTAAATTGGGGGTCCATTGTTAACCGAGTAATCATGTTTTTCTGGATGTTTATGGGATATGCCAATTTCATGCGGAGCGGTGGCATCATGCGTGACGGATGTTGTACAATTAGGCGTGTCAGCCCTGTCGTCTATCACTGTAGATTGTAAGTAAATATCTTTCTTGGCAAACAAGTCATTTATAATGTCAATTCGGTTTCTGTTCAGTACAGCGTGCCAGTCAGGAAATTCATCACGCACTACTTTACCCTTGACAATCAACTTTGCCGGATACGCTATTTTACATTTCTCCGAGTGCTCATAGTTTGACTTCATGTATTTGTATAGACGATTTCTGGCAATAGCAATCTCTTTAGGGTAGTCCCTATCGATCCCGTAACGGGATCCAGATAACCAATTGACTCTTTTCATTATCAAATCAGTGTCCGGATAATCCCGAAAACACGCAATAATAGGTCTACGCGTTACTCCATCTTGACCTCGCACTGTCCGACCCAATGACCCGAGACGGTGGACTCGTTGAATATACATTCTCTCGAGATCAATGTCAAGCCAGTCAGACAAAAACTCCGTTAACACTTCAAGGCAATTCTCATTTCGCATGTCCGCTAATCCGTAGAAAATTAAATTGTTCCTCCGGCTACGGGCATTATCGTCAATACTGTGGTATAATTGGAGTTTTGTAAACTCTAAATGAAGGTTAAGCCGTCTTTCAACTTGGTCAAGCTGAGATGTTGTTCTGGTCAAATTCGAGGACAAATTTTGTAAATTCGAGTCTATATCGTCAAGTTTTCCCAGTTGTTGAAATATTCGCAATAATTTATCGTCCGAATTAAGCGAAGAAAATGGTCTATTTGCTCGGGTGTTATGGGATCCCGATTGTCCATTTTGCCCAATTGGTGTCTGATCGCAATTCGCCCATTGTTGTTGAAACTCACTAAACCTATTATGTACCGGTACGTTATATGTATGTGATAAAGGTGTACTAGTTCTCGTCTCCATCATATAAACATTATATCATATGCACATTATATCATATAACAGCAACGCACTAACCATTTAATTCTATAGAGTTTTTAATCAAATCTGATTTAGCGCCAAAATGTTATGCTATAACCAAGAAACACAATAAATCCCGTTTTCTATATCACAATATATATATCAACCAGCACAACCAGCACAGTTACTATATTTCCAGTCAGATTGTCATCAAAATTATCAAAAACAATTTCCATATATCACCATAAATCCGATTTTAAATTATTTTCTTTCACTTTAAATTTTCATGTCAGCCATCTTGCTACGCATGCGCATATATTTCTTTGAAATTGTAGTTTTAAATTATTTCTGTACATGGATAATTAACAAGTACATCAGCACAGCTGATCAAGATAATTTGTACACATGTCAGTAAATATTATGTATATGCTTGTTTGCTGTGTTATTAAATAAATTATAAATGAATGATGTGTCTATGTACACAATTACATTAAAAAAATTATAACAAAAAAAAGTAATTAAAAAAAAACATGAGAACCACAAAGGTATGGCTATACAAAAATGTAAATTTGTCTGAATAATCAAAAATAATCTTTCAATAAGGGTAGACATTCAATTAAGAAACTTGTCTGAAAAAATGTTTTAACTTAATTATCATTATGATACTAAATGTATATGACCCCCAAGGTGGAAGCATTTTTCACCCTCAGTGCATGATTCATAAAACTTTTATAGAGATCTAATAAAGATACAGACCGGACAAGAGAACTGCTAACAGACAGACGGGCGGACGGACGGACGACCAGGTCAAGTGCATAACAGTGCACCCTAAATTTGTTCAGTCATATAAAAATAAATAAAAAAAGGATAAAAAAGAGAATGCGAATTCTGAGATTCTACATAATTAATTCAGTCACCCTCTTCGACCCCTACAACCCAAGGTTCCGGTTCAACTTCTGTTTTTAGTATATAAGTTCCACGTTCTTGCATATCAGGGTGTAATCGAAATATCTCATCTATTGTCTCTTGTCTAACAACACAGTACACTAATAACGAACGCAATAATGTACAAGACCTAGCAACCTTTATTAAAGCCGCCTCCAATTCTAAAGAGTTCCTTGTTTGCAGGACTAATTTCTCAAGAGTTTTGCTATACAACACCGCTGCTAAATTAACTTCTTCATGGCAGATGGCGAATGTTTCTAACTTTAATGTTCGTACTGGTATCACAGGCTTCAGTATTGCCGCTATTAACGGATACGGGCACGTATGATCGAAACCAAGGGTGACACGTAACGTGGGAACACGTTCTGTGAGATCTTCCCACGCCTCCGTCTCGATTTCGTACCCAAATTTTACCTCCCGGCGGCATATTATTGATATATGCTCAACGTCGGCTCTATTATCGTCAGTAAACGCTTCTAAAACCTCGTTTGATATACTACAGTAGTACAGTCGGAGGTCCGTCAAATTTCTACATCTTTCAACAAGTCTTAGAATACAATCCGACGTCGTTTTGCTGATTATTACTTTATTTTGAATATCTAAGTATTTCAAGCCCCTGTGGTTCTCGGACAGTGCGTCTATTACCCGGTCGTCAATAGGTACGGCCAGTCCACTTAAGTCCACGTGCTGCAGTGTGGTTAAAGGTGCCTCTAGATTATCCGAAACTTTCGAGAACAATATAATTAATCCATCAAGAAATTCTTGTCCGGAGTAAAATAGTGGATTTTCACCCGTGAAAGCTATTTTTAGATATGTTAAACGACGTCTTTCGATTCTTGAGAGAATTTCTAACAAAGCACAAGCATTTTGACGGTTGTGAGTTAGCATTTGGTTTACACCAATAAAAACTTTTTTCATATATTTTCCATACTTCTTGGCACCCTCGATGTAGGAAATGTGCGACGGTAGAAAGAACCAGGCTTCGAAAGTCTGCCACAAAGTTGGATGAGCGAAAGCTTCGTTCCACGTGCGACAAACACGTGCTGCGTGATTCAGATCACGTGTATTTAGGAACGAAAATACGTGGACGATCACATCAGAGGGTAAAAGTGCCCAGTCAATCTCGTTTTCATCGGACATTGTGTTCAAAATTGATCCTGAAATAATAAATGTACACTTATTATATACTTATAAATGAAATATTGAGAAATATTGGTAAAATAAAATGCGTATTTTCATTTTTCGTATATTCACTGTAAAAATTTAATTTTCACTGCAGTGAAACATATTTTCCGTATATTCACTGGTGTCCTGCCGGACTACTTTCTTCTAAATTCAGCCAAAGAATACACAAATTTAAATGGAAGTCTTTCAAATTGTAATGTCTAACAAGAGAAAAATGTATATCATAAAATTAATTTTAATACCCTGAAAATTCAAGTTTTTTTTATATAAATACATGACTTATTTTTCATCTTGTAATATGAAAACTGTCATATTTCACTCGTGCCTACCGCCACTCATGAAATATTTATTTTCATACCACTCGATGAAAATAAATCCTGTATTTAATATAGAAAAAAACTTGAATATCCTCTATTTAGTTTAAGTTAAATCTAACCATATTTTATTGCCTATATATAAATAAATATATATACATGCAAATATACACACAAACTAGAACAATAAAACAAAAGCAAATTGGTTGAGCAATAAGTTTTAGCAACATCACTTAAATCCCAGTTGAGAAATTTACAAACAAATAATTATGTGTTTAATGAATGTCGAAATAAAATTGTTTGCATGATTGTTTACAAAAAAATTCAGTGGTTTATCCTTGTTTACAATAATTATGTGTTTATGAATAAATAAAATTGTAATGTTTCATGTTTTGTGAAGATCTGATACTGCCACGGCCCGGGCTGCTCCCCACACTTGCATTAAAAAGAAAAGAAAAGAAAAGAAAAAGATCTTCAGGGTTTGCGAAACTTTATTTGTAATGACTTTTAAAAGCAACATTAATCTGTATGAAAATGATTCGCTAGTTCGCTCAATTTCTGTATAACAACACAAATATTAATGTTTTCTTCATATGGTAGAATTTCAATGCCAATATATAAGCGTGTAAAGGATGATATAACATTTACTCTCAACTTAATTGTTTTCCAATTTACAATTCTTTTAGTTTCAAACAAAGGTCTACATTACTGTAAATTATATAATGAAAGCAAATATAAAGTAAAGTATTAAACAAACCTATTAATTTAGTAATTTGCCTAGCTTTCGGCCTTTCGGCAAACATCTGTTTTGAAAAAAAAACTAACAAACACAAAAAAAACACAAAAAAAACCAAAAAAAAACAACAAACAAACAAATATCAAATTTATAACAAGTAGGCCTATAGCATGAGCTCTTTTTATTCACACCCACGCTAAATATAATTTTCTCTTATTTGTCTGATATGTGTACACACAGATGCTGTGCAGTACTTATATATAATACAAAATCATAACTTAATTAGTAGTTTTCTAATACATTCCAAAATGTTTGGAAACATTTACACGTACTACTGTAAACATGATTTCGTTGCAAGTTTATAACATTGAACCTATTCATAGCTTTGAACCACGCAATAGCTTGATAAATTGGGTGAAAAGTTATTTGGATCTCTCTAAAGTCTTAAAATCGAAGTTAATATTACTATAATATTTAGATAGGCATATATCTAGTCCAAAGTACTTAGCGATATCATCGCAAATGTTTGTATAGTCTATAGATAATATATTAGATAATGCATAAGTAAATTAAATTTGTTTTCAAAATATTCATAGCACATTAAAATAAATCTACATACCTGTAAGATTCAGCTCATCGTGTTGTGAGTGTATATTTCCTAGTTTAATGTGTATAAGATTCATATGTTTGTATGTATGCATATGTGTAATGTGATATTCGATACGCAGGTTGTTTCTATAAATAGATATGACTATATTTAAACATACTGATATGGTAAGGGAAGTAATCAATGAAGCATTTCTAAAGAAAAGGTTTATGGAGTAGTTTCCCCTGCATTGAATAAACTACGGTATACCGTTAGGGCCATTGCCTTTGAATAAGGTACACGAAATCACGAAAGAAACGAAATTACGATTTACGCATTTTTGATGGTGCAATGGATTTTAATCGCGTAGTTGTAAGACCCTCGAATAAACCATTTTATCTTTTTTTTTAAAGGTTTCTTTAGCTAACTATTTTTTAATGCAGCATGAATTGGTAAATTACATATTAAATTTTCGGTGTCTATTTTGTTTCTTAATTAACTTTCAAAACAGTTAATTAATTTCAATATGTAAAGTAGTTCAATGAATGATTTGCATGAATAAATATAGTGTACTGGTTGGGGACCACCAAAACCGGACAACCATCGGACCCGGACGGCCCTGGTTTAGTTTGATTCCTTTGTTCAGTGGTTGTCCATCAATCATCCCCTTTTTTACAACATTAAATTCATACTTCTTCAATAATCAAGTAAATTTCCGCAACGTGTAACAAAAATAAAATATAAAAAAAAAAAATTTTTCATCATGATTCGAACCTACAAATTTCTTGATTTGAAATTGAAGTCTACAGTCAAAGAATGGTCAAATAATTTACATAATATTAATATATCTGCTTCAAAATTATCAAATAGTCTGAGAAAAACTTCATTATCTGCATAAAATTTTTCAAATAATGGACACAATATTTACTTATATGCATCCAAATTATTAGACTGTCTGAGAAATACTTATTTATCTGCATAAAAATTATCAAATAATCTAAGAAATACTGATTTATCTGCTGAAGAATTATCGGTAATTAACCAAATATACACCAAGTCAATAACAAGTGATATATGAGTCTGTCTATATCAATAAAGGGATCTCTTGATAATTTATTTGTATTGTAGACAGTAGATAAGCTGATTCATTACAACTGTTGGCAGTTTGTCCGTACCGTGGTTATTCTAATTTGATAGAAAGTGTTCAACTATTTACATTGTCTGGGAGGAATTAAATCAATTTCCTCTCTACTGAAATGTTGCTAACAAATCGTATTATAAAGGAAGGAAAAATATAATTATGGTTCATGTTGGACAATATATAGTCATAATTGATCAGACAAAGTAGTTTATAATTACCAGAATAACAATAAATTCCCTATAAAACAGCAGCAAAAGTCATAGAAAATAAATAATTAGATAACAAATCTAAAAATCTAAATAAATAAATAAACATATGAATGAATGAATGAATGAATGAATGAATGAATGAATGAATGAATAAATAAATAAATAAATAAATAAATAAATAAATTGTTCAGCTTCCGGTTAACCATCATAATAACAAAACGAATAACCTCAGTTTGACTAATTTCGTTACGCACAGCATTTAAGGTAGAACACGGCACTTTGCAAAATTTCGAGTAGCGTTTTGAAAATTGGCATGCAAAATGTTGACCATATTTTGGATTAGACTCCGTTGATTTTATTCCAATAGTTTCAGCCAATTTTTGTACACACGACGTCAAAGTTGACCATCAAAGCCCGTTTTTAAACATGACGTCGTTGCGTATCGTCGGCAACTGTTAGGGTATCACAACGCCATTGGCGGACTAAATATTTTAAATTCTACAGCATTCGACGGAAATTATTTTTTCCTTTAAGTTGATATAAAAGTTATTGTTTTACGCTGCAAAATAATAATTGAAAAATGGAAAGAAAACTGTCAATTTTGTGTAAAATTTGACGTTCAGATCAGGGCGAAGTTTTATCAATCTTCGCCCCGCGCCCTCGCTAATTACCGTGTTTTCGGTCCGCGCCCCCGCCATTTTAAATTGTTAATTCTCGACGGCAGGGTCGCGGCGCGAAAACACGAATGGCACAAATCAGCCACCATATGATATTTAATACTGTCAGCATAAATTATCTGTATTATTATATACTTTCCATCATACACCATTTCACTTTAAATGCCCCTTTGTTTGCAGTTAAAAATGTAAAAAATGATTAAAGTACAGTCTGCAACTACACTATTTGTTGTGTACATATTCTACTCATATTTTAAGTGTATTTACATTGCTTTGCTACCTTTGCAAATTCACCGCTATTGTTTCGGATCCCGCAAGGGACATATCATTCGTTCATGTAATTATAGCAACAGCTATCCAGCTAGCTTACGGAAGGTCAGTGTTTCTACTCTGGTTAATGCAAGAAGGGGCACCTGTAATCTTCCTTCGTCAGTCTTACAAAGTTCTATTTTTTCATATTACCTAATAATGTTTATTTCTTCTTTAAATAAGGCTTTTGATACCGCTTATTAAGTGTTACAAAGCTGTAATTAGGTATATTTCTCTAAGTAAAACTCTCTAAATTAGTTGTAACTGGGAGGAAACAAGTTATTTATCTGTCCTATTTAGGAGGATCAAAGTCCTTATTTTGGGTTTTATCACTTCAAAGGTGAATAAGTCATTATATAGTTTTTTAAACTCATTATACGGAATTAAACATTAAAATTAACACATCAATGTTTTACATTAGACGATTCAGTACAAAAACCAAAAAAAAAAAAAAAAAAAAAACTTATGAAAATGCTGTTATGTCATTACAGGTTTTCGACCATGCGACCACATACATGCATCGAGGACATATAGTAAGAAAGTGACCGTGCGACCACATACACGCACCACAGGTTTCCCCTTCTCTTACGAGAAAGGGTCAAAGATGTCCGGCCTTTTATTCAAGGCAGACTTCAAAAATATGCCAATTCCTTACTATTGATAAGGAGGCTAATTTTTACAGACATGCTTTGAATTGGTTTATATATATGTCAAAAGTAATGCAAATCAAGTGAGTTTCAATTTTCGCCCTTTTAAGTCCAGTATGAATTTTTTTAAAAGAGCATATTTAATTTTTTGGAAATTTTTTAATGTACATGTTTTTCTTTTTTAATTCTATTTATATGACAGAAATATTCTTTTTTTCAAACGTTTTATATGCATTAAAATGGGAGATAATTTTCACACCGTTTGCAAAATATTAACCTGGGGGCATTTTGTCAAAGTAGGCATCTAATTTCTATAGTTGACTTATCCTATTATTAAAGTTTTGCTGCAATAAAAACTAGTTAACTTGAGCAGCCAACAATTCTGACACATTAAAATAAAAAAAATGTAAGCTTCCAATTTTCAGTAGTGTATGTCAGTATTAAAATATCAAGATAAAAAATTCTAATTCAGAAGTTTTTAAGCCATAAGTACTGAGCCTGACTTACATGTATCTCTATACAGGTGAATTCATTTCGATTAATGTGCGGTGTGTTTTTACAGTTGTCTTATATAGTTACTCATTTGCATTTAATTAAGTTTAAACAGTTTTCAACCTGCCTTTATGTCTAAGTAACTGAAGCATATTCCTTTAGGCTTTCATTTTTTTCATATTTTCTCAAGATGGAAAAGTCATTAATGTGACAAGTGCATCGGAGTTGCTTTTCGGTATTTTATAGAAATATATCAGTGATATAAAACTGGTAATTTCACTGTTAGAAACAGTGAAATTACCATTTTGATAATTTCACTGTTTTGAATTTAAGCCCCTTACGTTGTTTCTGTGAAATACCAGCGTGCACAGTACTGGGCACCAACTTAATGACGTGACGTCGTAAATGACGTCACGTTGTATTATTATTTGGCGCGCTTTTCATTCAGTTTTAGGTTTAATGTCTTTTTAAAACGTTTATTTGCATATAATAAAAAGAAAATTTGTTTAGTTAAGTGTAAGATCGGAATATATTTCACCTTGTGAACACCAAAAGTTCATATTTCACTCGTGGCTGCGCCACTCGTGAAATATACCTTTTGGTGCTCACTCGGTGAAATATAGTCCGATCTTACACTGAACTAAACAAATATCCTCTATTTATTGAAATCCGTAATGTAAACCTTATTTCAAATCAATTCAATGTAATTTCACAAAATATAAAGAATAACCCTATGTCTATTAACACATCAGTGAGTGACATAACAGATAAGGCTTACTGACATACCTAGGATTTTTCTTCGTGTCATTTGCTCTGTTTATATTGCCATTCGGTCGTTGCAAATGTAACTGAATGTCAATACAAAGATTGTTTTGATGCAGCGACTTTCGTATGAACATCTACGAAAAAATATTAACAAATGATAGCTTAAGACCTTAATTATGTATAAAGTTCAATACGAGTAAAACAAAGTAATACTAATAAAAAACAAAACAAGAATTAATAAGATAGTAAACTTGAGTTTCTGTAAGAATGTTAGCCACTTTCAGAGCTTTTTCCGTCATCATAGGTAACCTCGAAAATACATTTCTGCCTACAACGGCAACATTTTCACTTTGAACGGGCTAGTTTAGACGCCTGTAACATTCTCAAGAAAGGACACACTGAGTTGATATTTTGCATACGTGACCTTATGTGATGATTGCATCAATATAATTTTAAACAGTGTAATAAGATTGTGGCAGAATAATAATACATGCAGTATAATACATGTAATACCGATAAAACCACAGACAAAATGCTGGTAGGTGAAAGCCAAAACAAAATTAAAAAATTCTGATCTGAGATTGAATCTCAATTGAATCTTTCTAAAATAGACTCCTTAGTGTGTTGGGTCGGTCCATCTCAAGCTGATGTGTAGCTCAAATCCACGATATCTCGGTTGCTAAGAAAGAAAGAAAACGTCTACAAATGAGTACAGATATTTAACGGTAAGGGAAAATGGTGTGACATTAAACGTCATCATTGCGACATTTAACGGGCAGCAATAGCGCGATATTAGCGGCAAGTGCGACATTTAGCATCGTTGTGACATATAACGGCATTACATTATGTGTAATATGTAACAGGAAATCCTGCTTTAAGAATTACGAATATTTCCCGACAAAGCATACCACTGAAA